ACTCAACTCTCGTCATCGAACTTTGGCACGCGACCGTTAGGTTGGACAACATAACGGACGTTGTTCCTCAAACGTCTTGTAACTCTGAACTAGACTCCCGCCACTCACACTATTACGACTCTGCGCAACAAACGAGTGTCGACGTCAGCCGGCGCACGTCGGTTACTTCGCCCAGGGGCTGTCTTTGTACTGTTGCTGAAGCGTCTGCATCGCTTCCTGTGCCCGCTGCCGCTGCCCAAGCTCGGTCCACAGATCGGTCAAATTCGCCAAGGCTTCGGCATGCTGACGGGGGAACGTGGGATATAGCAGATCGACATGCAAGAAGGCCAAGAGAGCGTCTTTCGGCTGACCTGCCTTGCGATAACAGTTGCCCAGCGTGGTGTACGCCTCGGCATGCACCGCCGCGTCTTCCGCCGACTCGGCCCCCGAGATCACTTCTTCAGTCAGCGCGATCGCCTGATCGAACTGGGTCTGGTCGGCCAGGCAAGCCGCCTTACCCAGCTTCGCCGTACGACGCACTCCCGCCGCCAACGGATCGTCGTCGGCAGCGTTCATTGACAGGGCCGAATCGAAGGCCTGTTGGGCTTCGTCGTATTTCTTTTGCGAACGCAGTGCCCGCCCCTTGGCGACCAGCGCTTTCATCTTGTAGTCGGGCCAGGGAGCACTCGCCACGCGGTCGTAATACTCCTCGGCCGCATCGTAGGCCCCCACGGCCACAAACAAATCGCCCAGCAGTTCGTAAGCCTCGTACAGATGATAAGTCTTCGGGTTCGCATCGACGAAGTCCCGCAGCTGCTTACCGGCATCCCTCACATCGCCGCTACCGCCCAAGGCCAGTTGTGCCGTGCAATAGGCCTGATAGTACTTGATGTCCTGCGCAACGCTGCTCGGCAAGTCGGCTTTCTGCGCCAACTCGTTCAGCGAGGCCAACGCGGCTTCATAACGCCCATCGACGGCACTCTTGCGAGCGATGGCCAACTTCGGGTCCTCACCGTCGTACTGCAGGAATTGCACTTCGTTGACGGCGATCGTGTCTTTCGGCTTTCCGCTACGACTCACCACGATTTCCGTCGGACTCACCGATTCGATCGTGCCGTTGATTTGCCCTTTCTTCGTATGCACACGGTCGAGCGCCCAAGCCTCACCGGCCACCAGCGCCACAACGGCCGCTGCCGTGAATGAGAGTAGCAATCGCTGCATGATGAATCTCCCTCCGTCGACCAGAGCCTACTCCGCCGTATGGCAGCAGCCCGTTTGTCGTATGGAATCTGTTTTAAAGTTCGCTTTTCTGTTTCTCTTTGCTCAATCGCCCGAACCGCCTCAACCTCGCCGTGCGGTCGCTTGAGAATCGACGGCTTTCAGACCCACGGGCTTCTGCCCGGAGGCCTCTTGAATCTTCTTCAGCAATGCATCGTACTTGGCGTACCATTCGGGCCCGCCCAAATCGCTGGAGCCCAAGCGAAGCAGCACGGTGATCGCCTGGTTCGCCTTGTTCAGTGTTTGGGTTCGCTCGGCACCACTCTGCGTCATCGCCAACAGATAGTAGCAATCGGCCACGTTGTAACGCGCTTCGTAGTACGTGCTGCGGAATTGCTCTTTGCCCTGCACCAACTGAGCCAGCCGCCCCCAACCCCAAATCAAATGGGCAACCCGCCCGTTGGGGCTCGGTCGATAGCGATGGCTGCCGGCCAGCGCCTTGTTGTAATTGTCAGGATCGACGGCGCCCCAATCCTGGTAGTTGTAAGCCGCCTCCAATTGGGCATCGAGCGCCATCGGCTTCTTCTTCAACACGGTCAACAACCGCTCGAGGGCCGCTTCATACTTGCCCAATCGCCGATCGCAACGGGCCAACCGCACCCGAACCCCATTCACGCGATTGTCGTCCGGCGCAAATCCAGGCTCGTCGTTCGATTTCTTAAGCAGCTTTTCGTAAGTCTTGGCGGCCTGCTCGTAATACTGTTTCGCCTCTTCACTCAGCGTGCTACCCGAGTCGAGGCCGGTTCCCAGCCGGTAGAACGTATCGCCCACCCAAGACAGCGAGTCGAACGTATTGCCTTGCTCCTGCTCCGAAATCCGCTGCAGAAAAACGGTGAACCCCTCGAGCACCTCGGCCAGTTCTTCCTGCTTCCCTTCGCTACGCAGCCGGGCCACCTGATCTTCCAGTTCCACGCCCAAGCTCAAGTAGATCTGAGTCAGCCGAGAAGAATCGCCCCCGTCGGCAACCAACTCTTCCAGCGCCGTCATCATCTGCTGGGCCTCGTCCATCCGCTTTTTGCCGACGTACGCCCGCAGGGCAACTTTGTAGGTCTCAATCAGAAAGTTCCCGCTATCCACCATAGGGCTGCGGGCATTGGCCATCGCCAACGGTCCCGTGTCGGGCACTTCCAGCACCTCAATCGCTTCATCAAACTCCGACGAGCCCACCAGAATCTGGGCCAGCGATAACTCGGCGCTCACCAGCCGGAAATTCCCGGCTCCACCGGCTTCCCGCATCGACGCGATCCCGCGCTCGAGCATCTGCTTAGCTTCGGCAACCATCGCCTCGGCATCTTCGCTCGAAAGCGGTTGGCTCTCGTCGTGCGAACGTTGGAGGTACAAGTTCCACAGTTCCCGGCCCGCCATCAGGTCGGCCTGACCGCGCTTCGGCGAATCGTCCGGGATGTTCCGCAAGTATTCGATCGCCCCTTGTCGGTCTCCCTCCGAAATCGCAATCTCGGCCAGTGTCATCCACGCCTCGCTGGCCTCCGCTGCCCCCGGCCATTGCTTGCCCATGTAGGCAGCAATCTCGGCCATTTGCGCCGCTTCGAACTCCCTTTCACCCTCCGGCAATGCGTTGTAAGCACGAACATAGGCAGCCAAGGTCACTTGGGCACACTTCAAGGCGAACGAGCTTTGAGGGTAATTCTTCGCAATGAAGGAACCCAGCACGGCCGCGTCATAGAACCGCTCGTCCTGGTAATTCAAAAAGCACAAGTAGTACCGCACCTGGTTGATGTCTTCGATCGGTGTCTCTTCATCGCGGAACGAAAGCGCCAGGTTGTAGTTGTCTCGAGCCGACTGACGGGCGGCGGCCAGTTCCTCGCGCAGCTTGTCGATCTCAGCCTGATCGCCGTCCCGGCTGGCCTGCTGCAGCTTCGCACTCGCGGCTTGCATCGCGTTCAACGCGGCACGGCCGGCATCTTTCGCCTCGGCAAACGTCGTTGGATCGACGTTCTCGTCGACGTTCCGCATCTGCGCCACATAGTTGCGAGCCGGCACCTGGAAATCGCCCGCAATGTCAGACACCACCGTGGCATGGTCCAAAGCCGCCTTCAAATCGCGAGCCTTCTGCGGATCCTTATCCGGCAGTTCCGATGCCCGATGGTCGTAAGCCATCGCCACCCGCCATCGAATCGCCAAACCCTCGGGCGTGCGGTCTTCGTTGCCCCGGGTGTTTTGCAGCCACTCTTCACCCTTAGTGATGGTCTCGGTGTATTGCTTTTCGTTTTCGCTGTTCCAGCACTCCATCGCCAGTTGCAAAACTTTGGCCTTCAGGTCGCGAAAAACCTGGGGCTCATCGGGCTGAATCAAAAGCTCACCGTAGTAGCTCAGTGCCTGCTTCGTATCGCCCAAGTCTTGCAGACACCGCCCTTGGTTCATACGGGCGTACAGCCCAGCCGGCGTGCGACGCCATTGCTTGAACGCGTCTTCAAACTCCTCGGCCGCCCGTTTCAGGTGAGCCTTATACTCGCCGGAGTTGGGGGCATACGCTTTGGCAGCCTCGTAAATCACCCGCCCCACCGAGAGCATCGACAGAATCAAATTCTCACGAGTCTGGGCTTTGGCTTCCTTCTGCTCGGTGTCCTGCGAGTCGATGAAGTTCGGGAAGGCGTCGTACTCGGCCTGAAACTTCGCCTCGGCCGTGGAGAAAACTTCTTCGGCTTCCTTGAATTGCTCCCGGGCCTGCTTCCGCAACTCCTCCTTTTCGGCCGTCGTTTTCGAAGCCGAATCGGCGAGCTGCAGGTTGGCCTGTGCACGAATCAGCACCACATCGCCCAAACGAAGATTCGCGGTCGACGACAACGGGTGTTCGGGATTGGCCTCGACGAATGTCTTCAGCTTTTCCTGAGCAGTGGTCAAATCGTCCAAGCGCGTCGGAACATCACGCTCGTACTTGGCCCCTTCAATCAGCGTGAGGCCTTCGTTGAAGGGAATCGTCACCTTCACGTCTTCGCCAACCAGCCGGCTGTCGCGAAGGCTGTCGAGATAGGTCATCGCCACATCGAACATCCGACGACGATAGAGTTCGTCGAGAAACTTTTGATATGGCTCTTCGGCCACCGCCGGCAATGCACACAGCGCAGCCATCACGGCAACGATCGTACGGCACCTGCCCAACCGTGTCGTAAGACGTTTCATCATCAGCAAGTTCCTAGCATCCACCTGAGGAACACGTATGGTCCGACGCGTGCGACTAGAACGCCGCTATCGCTCACCCCCACGCCCGTGGCGTCGAACGCGCCGATCGTGACACGTATTGTGACAAAAATGTCGCAAACGTCACGCGCGGGAAGAGAAGGACCCCACCGTTGATCGTGCGAACAGGTTCCGGGCTGTCCGACGAGAGAACTCAACGGAGATTTTATTATAAACCCGGCTTCTGGCGATGGAAACAATTGTCTCCGCACGGGATAGAACCGCCCCGATCGCAAGAACACTCGCACCACTGAAACATCCGGCCGCGAGGCCTCAACAGGCCCTCACAACCCGGCGAGACGTCACATCCCCAACCACGCACGACGCGGTTCGTGTGTCCCCACAAACGCCCTGGCCCTAGAATGAAGGAATACGAGAGTTCGAAGGCCAAACACTCTAGACGCGAATCATCGTTTCTCGGGTGCCACTGCTGGCTCGTCCAGCAGTGCCGGCTTCACGGTTGGACAAGCCAGCCATGCCACCCAATTCCTTGCCTCTGGGAGATCAGGGCAAAGGAAATTCGTTTTAAAAACAGTCTCGACTCCATGAATTCACAAGCACCCAACAATTCACCGCGGAATTTCCTCGCTCGACGCGAGCAGGCCCGGCTGCTGGTGTTGGTTTTCAGCCTGGGGTTGGTCTTCGTGCTGATGGGTGAGGCCGCCAAACCGCAGAACTGGTACTGGTTGTGGGGAGGCCACCCGCCGCAAGAAACCTCCCCGGCCGACGATCGTCCCGCACCACCGGACGAACGCGAGACGGTAGACACCCGACTTCGCCCTCAAACAAACACGTCCGATCCGGAACATCCCGTCGTCGAAGCCCCAGATATCGCCTCGGAAGATGACACCTGGGCCGCTCCAGAAGGAGTCGCGTACGAAGCGAACCTCATGCCGGGCGTTCGCCAGACCGACCTCGAAACCATTCAGGACGACTCCGGCTTCAACCGCGAAGAAAACGAAATTTTCGACCGCTGGCTCGTTCAGTCCGATCGCCTCGGTGTCGATGCCCTCGCCCAACGAACCCTGGGCCCCACCACGCACCTGCAGCTTTACAAACAAAGCAACGTCTATCGCGGGCGAGTCGTCTCGCTCGAGGGCACCGTCCGTCGGGCCCTTCGCGTGCAGGCCCCCGAGAACGATCTGGGAATCGACACTTATTACCAGTTGTGGCTTCAGCCCGAAGATCGCCCCACGCTGCCAATCGTCATCTTCAGCCGCAACCTTCCCGAGGGATTTCCCGTGGGGACCGAAATCCGCGAGGAAGTGACCCTCGAAGGCATTCCCTTCAAGCGGTGGCCCTATATGGCCCGCGACACCATGCGAACGGCCCCATTGGTCATCGCCCCCACCGTTCAATGGCAGCCTGAAGTAGTAGTCGCGCAAGATCGCATTTCTCCACGGCAGCTCACGCTTGTAGTACTCGCCGCCGGGGTGCTCGCCACCATCGTGGTTACCACCATCGTCAAACGTACAAACCAGGTCCGTGCCGTGTCGCAATCACCATTCGCCAAAGGCCTTCAATCCGCGAAGCTCGACGCAGCCACCGACGAAGAAATCGAACTCAAAGTCGTCTCGGCGATGCAGACGTTAGACGAAGCCGAAGCAACCAACGAACCCGCCGGCGAGCAGGACTGACGCGAATGGTTCACCAACGTCTCACGCTGAATCAAAGCCTTCGCCTGCACGCGGGAAAGCGACACTTGATGGTGTGGATCGTGGCACTACTCTGTGCGAGCAGTGTAACCATCCCTGCCAAAGCCCAAAGTACGAGCGAAATGTTGCGCCTTCTCGGTGTACAAGATGAGCACCTAACCGCATTCATCGATGGACAACCGGCCGGTGAAGATGAAACAGAACCCTTGCTGCGGATGCTCAACGCCGCCGGCCGGTTCGACACGCTCCGCCTGCATCGCGGCATCCGCGACGATATAACGCTCGAAGACCTCACAACCCAGCCTAGCACGTTCCGCGGTGAAATCGTGCAGTTACAGGGTCGTCTCCAAAAAGTGCAGGTCGAACGACCACCGGCGGAACAAGCCACGCGATTTGAGCTAGCCAAGTACTATCGCTGCGAAGTGTTGCTCGAGCCCTCGCAACTTCCGGCCACCGTCTATGCGATCACCGTCCCTCATCAATGGGCCGAGGGAGCCGAAGACCTCGATCAGCCGATCAGCTTCGTTGGGTTTTTCATCAAGACGGTCGGCGAAAGCGAGGATGACCCGCAACCGGTGTTCGTCACCCGCCGCCTGGCATGGCACCCCGCCACCACCCTGGGCAAGCTGGGGATGGACGTCGGGTTGTTCGACACGGTCAGCGATCACAGCCCCATCAAAGCCAGCGAACGCGAAGCCTTCTATCAACTGCTGGCCGCCACAGGGCGTGCCGAGATGAGCCAACTCGACCGGCTCACTCAGGACGATTACTCGGTCGAGCCGTTGTTCAACGCCCCCGAGTTACAGCGAGGTCGTCTGGTGGGTCTAAGCGGCGTCGCACGGCGCATCACCAAGATCGTCGTCGACGATCCCGACATCGTGGAGCGGTTCGGCATCGACCATTACTACGAAGTCGGCGTGTTCACCGACGACTCGCAAGGCAACCCGGTTATCTTTTGTGTTCGCGAACTGCCCGAGGGCATGCCCACCGGCGACCGCATCAGCGAAGCGGTCCGCATCCCGGCCTTCTTTCTGAAGACATGGACCTTCGAAACCGCCCAACTCAACCAGAAAGCCGCCGAACAGGCAGCCGAAGGCCAGCCGCGGCAGCGTCTGAAGCAAGTCGCCCCACTGCTCATCGGCAAAAGCCTGCACTGGCAAACCGCCCCGGTCGCCGCCCCGCCGGGAATCTCAGGTTGGGTCGCCGGCTCGCTATTCCTACTAGCCCTGGCCGGCGTTTGGTTCGGAGCATGGCGACGCCACAAAGCCGACCGCACCTACGCACAAGGAACCCTGGCCCGCGCCCGCGAACCCGAAGAATCCACCCTCGACACCACGGGCTTCGAAGCCATGGAAGAAGAGCCCAACTTCTCAGACGAATAAACCGGCACCGTTGAATAAACTCGTGGGTGCCACTGCTGGCTTGTCCAGCAGTGCCTTCTTGACGACCCGCTGCCTCTCCAACAAACCAACGCCATCACATCACCGCCAGCAGCAAACCTGGATTGACACTCGCTCGGCAATTCTTGTACATAGCTTCAGCTTTTCTTCCCAAATTTTCGTCCCACGGGGAACACGGAGGCCGTTCTGGCTTTCGCTCGCGTGGGAAGATGACCAACTCACGAAACCACTGCGACCGGTGAGCGTTGTTCGACGCCCAATCACGCACCCCAGTGCGGATGCGGCCTCGACACGCTAAGCCTATTCGCGCGCACACGGAACGCTGCGCGCCGACCGCCCACGGATGGCCATGGCCGAAGACCAACCACAAAGCGATGCCGCCCCCCAAGGCGAAAAGCCCACAGGCGGCCTGACGGCGAAACTTGCTCCCGTGCTGGGCAAGCTCGGCGGTGCCAAAGATTGGGCACTCGCCAACCGCCTTCGCGCAGGGTTGTTCGGCGGTGGTGCACTGTTAGCAGTCGCACTGCTGTTCTTCGTTGGGTCGTATCTCTTCAGCAGTGGAGAAAACGATGCTCAGTACTTCACCATCGACCACGCGCTAACCGCCCTCGACGAGCAAGACTACGATCAGGCACGCACCATCGCCCGAGCGTTGCTCAAGCCGGGAGCGGTGCCCCCCTCGGAATTGGGTGGTCCGGTGTTTGTGCTAGGTGCCGCCGCGATGGCCGACGCCGAATTGGCCTGGATCGACCGCAAGCAGGGCAAATACCTGCTGGCCGCCCGCTACCTGGAAGAAGCCCGCGATCGTGGCTTCCCGCCCGAGCGCCGTTCGGCCGGCCTACTGATGCTGTCCGAAAGCCTCCTCCGCAGCCGGCAGTTCTCCGCCTGTCGCCTCGCATTGCAAGAAGCCCTGGAGGCGGCCCCCGAACAAACCGCCCGCATACAACAGTTGCTGGCAACTGCTTACTTGGAAGATGCCGACCCCGACCTGGAAAAAGCCCTCCAGCACAATCAGGCCTTCCTCGAAGCCGGCAGTCTCGACCCTGAGACCCGCCACGCCGGGTTACTGCAACAGGCCAAAATCCTCTACCGCATGAATCAAACCGCAGCCGCGGCCCAAGCACTGCAGGGCATCCCCGACGGTTCGCTGCTACGCTCCGAGCGAATGGTGCTCGATGCCCGGCTGCTCATCGCCGAAGCCCGGGCCCTTTCGGCGGCCCGCCAACTCGGCGAGCCCGTCTCCGCCGAATCGGCAGAACGCTACCGCAAAGCCATCGATTTACTACGCGTCGCCGCCGGTTTCGATCTACTCGAAAACGATTCGACCTCGAAAACACGCTACCTCATCGGCGTCTGCTATGCGGAAATGGGCGACACTCGGGCCGCCGTCGAACAGTTTTATCGCGTCACCGAGAATCATCCTGCTACCGAAGAAGACGTCGCGGCCACGCTCCTTCGGGCCGACGTGTTGCGAGCCGACGGACAGAACGAAGAAGCCGTCACTTCATACCGCGCGGCGATCGCCACGGCCGGTATTCCGCTGGAGTTCAGCAACGCCTGGTTCTCACTCGAAGAGTTCCGCCGTCGCGTGCTGCTGGCCTACGACACATTTCTCGAGCAAGGCGAGTACGCTTCGGCCGTAGAGCTAGCCACCGGGATGTCGCCGCTGTTTCCCGAAGATCGCTCGCTGCAGCTCGAGGCCGTCGCCCGCCGCCAATGGGGCCTGTCGCTTATCGCCCTGGCCGACGGCGATCCCGATCCGCAAACCAGCATCGTCGCTGAAGAAGGTCGCGCCCAACTACGGCACGCCGGTAACGTCTTCTTCCGCGTGGCCAAGCTGCACCTGGCCGTACGCACCTATCCCGACGACCTCTGGAACGCCGCCGACAGCTATCTTCAAGGTCACGACTTCGAGAACGCGGTGAAGATCCTCACCGCCTATCTCGAACAAGACGAACGTCAAAACCGCCCGTTGGCTCTCCTGGGCCTGGGCCGAGCCCTGTTATCGCTCGACCGCCCCGAAGAAGCGCTTTTCGCGCTAACCAACTGCATCGAATTCCATCCGCTGGCCGCCTCCACCTATCAAGCCCGTCAATTGGCCAGCCTGGCTTATCTGGAGCTGGACCAGGTCGAAGCTGCCGAACAGATGCTGATGGCCAACCTCACCGACGAGCATCTCACGCCTAGCAGTTTGGAGTGGCAGACTTCGATCTTCGACCTCGGCCGGCTGCTGTACCTCACCGATCGCTATGCCGAAGCCATCACCCGACTCGAAGAAGCCATCGCCCGCTATCCCGATTCGCCTCGGGCACTGGAAGCACGGTACCTGGCCGCCGAGTCTTATCGTCGCCGTGGAATGGAACTCAGCGCTCCGCCGGGCGACGACGTTCCGGTGAGTGCCTACGCAACTCGGGCAGCCGACTCCGCCGCGATGCTAGCTTCAGCGGTCGATCGCTACATCGAACTGCGGCAAGTCATCGTCGAGACCGAAGCCGAGCGGATGCTGTCACTCAACGAACAACGAATCCTACGAAACACCTATTTCGCCCAAGGTCAGGCACTTTCGCAATTGCAACGCTGGCAAGCGGCAATCGACGTATACACAGCGGCTACGAATCGCTATCAGCGGAACCCTGAAGCACTCGAGGCCTACGTACAGATCGCCCATTGCTATCGCGAAATGGATCAACCGCTTGATGCACGCGGCACTCTCGAGCAGGCCAAGATCGTGCTAGCACGACTGCCCGACGATGCCAACTTCACGGCGGCCACGAATTACAACCGCCAGCAATGGCAACTGCGGCTAGACCGCCTGAGCATGCTTTAGAAACACGCGACCACCACACCGGGGTGGCTCCGAAAGAAACAACCCATGTCCGAACTCGCAACCGACACCCTCACCGAACTGGTTCGCCAGAAGCTGGATTGTTTGAATCAGCTTTGGCGGCTCAGCGGTCAGCAGAACGAGTTGATCGAGGGCGGAGAGATGAGCCAACTGCTGAAAGTGCTGGCCGCCAAGCAGCGGCTGCTCAACAACTTGCAAGTCACCGAACATCAACTCAACCCATTTCGCGACGACGATCCTGAACAGCGCGTCTGGCGTTCGCAAGAAGACCGCCAGCACTGCGCCGCGATGATCGGTGCCTGCGAAAAGTTGTTGGCCAAAATCATGGAACACGAACAACAGTGCGAAGGGCAAATGCGAGTTCGCCGCGATGCGGCCGCCGAACGCCTGCAAGGGGCACACGTCGCCAGCCAGGCCCGCGACGCTTATTGCCAACATCCATCGTCGAGCTCGACAAGTAATCTCGATCTTTCCTCCGAATCGTAAACCGTCAGCCGAGTACCCTGATGACCGATAATCCAATCTCTCGAATTCCCGCCCCCGCCGAGCAACAGGCCGACTTGGAAACCGTGCTCACGGCCTGGCACGATGCCACTCGGCGGCTGGAACACACTCACGAGGCCCTCCGCGGCGAAGTGCAGCGACTCACCGACGAGTTGGAAAACAAGAACCGCGAGCTGGCTCGCAAGAACCGCCTGGCCGACTTGGGCCAGATGGCCTCGCACATCGCCCACGAACTGCGAAATAACCTCGTGCCGGTCACGCTCTACCTCAGCCTGTTGCGTCGTCGGGCTTCGGCCGACCCCGACACGGTCTCGATTGTGGACAAGATCGCCGCCGCCTGTACTGCATTGGACGTAACCGTGAACGACCTGCTGCACTTCACCGCCGACCGAGACCCCAACCGCGAACAAATCCCATTGGCCCAACTAATCGAAGACGTGATGAACTCGCTTCGCCCCCAGTTGGTCGCCCAGGCCATCGTGGTCGACCTCGATGTCGACGGCCACCTGATCGTCAACGCCGACCGCGACATGCTTCGCCGCTGCGTGTTGAACCTCGCCTTGAATGCCATCGACGCCATGCCCGATGGGGGCGACCTGGTCGTCACCGCGGTCGACTGCCACGGCGCCATTGAGATTGAAGTTGCCGACTCGGGGCAGGGGCTCGGCGAAGACGTGCGTGCTCGCATCTTCGAGCCGTTCTTCACCACCAAGCACACCGGCACCGGGCTGGGGCTGGCCATTGTCGAACGCATCGCCGAAGTGCACGGCGGAGCGGTGATGGCCATGAACTGCCCCGAGGGTGGTGCCGCCTTCACCATCTCGCTGCCGAAGCGCATGGCCATGCAAGCCGCCGCCTAAGAAACGAAGACGAAGTAATATGACAACGAAAACACCCAAAGCCAAAACCCAAGCCGCAGGCGTCCTGGTGGTCGACGACCATCCCCAGGCCCGGGAATCGATGGGAGAAATCCTCCGTCATGCCGGCTACGGGGTGAACTGCGTATCCTCGGCCGTCGAGGCCCTCGCCTGTCTGGCCAACCAGGATTACGACGTCGTCATCACCGACCTTCAGATGCCCGGCATGAGCGGTCTGGAGTTCATCCGCGAGATCGAACAACGTCGCCACGGCGCTCAAGTCGCCATGGTCACCGCCCACGCCACCGTTACTTCGGCCGTCGAAGCCATGCGGCACGGGGCCTTCGACTACATCGAAAAACCGTTCGACGTCGAACAACTCGAACACCTCGTCGCTCGCGCTCTCGAACATGGGCGGCTCCTCGATAAGAACCCCAGCGATGCAGCATCGTCCGGCTCCTCCACCATCGAGATGATCGGCACCAGCCGTGCCATGCTGGCCCTCCGCGAACGCATCGCCCAGGTGGCGGTCACTTCCGAAACAGTGCTCATCAGCGGAGAAAGCGGCACCGGCAAAGAGCTGGTCGCCCGGGCGATTCACGCCGGCAGCGGTCGCTGCGATGCCCCGCTTGTGAGCCTCAACTGCCCGGTACTCTCCGACCACTTGATGGAAAGCGAACTCTTCGGTCACGAGCGCGGTGCGTTCACCGGCGCCGATGGCCCACGCACCGGGCGTTTCGAACTGGCCGACGGCGGCACGATCCTCCTGGACGAAGTCACCGAGATCGACCTTCCGCTGCAAGCCAAGCTGTTGCGTGTGCTGCAGGAACGCACTTTCGAACGCGTCGGTTCGAGCAAAACCCAATCGATCGACGTTCGCGTGCTGGCCACCACCAACCGTCAACTTCGCGACGAAGTCTCCGCCGGCCGGTTCCGCGAAGACTTGTACTATCGCCTGAACGTCCTCCCGCTCATCGTCCCCCCGTTACGCGACCGCCGCGAAGACGTGCCCGCGTTGATCGAGCACTTCCTCCACCGCGCCGCCACTCGATTGAATAAGCCGGCCTGCGAAGTTGCAGACACGGCCACCGACCTGCTGGTCAACTATCACTGGCCGGGCAACATTCGCGAACTTGAAAACATTGTCACCCGGGCCTGCGTGCTGAACACCGGCGCCCCGATCGGCCCCGACGAACTCCGCCCCTGGCTCATCGACTCCGACGCCGGCGATGAGCCGGTGAGCGTTGGTGCCACCCCCGGCGTAAGTCTGCACGAGATGGAACGCCAACTCATCGAAACCACACTCGAACACTTCGACGGGCACCGTGCCAAAACGGCCGAAGCTCTCGGCATCGGAATTCGCACACTCTCCGGCAAGCTCAAGTCCTACGGTTATGCCCCCAGGGCAAAAGCTCCCTCGCCCACACCAAGCAAACAGAGGGTCGCATGAACGCTGCCACTGAAACTCCGCTTGCATCGCGAGGGGATCGTTCGGCGGTTCCTGCCGCTGGCAATGCGCAGATTCTGCCGATCGACGATCGCCGCAAACAAATCATCTGGAAAGACTCAAGTGCCCACCGCTGGCACACAAATGCCCGCAACTCCAAGCAAACATGGCAACTTAGAGCAAACACAAACAATGGCGACTTCGGTCAACCGAGCGATTTTCCGCCGACTAAGCCCAACGGCGCGCCAGTTGCTAACAACAGCTACGAAACACTGCGAGCTCGACTCACTGCTGGGCAAGCCAGCAATGGCACCCGTTAACAGAAAACAAAAACCAGCAACCAACGAACCACCGTCATGATCTCTTCGTCACTGTTCAACTCGACATCGGTTCCTGTCCTCGAGCAGGTGGTCAACTTCACCGAGAAGCGCCACGAGATCCTGGCCGGAAACGTCGCGAACATCGACACGCCAGGCTATCGCGTCCGCGATCTTTCGCCCGACCGCTTCGAGTCGCGACTCGCTCAGGCCATCGAACAGCGTGATCAGCGGCATTCGAGCCAAAACTTCAGCGGCGTGTCCAGCTCGCACGAAAACCCAATCAACGAAGTCGACGAAGAGTTCCCCCGCATGCTGTACCACGACGACAGCAACGTCGTGCTAGAAGAGCAAGTGATGGAACTCAGCAAGAATAAACAACGACATAACCTGGCCATCACGGTGATGGTCAGCCAGTTTCGTTTGCTACAAGCGGCCATCACCGAACGGGCATAACCACACGCCCCCCAAGTTAACCCGGTAAGGATGCTTCCCAGCAGAAACAGGTGCCCCCATGTTGTCAGCTTTCGATATCTCGACCAGCGGATTGCTTGCACAACGCACGCGTTTGAATGCTATCTCGAGCAACATCGCCAACATCAGCACCACGCACAACGAAGCCGGCGAGCGCGTACCTTACCAACCTCGCTTCACCGTTTTTCAAACCGATCACCAGCCGAACTATCCCGAAGGAGCGGCTGGCGTTAAAGTCAGCTCGATTGAAATGGAAAACGTCGAGCCACTGCTACGCTACGAGCCCAATCACCCCGACGCCGGACCCGACGGAATGGTGGCTTACCCGAACGTCAACCTGATCCAAGAGTCCGTAGACGCCATGGAAGCTTCCCGCGCATACGAAGCCAACATCGGTGTCTTCGAAATCACGAGTAATTTGGCGGAGCAAACCCTGCGGATCCTCGCGTAAACCCAGCCGCGACGATTCCCCAAGGCTCTAGAAAGCCAATCGTGGAGCAATCATGACAAATAGCATCGGTTCGCTACGTCCGGTCGACCTGCCAAAACCACCGGAGGTTCCTAACCTCACCGGCACAGGCAACACCGACAAGGCGGGCTTCAACAACGTGTTGTTGAATTCGATCAGCGAGGTCAACGCCGTCCAGATAGAAGCCGATCAGGCCGTCGAAACCCTGGTCACCGGCGGAGACATCGAACCAGCCGAAGTGCTCACCGCCGTGCAGAAGGCCGACCTGGCCTTCCGCATGCTGATGCAGGTGCGAAACAAAATCGTGGCAGCCTACGACGAAGTAAGAAACATCCAGGTTTAACTCAAACAAAAGCAGCAGGCACGACCCACGGATTGGGTCCTGCCTCTTCGCGTCGGAGTTCTCTGGCGTGAATTAAGCGATGGAACGCGGAGCGTGCGTGAATGGATTTCTTGAATACTGCCTTTGCGCAAATCAGTGAATTCTTCAAGTCGATGACCCCCGCCGCGCGGCTCACCGCTGCGTTGTTGCTGGCCGTGGTCGTCATCAGCCTGGCCTACCTGGTCAACACCCAGGTCAGTGGTCCCGATGCCTTCTTGCTCAACGGCCAGAACTTCTCGCCGAACGAAATGCAACGAATCGAATCGGCCTTCGGCACCGCCGGACTCTCCGGGTACGAGATCGTTGGCACCCAAATCCGCATTCCCCGCGGTCAGCAAGACCTCTACATGGCGGCCCTTGCCTCGGGCGATGCACTCCCTCGCAACTTCGGCGACTACCTCGACCAGATCGTCACCAACAGCAGCCCGCTCATCAGCAAATCGCAGCAGAAGCAACGCGAACACGTAGCCAAGCAGCGCGAACTTTCGAACCTTATCAGCCACTTCGACGGCATCCTGAACGCCGCTGTGCTGTACGACACCAAGATGGACGGCCCCTTCAACCGTAATGCCCATACCACAGCCTCCGTGCAAATCGAAGCCATCAACTCCTCGGTGCTCGACGAACAAAAGGTTCGTGCCATCCGCAATTTGGTTAGCCATGCAGTCGCGGGCCTCGATCCCAAAGACGTGGCCATCACCGACACGCTCGGTCGTAACTGGTCGGCCATGAGTTCCGACGGAACCGGCGCCGCCTCAGAAGACCCCTACCTGGCACGTATGCGTGAATATCAACACATCTTCGAAGACAAAATCCAAAAGGCGTTGACGTTCATTCCAAGCCTCACGGTGAAGACCAACGTAGTGCTCGATCGTGAAGTACACAGCAGCACGGCCAAGGTGAACTACGACAAAAACGCCGTGGCCATCCGTACGGTGAACGACTCTTCAACCAGCGTCACCACAGGGCCGGGCCCCGCTGGCCGCCCCGGGCTAGCCGCCCAAGGAGCGAACCAAGGTGCCAGCATCGCGGCCGTGGCACCTCCGCCAGCGCCGACCAGCGAAGAAGAAGCCTCCAGCGAAGAAGTACTGCAGGCCATTCCCCATGAAGAAACCAACAGCGTAAAGCACGGGATGACCCCCACCCATGTCTCGGTGGCGGTTGGTATTCCGACCAGTTACATCCTCGAGGTCTGGCAACAGCAGAACCCCACGGCCGAAGGCGAAGAGCCAGGCCAACCAGAACCGGCCGACTTGGCCCGCATCGAAGCCGAAGTGTTTGAGAGCATCGAGAACACCGTGCTGGCCCTCATTCCCATCGATGAATCGGTCACCGATCCCTCGACGCTGGTCAACGTCACCACGTTCCAACACATCCCTGGCCCGCCGATTGAAGTGGCCGGCATGGCCACCGCCGCCACCGGCTGGCTCACCCAGAATTGGTCCACCCTCGGCATGATCGGCCTTGGGCTATTCAGCCTGTTGATGCTGCGTTCAATGCTGCGTTCTACCGCAGGCCCTGCCGAACCAAGAAGCCTGCCGAACGCCCCACGTCCTTCGGATGATACCGAGGGAGAAGCAGAGAATCCCAAAAACGAAAAACGCCTGCGGAACCTTCGCACCTCGGGCCCCTCGCTTCGCGAAGAGCTGAGTGAAATGGTGCAAGAAGATCCCGCGGTCGCCGCCAAGATTATTGAGAACTGGATCAGCAGCGCCACCTAAGGCGGCGCGAAATAGACTATGTCGACACTCCCCCCACAATTGCGAAAAGCGGCCATCCTCGTGGCCAGCCTCGATAGCACTTCGGCCGACCGTCTGTTGGATCAGATGGGCGAAGCACTCGCGCGCCAGGTTCGCGATGCCGTAATCGCCTTGGGTGAGCCCGACCCGGCAGAGCAGCAAGCCGTCATCCAGGAATTCATCCAGAACAACGCCCCGCCGAAAACCAATCAACTCGATGGCGTCGAACTCGACATCGGCCTATCCGAAAAGCTCGGCATGCCGGCCGCCAAAACCACGACCGAGCCGACGGCAGCATCATCGCTCGACGACGTCGAACCGTTCCGCTTCCTGCATCAGGCCCAGTCCTCGCGGTTGGCTCCCTATCTCACCAAAGAACATCCGCAAACCATCGCCCTGATTCTCGCCCACGTCCCACCAGCCCGGGCCGCCGACATGTTGGCCAGTCTTCCCAAAGACCTGCAGGCCGATGTGGTTCGTCGCTTGGTGGATCAACGCGAGGTGAATCCCGAAATCGTTCGCGAAGTCGAACGCGGCTTGATGGAACGCCTGGGCACCGACGCCCTCGACCATCACCACCGCGCCTCGGGCATCAACGGCGTACTGGAAATCATCCGCTCCAGCCAGCCAGGGCAGGGGCAGGCCATTCTGAACAACCTGGCCCGACACGGCATCGATCTGGGGAACCAAACACGCCCCCAACGATTCACGTTCGACGACCTCCATCAGCTCGATCGCGATTCGCTTTCTGCCGTGGTCAACGCCGCCGATCTCAAATTGCTTTCCCTGGCACTGTTAGACCGGCCCCAATCGTTTGTCGAACGCGTGACCAGCTACCTGCCGCCCAACGCGGCTCACGAACTGCGAATGAGCCAACGCTCGCCAGGCCCGGTGCGGCTCAGCGATGTCGAAGCAGCCCAGCAGCAGTTGGTCGAACTGGCCTCACGGCTCACCGTCGAAGGTCGTGCCCGTTGGCCCGAAGAACATCTGCTTGTCGATGCGTAACCGAATCAAACACTATTCAACGAACAACTACAGACCACAAAGGACAACAGCGTGCCGACCGTAATCAAGGCAAGCGAACACGAAGGCGTCGCCGGCCATGTGGCCTTCAACTTCGACGATATGTCGAAACAGGCCGAGGGCTACCTCGAGCAAATCCGCCTCAAGGCGGCCCGCCTCGTCACGGCCGCTCAGGAAGAAGCCGCCGCCGTGCGCCAGAAGGCCGAGGCCGAAGGTCGCGCCGCCGGACAAGCTGAAGTCGAACGCATGACCAACGAACAGGTCGCCACACAACTCAAGACCGCCATCCCCGCCGTTCAAGCCGCCGTGGCCGAAATCAACAAAGCTCGCGACGCCAGCCTGTTGGAATGGGAAAAGCGAGCCGTACACCTGGCCTGTGCCATCGCCGGTCGCATTGTCCGTCGTGAAATCAGCCAGACCCCCGAGATCACGTTAACCCTCGTACGAGAAGCCCTCAGCATGGCCGTCGGCAGTCCGCAACTTCGGCTGCGAATGAACCCCGGCGACCTCAAAGCCCTCGAAGGTCATCTCGAACCGCTCAAACAAGAACTAAACCGCGCCGGCGAAGCCGAAATCGTAGCCGACCCCGAGGTAACCCCCGGCGGCTGCCGCATCGATACCGGCTTTGGCACCATCGACCAGCAAGTCGAAGCCCAGCTCCAACGCATCGAAGAAGAACTCACCACCTCCTAAAAAACGTTCGAATCAAGAACTCACTGATGATCACCCTCGAAGATCAACTCGATGCCATTCAACCCACGCAAGTGGTCGGCCGTGTGGTGCGCACCGTTGGGCTGGCCATTTCGGTTGAAGGCTTCCCCGCGCCTATGGGCGCCGTGGCCGCCATCGAACGCGCGGGCCACGAACCCTTGATGGCAGAGGTGGTTGGTTTTCAGGAACAACTCACTGTGCTCTCACCCATGGGCAACCTCTCGGGCGTCCGCCGTGGCGACCGTGTGCGCATGGTGCGAACCACTCCCTGGATTCGCGTTGGCCCCCAATTGCTCGGCCGTGTAATCAACGCCCATGGCCGCTGCATCGATGGTCGCCCTCAACCCGTGATGGCCGATCGCACCAGCATCTACCGCGAAGCGCCCGAGGCCATCAGCCGCCCGCCGATCACCGGCACCATCTCCACGGGCGTTCGCGCCATCGATGGCATGCTCACCTGTGGGCTGGGGCAACGCATGGGAATCTTCGCCGGCCCGGGGGTCGGCAAAAGCACCACCCTCGGCATGATGGCCCGCTACACAAGTGCCGACGTGAAGGTCATCGCCCTCATCGGCGAGCGTGGACGCGAAGTGAACGAATTCCTGCTGAACGACCTGGGGCCCGAAGGCCTCGCCAAGTCGGTCGTCATCGTGGCCACCAGCGACGAACCGGCCGTGATGCGTGTTCGCGCAGCCGCCGTAGCCACCGCCGTGGCCGAATACTTCCGCGACCAGAAGAAAGACGTCCTTCTGCTCATGGACTCGCTCACCCGGCTCGCCTTGGCTCAGCGCGAAATCGGTCTCGCGGCCGGAGAACCACCCACCACCCGTGGCTTTCCACCTTCGGTGTTCTCGTTGCTGCCACGCTTGCTGGAACGAACCGGACGTGTCGCCCACGGTAGCATCACCGCGTTCTATTCCGTGCTGGTCGAAGCCGATGACGCCACCGAACCAATCAGCGATGCCGTTCGCGGCCTGCTCGACGGACATACCTGGCTCTCGCGAAAGATCGCCGAACGCGGGCACTACCCGGCCATCGACGTGCTGGAAAGCATCAGCCGCCTCATGTCCCACATCGTCGGGCCCGACCACCTGGCCGCCGCCCGCAACCTGCGTCAGCTCATGGGAGCCTACCGCGATCACGAAGACCTCATCTCGATCGGGGCCTACCGTCGGGGTTCCAACCCGTTGGTCGATCAGGCCATCGAGATGCAGGACACCATCCAACTTTATCTGCAACAGTCTGTCGCCGAAGCCTCGTCGGTCGATGTGGCCCGCGATCAGCTCATGCAGTTGATTCGCGTCTCAGAACAACGTCGAGCCAACCAGGCCGCTCAAGCTACAGCCGCAACTCAACCGCTGAGTCCTCCACCGGAGCAGCGAGCGTAACGTCAGATGAGCAAGTTCACCTTCCAATTCGAAACCCTGCAACGGCTGCGAGAAGCCGCGCGCGATGAACGCCGTGCGCATCTGGCCGAAGCCCTAAGGGCCGACGAAATCTTGCTCGACCGCATGAAAGAAGTCACGACCGAAGTCGACGAGTTCTCCGCTCAATACGCACTCCCCAAGGAAGGTGCGATTCACGTTGATCGCATCATGGAAGCGCAACGCTACGAACTGCTCCTGCGAGCCGAACTGCAATCTCTGCAGGCGCAACGCGTTCAGGTCGAAGCAGAAATCAACGTCCGTCGCGAAGCCCTGACCGAGGCCGACCGCCACGTAAGGGTGCTGGAAAAACTATGCGAGCGACAAGAGCAACAACACCGCCTTGAACAACAACGATTGGAACAACGCGCACTCGATGAAGTAGCCAGCCAGCAATGGTGGCGGGAGGCGGCTAAATGATCGGAAAGATCCTCCGCCTGAGTACCGCGCTCTTCACCTACTTCTGCATTGCCACCATCATTGCGCTCTGCATCGGGCTGGCCATGCTGTGGTCCAAAGGCAGTCTCGAATTAGGTCGCCTAATGCAAGTGGTCGCCGTAATGCAGGGCGTCGACCTTGCCGCCATGCAGCAAGAGGCCGTTGAAACGCAAATCACGCTCAACCCTTCGCAACCTTCAATCGAAGAAATCATCGAGGCGCGTGCCTTGGGATTACGACAAATTGAAATGAAAGAAGTCGCCGTCACCGCGGCCCTGCAGCAAGTCGACGATGGCTTTCGCAATCTCGAGGACGACAAGCAGCAATTCGAACTGGTTCGTGCCGACTTCCAAGAAGAACTCGACACGATGTACGACGATGCACTCGTCACCGGACGCGAAGAAGCACGACTGCTGCTGGAAAACCTGAAACCCAAACAAGCCAAAGAACAAATCTTGCAGATGTTGGAAAACGGCGAAATCGATCAGGTCGTAACGCTGCTGACCGCTATGCCGATTTCCAAACGAGGCAAGATCGCCCGCGAATTCAAAGCCCAAGACGAAGTCGTAAAGCTGGCGCAAATCTTGGAACGCGTTCGCGAAGGTGCGCCCGACGCCGACATCGTGGACGAAGTTCGGGCCGACGAACAACCCAACAATCCGGCGGGGGGATAAGCACGTGAGCACGATACCAGCGAACAACACGCCGCCCCCCACATCGCCCATCGACTTGGCGCCCCGCTCGTCGGCCGCCTCGGTGTTCGATGCCGCCACCGGTCCGTCGTTCAACGATCACTTGCAAGAAGCCTATCGCCCCCCAGTCACAAGCGATCACCACGACTCGTCGCACGACGACTCCACCGCCGACCATTCGAAGGTCGAACAACCACAAGCAGCCGCCTCCAAAGAACAACCCGCAAAGCCCGAAGCCACCGACGAGGCGACTCACGAGAGCGAGCCACCCCAAGCAGAAGCTACCAACACTGAAGCGACACAAGAAACCGAGACCTCTGCAGAAGAGCCTGAAGCCGAGGCGAAAGAAAACCCAACTCCAGTCGCCGAGCAAAAAGATAAGAAAGAAACAACTACCGAACCCGGCGAGGCGGAAACAGTCGTCGTAGCGGCAACAACAGTCGAAGAAAAACCAGCCCAACCGGCCGAAACAAACGCCGAGCAAAAGCAACCCCAGGCAACCGCAACCGAAAAAGTCACGGAAGGCTCCAAACAAGCCCTACCCAAAGCAGGCACCCAAACAGGCGAAGACGAAGCCGAACCGAACACAAAGCAGTCCGTCGCCGAGAAAAGCGAAACTAAGGCCGACGGCGAAAAGCAATCCAAAGCCGACCAGGTCGTCGCGAAGCTGGCGGAAAAGCCAGACAAAGACGCCACGAAGCCCGTCAAGGCAGCCACAACCGAACAGCCCACAGCGAAACAACCCACCGCAGAAGTGGTCGATCAACAGTCATCACCTACGCAATCCACCGAACAACAAGCCAAGGTAACAACCGACGAGACCACACCAGAGAAAAAGTCCGCAACCACCGTCACCACAAAAGAGCAGGGCACCGAAGCCACACAGGTGAAGCAACAAACCTCACCGCAACCGCAAAGCACCAACCCAGTGGCTGGCCAAGCCGCGGTGGCCGAAGAAGGCAAGTCGAGCAAGCAGACAGAAGCCGAAGCAACCGATACCGACGAATCGAAGGACGATCGCAAGGAAGTCGAAGCCAAGAAGTCGAACCCCTTGCTGAGCAAGCCCTCGCAAAAGGTTTCCGCCGAAATCGCTCCCCAGCCCACCGGCGATGCTGCTTCTCAGCCAGCGGCCAGCGCAGCAGCCGCCCAAGCAACCGAAGCACCCATCGATGCCGTGGAAGCGACCACCGAGGACAAAGCCGATCAATCGACCAAGCGTGTCGAAGTAGTCAGCGACGATAAGTCCTCCGCCAAGCCCGCGCCGCGAACCTCCGAGATCACCACCGACTCGGCACCGCGCAACACGGCAGACTCCGTCGAGACCAAGCAAGCCGCCCGAACCGAGTCGGGCAAGCAACATGTGGAAGTCGATCGTGCTCGCTTCGTGCAACGGGTCGCTCGCGCCTTCAACACAGTAGGCGAAAACGGCGGCACGCTCCGCCTGCGGCTCAGTCCGCCGGAGTTGGGTTCGCTACGCATCGAAATCGAAGTCCGCGGCTCGACCATGACCGCTCGCATCGAAGCCGAAACCTCGGCCGCGCGCTCGGTCCTGCTCGACAGCCTTCCGGCACTCCGCGACCGCCTCGCCGATCAGAACATCAAAGTCGACCGCTTCGACGTCGAACTGGCCAATCAGTCGACCGACGACGGCTCACGTCAACCTACCGGTCAGCGCGATCGCCAGGGCGAACAATCGCAATACGGCAACTCCCCCGGCGGCAACGCTCGCCAGGCGGAAACTGCCAGCAGTGAGAATAGTTCTGCAAACCCAGTCCACGACGACACCCAACTCAATGTTGTGGTGTAAGCGAACAGCAACCAAACCAACGGAGTGAATTATGGACGTCGGCGCGACAGGCAGCAGCTCGAGCACAAACGGTACCAGCCCCACCGAACGCGATTTCACCGATGCTCTCGGCGGGCTGGACCTTGGCGACTTCTTCGATCTGATGATCAAAGAACTCCAAAACCAGGATCCCTTGAACCCTCAAGACTCCGACAAAATGCTGCAGCAGTTCGCTCAGCTTCGGGAGATCGGCGCCACAGACAAGCTCAACGAGAGCCTCGATTCAATGCTCTTGGGTCAGCAACTCACCAACGCCAGCACCCTGGTCGGGAAAGACATCATCGGGCTCTCCGACGATGCCAAAGATGTCGAGGGAACCGTCGACCGCGTCACCATCGAAGAGGGCGTGGCCAAGCTTCACATTGGCGAACAGAAGATCTCCATCAAGAACATCCGCGAAATCCACGCCAACTCAGCCGGCGATAGCGAATAGTTGAACCAACAAACCAGGACGCAAACGCAACTGCAACCAAACGCTCGATCTCAAACCACTCAAGGTCGACGTTAAATATCAACCTCAACTAGGAGGGGGTTAACCATGGGTCTTTCATCAGCTCTCAGCACGGCGCTCACCGGCCTCAACGCCGCGGAAGCCACCATCGATGTGGTGGGTAATAATATTGCCAACTCGAACACCGTCGGCTTCAAAGCTTCCGATGCCGTGTTCGCCACACAGTTCTTGCAGACCCAAAGCTTGGGTTCTGCCCCCACGCTGAACACCTCCGGCGGTACCAACCCCCGCCAGACCGGTCTCGGTACCAAGGTGGCCGCCATCACGCCCGACTTCACGCAGGGCACCATCGAAATCAGTGCCAGCCCTTCCGACTTGGCCATTCAGGGCGACGGGTTCTTCATCGTCCAAGGCTCGCAGGGCGAACAGCTTTACACCCGTAACGGTATCTTCTCAACCAACTCCGAGAATGAGCTGATCACCGTCGGCGGTAACCGCCTATTAGGCTTCGGCGTCGACGACCTGTTCCGTCTGCAAACCACCGAGTTGGTGCCCATCGAGATTCCCTTGGGTGCCAAGGTCGTGGCCCAGCCGACCGAGAACGTGTTCCTCGAAGGTGCGCTCAGCCCCAATGGCGATCTGGCAGACACCGCCGAGATCATTCAATCCGGCATCTTGGGCGATGGCTCGCAGTTGGCCCCCACCGCGGGTCCCACGGTCGGTATCTCCACGCAACCGGTCGACACCTACACCGCCACCGAAGGCGCTGCCAACGGCACCGCGCTCTCGCAAGGCTTCTACCGCTACAAAGTCGTCTACGTCGACGCCTCGGGCAACGAGACTACTCCGTCGGACGATGTGGTCGTCGAAGTCACCACGGCCGGCGGTGCCGAAGTCGATTTGGCGGCCATCCCCGACGATGCCTCCTACGCCTCTCGCCGCATCTATCGCTCGGAAGTGCAGGGCAGTGCGGCCCTCAGCGATCCTCCTCCCACGTACTACCAAGTGGCCGACATCCCATCCGGCGGTGCCACCACGTTTAACGACACCATCGACGACGTGACGCTGGCCACCAATCCCGCGCTCGACGATGACATTCTCTCGGGCAACTACAGCTACTACGTCACCTTCTATAAGGCTGGCCAGCCAGACAGTCGACCTTCACCGCTCACCACGCCGGTTATTGTCTCCAACGGTCGACTGGAACTCACGAACCTTCCGGCCGATCCTTCCGGCGGCGTGTTCGATGGCATTCGCATTTGGCGAAACACGGCCAACGACAACCAGACCTTCTACGAAGTGGACACGGTCGCATTCGGTGAAACCTTCATCGATAACTTCAGCGATGCCGAGATCCAAACGCTCGGAAACGAAATCGACCTCGACGGTCCACGCATCACCCCGGGCACCTTGCTCACCGATGTCCTCCTCCGCGACGGCTCGGTCTACAACCAGGTCTTCGAAGAAGGCACCCTGTCGTTCCAAGGCGAAAAGGGCGGACGAACCTTGGCTGCCCAAGAGTTCGAGGTCACCGCCACCACAACCGTCCAAGACTGGATGTCCTTCGTCGAACAGGCCCTCGGTATCCAAAAGCCGCCGGGACCCGATCCAATCAATGTCATTCCTGGCGATACCTCAGGCTCGAACATCGGTGGCGACATCATCAACGGGCGCATCACGTTCGTGGGTAACAACGGTGTGCAGAACGCCATCGATATCGGGCTTTCCGGTCTGCAACTCACCACGGCCACCGGCAACGAGCAAGTTGTCCTCCCGTTCGGCTCCATCCAACAAGCGGTGGGCGAAAGTGCGGTCACCGACTTCGTGGCCTACGACTCGCTCGGTTCACCGTTGAACGTTCGAGTGACCATGGTTCTCGAAAGCCGCGACAGTACCAGCACCACTTACCGCTGGTTCGCCGACTCGCCCGACAATCAACCCACCAACGGCAGCTCGATCTCCGTCGGTACCGGGCTGGTCACATTCGACGGCGAAGGCAACATCTCCGAGGTAACCGAGTCGACCGTCTCCATCGAAAGACGCGATGTCTCGGCCGCTTCGCCCCTGGAGTTCGACTTAGACTTCAGCCAAATCTCCGGCCTGGCCGTGCAGACCAGCACGCTCAACGCCTCGCGGCAAGATGGTTCGGCACCCGGTACGTTGACCAGCTACATCGTTGGTGAAGACGGCACCATCCGTGGTGTGTTCAGCAACGGTGTAAGCCGCGACCTGGGCCAACTCCGCCTGGCCCGATTTGCCAACCCCGAGGGTTTGGAACAGCTCGGCGAAAACCTCTACGCCAGCGGCGTGAACTCCGGCCTGGCAATCGAAGGTAACCCGGGCGAACAGGGCATCGGCGGCATCGTGGCCGGTGCGGTTGAACTGTCGAACACCGACATCGGGGCGAACCTCATCGACCTGATTTTGGCCACCACGCAGTATCGAGGAAACACCCGTGTGATCACCGCCGCCCAGCAACTCTTCGACGAGCTACTGAACCTGCGACGGTAATCGCGACACCGACAATTAGGCACCAGGCTTTCACGCTTCGGGCAAAGTTGGGCGATCACCATGATCAAACTAACACGACTCGACGGACAGGCGTTCGTCTTGAATGCCGACCTCATTCGTTACGTCGATGAGCGGCCCGATACGTTCGTCACCCTCACCAGTGGCGACCGGATCGTGGTCCGCGAATCGATGGACGCCGTGGTCAGCGCCGCAGTCGATTACCAACGCTCGAAGTACCTGGTGCCGCCGCTGCAAACTTAATGCTTCCTAACCCACTCGAGGCCACAGTCGCCAACAAGCGAACGACGTTATGGATATAGCAACCCTGGTCGGGATTCTTACCGCATTCGGCATGATGTGCTATGCGGTGATCGCGGCCGGAGCTTCATTCGGCGCATTTTACGATCTCCCCTCGGCCCTGGTGGTCGTGGGCGGGGCACTCGGTGCGCTGATGATGTCGTTTCCCTTGAAGAACTTCCTCGGCACCGGCGGGGTGATCAAGGTCGCGTTCTTCAACAAGCAGCACAACATCTCGCAAATCATCGAGACCATCGTCGACCTGGCCGAAACCGCCCGCCGCGACGGACTACTGGCTCTGGAAACCAAGCTTGAAGACGTCGACCATCCCTTCATCGTCTTGGGCATTCAAATGGCCGTCGATGGCTCGCAGCCCGAGGTCATCGAAGACATCTTGCGCACCGAGATGGAGGCCGTGCACAAACGGCACAGTAATGCCAAGGGCGTGCTCGACCAATTCGGCCGCATGGCCCCTGCATTCGGCATGATCGGAACCCTCATGGGGCTCATCATCATGTTGGGCAACATGAGCGACCCCTCGTCCATCGGCCCTGCCATGGCCGTGGCCCTCATTACCACCCTGTACGGCGCAATCGTGGCAAATGCCTTCGCCATTCCGCTGGCCGACAAGCTAAGTTTTATTAACAAGCAAGAGATTCAGGCCATGGAGATCATCATCCGCGGGATCATGGCGATCCAAGCGGGCGATAATCCACGCGTCATCGAACAACGCCTTAACACCTACTTGCCGCCCAAACTGCGGGCCGGCAACCAAGAAAAGGCGGCATGACGCCATGGAAGACGATGCACCACCAGCCATTCCGGAGTGGGTCGTGACCTTCGGCGACATGATGTCGCTGTTGCTGACCTTCTTCATCATGCTGGTGTCGATGAGTGAAATCAAACAAGAAGAAAGCTACCAGGCACTGGTCGATTCCATGCGGCGACGGTTCGGGCACATGTCCTCCAGCGCCAGCATGGCCCCCGGTGAGTTCAAACCCCGCAACTCGAAAATTGCCAACATCGCAACCGAGGGGCGGGCCAAACGATTCAACACGATGGACGGCGGCGACAAGGTTCAGGCCCCCGTGGGCGACCACCCTCGGGTCGAAATCATTCGCCGCAGCGATGATGTAACCAGCGGAGGAGTCGTCACGTTCGATGAGTCTTCCGACAAACTAACCCCCGAAGATCGCACCCGGCTCGATGCCGTGGTCGAATCGATTCGCGGAAAATCACAACGCATTGAAATCCGAGGACACACCACCCGCCGCCCATTGCCTAAAGATTCGCCATACCGCGATCATTTGGACCTGGCCTACGCCCGCGCCCGCGCGGTGATGGACTACCTTGTTTCCAAAGGAATCGACCCCGACCGAATCCGCATCACATCCGCCGGTGGCAACGAACCCGTAAGCACCCAACCCGATCCGCTGGAACAAAAGAAAAACCGTCGCGTCGATATCTTCTTGTTAGATCAATCGCCCGATCGGCTCGACTTGCCCCAGAACAACAAGCAAGACACCAAACCAAGCACGCAACCCACAAACAATTCGTAGAACGGACTCACTCCCGAAACGGCATGACAGGAGGTCGCGCACCCAACACACCCTAAAACAATCGACATAGCCATGGCCGACGAAGAACAGGTCTCCGCAGATGAAGCCACAACCCCCGAGGCCGAAGGGTCGCCTCGCGGGCGTTCAGGCTTGATCAAGAAACTGCTTGCTGCCGCTTTCATTGCATTCGTTGTCATCATCGAATGCTCGCTGGCATACATTTACATCCCGTCGGTGGCCGAAGCTACCATGGCTGCCGAAGAAAGCGTCATCCTCGAACCCGAGGTTCCCGACGAAGAGGAACTTGAAGAGCTCGAAGAAGAAGACGAATACACCGAAGTCGATCTGGGTCAGTTCAGCGTGCAGTCGTTTCAGCCGGGTGCCAACACCACGCAGGTTATCGATTTTCACATTTACGGAACAATTCGCTTCGACGATGAGTCGGATTGGATCACTCTTTTCGGCATGAACGAGCAACGCTTTCGCGATCAGGTGATTGTGACCATGCGAAGTTCGTCGCCGAGCGATCTCTCCGACCCAGGGTTGGGCTTGATCAAACGCAAGATATTGAAGAAAACAAACGAGATGCTTGGGAAGCCGCTCCTGCAAGGAATTGTCTTCCCCGACTTCTCCTATCTTGAACAGTAGTCTCTTCCTCTCCCGGTCGCCTGTACCGGACGATGCTAGCTAGCCACGCGGATGCAAGGATTGCTGACCGCGACGGAAATGGAATTCCATGGCCGACGAAAAAAAAGACATCAACCAAGATGAGATCGAAGAGTTGCTCAAGAAGGGCAACCAAGATCCTTCCGCGGCCGATTCGTCTTCCGCTGCCCCCGCCGAGGATAGCTCGCTAGGGCAAGACGAAATCGAAGCCCTGCTCAACAAGGGCAATTCCCCCGCAAGCGCCGAAGAAGACGACGGCGACAAGACGCTGGCACAAGACGATATCGAAGCCCTGCTGGCCGAAAAGGGCGTAGCTCCAAAGACTCAAGCGGCCCCAAAACCGGCCGCCACCAGCAAGGCTGGCGACGAAGAAATTGCACAAGAAGATATCGAACTGCTCCTAAGGCAAGCCGAAACGGCGCTGGCCTCCATCGAAGAGCCCTCCGGCGCATCGAACATCCCGGGCATGCAGTCGTTCAAGTTCGAAGAGTTCCGCGGTGCGGCCCCTTCGGAAGAAATCGCCACCCTCGATCTGATCCGCGACGTCGAAATGGATCTGCGGATCGAACTGGGCCGCACGCACATGCATCTCGAGGACATCCTCAAGCTGCGCAAAGGCTCGGTGGTGCCGCTCGACAAACTCGCCGGCGACCCGGTCGATGTTTATGTGAACGGACGCTTGATCGCCCGTGGCGAAGTGCTCGTGCTCAACGACAACTTCTGCGTTCGCGTGGCCGAGCTTCTCTCCGGCGAAACCGCCAGAGCAGGGTAGGGCGTTCCCACACCCGTACACGATTCCAGGGGTGCCGTAAAAACTTAGTTGTGCAGGTTACCAGTATCTTGAATCCAGGGGTGCCACTGCTGGCTTGTCCAGCAGTGCCAAAGCTGACTTGAACTTTTCAAACATCCGCGGAACCAAACGCCTAACAACCCGCATCAACATCGGCCACCCGGTTACTCCTTCTCCACTTAGAATCTGAAAAAGAAATCGCACGGATGCGTCGGATCACCGCTGTCACATTGCTGCTCTTCTTCACCGCGGGCATCGCGCAAGCGGATGACGTCCCGCCCCGGCGGTTCGTTTCTGAAGCGCATCGCAGCAACGCACCCGCACCTCCGGCCCAGTCACCTGTTGCCGAAGAAGCCACAACCCCGGGCGAGCAGTTCTTCGGAAATCAGCCTTCGTTCCCCTCGCCCAACGAAGCCCGTCGCACGACTACCGTTCAGTTCGTGTCGAGTAGCCAAGAAGAACCTATCGAAGAAGAAACTCCCCCAGTCGAACCCGCACCTCCGATAGCAAAGCCGGCGCACTTGGAAGCCGAACCAGCGCCCGCCCAACCAGTCTTCGCCGAGCCGCAATCCAATACGCCGATCCATCTCGAACCGCCCGCGGCTCGACCATTGCCCACGCTCGAGCGCCCCGGGACAAACGCCTCAGCCGACAGTCGCCTATCCAGCCCGATGGCTTCGATCGCCACCATCGGCGGTAGCCTGGCCGTGGTGCTGGGCCTGTTCTTCATCATGGCTTGGTTCATGCGACGCAATATGCCTCGCGGCAATGCTCGCCTTCCGGATGAAATCGTGCAGGTGCTCGGTCAATCCACCCTTGGGAATCGACAGCCGGTGCAACTCATCCGCTGCGGCAACAAACTCGTGCTGCTGGCGACCACGCCCCAGGGGCTGACTCCGCTAACCGAAATCACCGATCCGCTGGAAGTCGATCGCCTGGCAGGGCTTTGCCTGCAATCGCAGCCCTACAGTGCGACGCAGGCCTTCGGTCAACTCTTGCATCAGCAGTCGAGTGATTCCACTGGCAACCGGAACCGAACGTCGGGGCTCGATAGCCTCAACGACTTGGCCGCCAGCCGACTTGAACAACTGCGAGCGCAGACAAACCCCAATGCTTAACCGCCCGAACTCATCACGAGCTTCCAAGTCGCGCTCCCGCGACAAGGATCGGGCTGCGTCTCGCCGTCGCGAGGCCCTCAATCGGTGGTACGGCAGTTCGGCCCGCCGCTGGATGGCGTTGATGGTCGCGGTGTTCGCCATGTTCGGCTTCCTGCGTTCCGTCGATGCCCAAGACGCTGAGCCGCCCCAACTACCCACAGTCGAATCGGCCAACTTGCCGGCCACACTCGAACTACCCGAGCAGTGGATCGGCGACCCGCGCGAATGGACCAAGCCCGAGCGGCTCAGTTCCACGCTACAAGTGATGCTGCTGCTCACCGTGATCAGTCTCGCACCCTCGGTGCTGATCATGAGCACCTGTTTCATACGCATCATCGTCGTGCTCGGTATTCTCCGCCAGGCCCTCGGCACGCAACAATTGCCACCCAGCCAGGTCATCACATCCATCGCACTGTTCATGACGCTCTTGGTAATGAGCCCCGTCTGGAAACAGGTGTACGACGATGCGATCAAGCCCTACACCAATCAAGAGATCGACCTGGAAGAAGCGTGGGAGAAGGGCGTGAAGCCAATGCACCGCTTCATGAGCCTGCAGATCGAACGCACCGGCAACAGCGAAGACGTGTGGCTATTCCTCGAATACATGCCCAACACGCCCGAACCCAAAACCTACGAAGAGGTCCCACTGGAAGCGCTGCTACCGGCATTCATGCTCAGCGAGCTGAAAACAGCCTTCCTCATCGGGTTCCAGATCTTTCTGCCCTTCGTCATCCTCGACATCGTGATCGCTAGCGTCATGATCGCCATGGGTATGCTCATGCTGCCCCCGGTGCTTATCTCCTTACCGTTCAAGTTGCTGCTGTTTGTGCTCGTCGACGGCTGGCATCTCGTCGTCGGCATGTTGCTGGAAAGCTTCCAAACATTCACAGGCTGAACTTCAGCGTTCGCTGCTGCGCGGTGGTTGCAGGCATCCACCAATACCGAACGCTCGCAAGATAAAGGTACCAACCAATGACACCCTCCGACGTGGTCGACATGTGCCGCGAAGCCCTCATGATCGGGCTGTTGGTCAGCGCCCCGGTGCTCATCACTGGCGTGGTCGTCGGTCTGCTCATCGGTCTGCTGCAAGCCCTCACACAAATCCAAGAACAAACCATAAACTTCGTTCCCAAGCTGGTCGCCATGGCCGTCGCCCTGGCCCTCACCCTGCCATGGGTCATCACCCGACTCACCGAATACGTCCAAGACCTCATCACCGACATCCCGTATGCGTTGTGAGGTGTTGCTCAGCCGACACCGCCACCGCCTCTAAGCACCGAATCGAGTCATAGAGACCCCACGTGGAATGGCTATCAGGCATCAACCCGGATCACTTCTTAATCTTCACCCTGGTTCTCATCCGAATCAGTGGGCTGGTGGTGACCGCGCCAATCTTTGGCGATAAGGCCGTGCCTCCGCGTATCAGGGGAATGCTGGCGTTTGGGCTTGCGCTACTCCTCACCCCCACGCAGATCGACACCGTAATCCCGCCGCCAGAAAACCTGCTTGGCTTCGCGAAGCTAGCCGGCGGTGAAATCCTGGTCGGGCTCACACTGGGCCTAGGGGTGATGTTGCTCTTCAGCGGTGCCCAACTCGCCGGGCAACTCATCAGTCACCTTTCCGGGATGGCCCTGGCCGATGTGTTCCAGCCGGGCCTGGATACCAGCCTGCCGGTATTTTCGCACTTGCTGTACCTGGTCTCGTTGGCCGTGTTCGTGCTCATCGATGGCCACCGCCTGGTGATGACCGGGCTGCTCAGTGCATTCTCGGCCGTTCCGCCCGGTTCGGCAGGCGTCCCGCTTTCGGCTGCCGAGGCCTTCACCGAACTGCTCTCCCAAAGTTTCATGCTCGGCATCCGCACGGCCGCCCCCATCACGGTCGCACAACTGTTGGGCACGCTGGTCCTAGGGCTCATCAGCCGCACGTTACCTCAACTCAACGTCCTTGTGATGGGGTTCGGTATCAACGCCTTGGTTACGCTATCACTGATCATGTTCACCATGGCCGGTATGGTTTGGGTATTCGAATCGCAAATGGAACCGCTGCTCGAACTGGCCTTCGACGCAGTGAACCTGCCGCTAGGATTAGGGCCCGGCTTACCGTAGTCGTTCGCGCAGCCGCCTGATTGGAATTGAATCGTGCCTGATACCCAGGGCGATAAGAACCAAGAAGCCACACCGCATCGCAGGCAGAAAGCCCGCGAGCAGGGGCAGGTCGCGCGCAGCCAAGACTTAAGTTCCGCTGCGTTGTTGTTAGGCGGCCTGCTCGCCTTGCTGTGGATGGGGCGGGGCATGGTCAACTTCTTCTTCGATATCACCCTCGATCACCTCGGCGGCGATGCCTGGCTTTCGACCGATGTCGCGACAATCAGCAACCAGAGCGTCGGCATGGTCGCAGGCATCGCAGGCATCTTCCTCCCCATCCTGGGCATCATTGTGCTGCTGGCCGTCGTCTCGAACGTGCTGCAAGTCGGCTTCATGTTCTTGCCCGAGAAACTGGCCCTGAACCCCGGGCACGTCAATCCGCTGAAAGGCGTCAAACGAATCTTCTCCCTGCCGGGCGTCGTTCGCTTGGGATTCGGCATCATCAAGATCTGCATCGTCGGCGTTATTGCCGGCATTTCGCTCTACAGCCAGCGCGACGAAATCCTGGCTCTCTCCGGCCTCTCGATTCCTCAGATCGCTTGGTTCCTACCAGAGATCTTGCTGTGGACTGCCATCAAGATCGCAGTCGCGCTGCTCATCCTGGCCCTGCTCGACTACGCGTTTCAGAAGTGGAAGCACGAGCAAGATCTGAAGATGACTAACCAGGAAGTCCGCGAGGAAATGAAAAACTTGCAGGGCGATCCGCAGATCATCGCCCGCCGCCGTGCCGTTCAGAGGCAGTTGGTCCTCAACCGCTTGTCATCAGCCGTGCCGAAAGCCGACGTGGTGATCACCAACCCCACCGAGCTGGCTATCGCCATTCAGTACGATACCGAAACCATGCTGGCCCCCATCGTCGTGGCCAAAGGTGCCGGCGTCGTCGCGCAGCGCATTCGTAGACTGGCCCTCGAGAACAGCATTCCGGTGATCGAGAAGAAACCCCTGGCCCAAGCCCTCTACAAACAGGTCGACGTCAACCACCCCATCCCCCGCGACCTCTACGCCGCAGTGGCCGAAGTGCTCGCCTATGTCTACCAACTCAAAGGCAAGCCAATCCCCACCCCACCCAACGCCCGCGATGCAGCGTAAAAAGCCGCACTCCCAACCCCCGGGTGCAGGGTGGCCCAGCCGCGCCGGCTGGGTCGCCAAAGGCGACAAGATGCTATGAGAAAAACTCTCTCGGCCGAGAGAGTCGACCATTCACATCACATTGCTCAGCATCAATTGATGGCGACAAGCATCAATTCAACAGAAGTTTCCACACCCAACACCCGCGGTACGGCATGAAACAACCGCAATCCCAAATCCCCGGGTGGCCCAGCCGCGCCAGCTGGGTCGCCGAAGGCGACAAGATGCTATGAGAAAACTCTCTTGGCCGAGAGAGTCGACCATTCACACCTCACTGCTTTACTGCAATTGTTTGTGGCTAGGATCAAATCAACCGGAAGGTCCACCCTCTTTAATTGGCATCTTGTCGACTACGTCGACCCAGCCGAGACGGCTGGGCCACCCAGATCAGCCGAGGCATCTGAAGACCGTAGCCGCCTAGTTCGATGCCGGCGAAGAAGCTTCAACCGGTTCCGCTTCCGGATCGGTATACCCATACTGCTCGATGAATGCACCCCACTGTTCGCTAATCTGCTTGCGAATCTCAGGGTCGAGCTTGCGATAGCGATTCGTCTTATAGTCGGCCGCGTCTGCGAAGTACTGCTCGATGGCCGGCAGCACGGTTTGGAAGTCGCCCAGTTGAAGCTGCTCGTAGATGTCCCGCATGTTCTCGATCGGGTTCGCCACCAGGTCTTCGTACTTCAAAACCGTGAGATTCCCCTCAGGCACTAAGTCCCGTGTGGCCTCGAACTCTTTGTGCATGCGAGCGAAGTTGTCCAGAACATACTCTTCAATACCTTCGCCCGTGGGGTCTTGATACCCGTGCGCTTCGTACAGCGACTTCCATAGATGAACCGTGGAAGGGAACACCACGTAGGGGTTCCGCACCAGGTACACGAATCGGGCGTCGGGGAACAACTCCAGCAGCACCTTCAAACGGCTGGTATGTGGCGGCGACTTCAACACCAACCGCCGTGGGTCTTTGCACGTGAGCATCTTCACGAACCACATCCAGCCCCGCTTCCAATGGGCCTGGTCTTCTTCCGACACACCTTGGAAGTCGAGATACTCAGGGCACTCCGGCGGATGGTTCGGGAAAGCAATTGTGCGATACGGCGTGGGAATGCCCATGCTGCACAGCGCGAACTCATCTTCCTGAGGGCGATCCCAACCCAGCGCCATGTTGTCCATCGGCCGCTTCGGGGGAACCAGAAACTTCAGCAGCTTCCCGCCAATGCCTGAGGTCAGCAGCACGTGGTGAGGGCAGAAGCATTCATACGTCGTCGGATAAGTATGCTGCTCGTCAAGCACCAAAAGTTCGTGCAGTAGTGTGGTGCCCGAGCGCCAATGCCCGATGATGAACAGCGGAGGATGCTCGACCTTGGTCTCTTCGATCTTCCGCCCATGAGTCAGCTTCTGCACCCGACCCAAAAAGCTATGCCCGGCGGCGATGACCAAGTCGATGAACACAACGTGAATGTACTTGTAACCCACGTTGAAGCGGTGCCGCCACAGGATATCCCACAGAGCACCGAAGTTGCTGCCGATCCACACATGCGGATCCCAGCGTCGGAAATTCGGCTTGGCGTATTCCTGCTTGTCCTTGCCCTTGGCCGCATCGTCCGACTTGGCAGTTTGGCCGTTGGTCGACGACGATCCGTTAGCAGCCGCCGCAGCGCTACCGCCTTTTCCGGAACCCGTCTCTTTCACCGACCCAGCCATAATTGGTCCTTTATCTCTGCCGAAAACTATCCCTCAAATCTAACTCACCCCCGGTTTCGTTTGAAGGCACCAAAGCGGCGAACACCGCCGATTTGGCAGCAAAAGGCTGCATAACACGCACCCAAGTCCACTCCAGTGGCGAAAACAATGCCAGGGTAGGGCACCGGGTGCACGGTGCGGCCGAAGGAATTCTCCACGCCTCCGCAACCTTCATTTCGGCAGAGGTGGGGGACGCCGCCTGTCGCATCACTAGGTCCTGCGACAACTAACGTCGAACCGACTCGATGGCGTGGCCAGCCCTTCGGGCCACGGCTTGCAGCGCGGCGTGCATCTCCATCACGAGTTGTTGCCCCGGCTGCTTTCCCACCAGGCGATTCAACGGCGCCCCGCCGGGCGATACAAACTGAATCGTCGGGAAGCCCCGCACCTGGAATCGCTGGCAAACACCCGACTCGGCGTCGGCATCGATCAGCACACAAGTGAACCGCTCCGAAAGATCAACCGCTTGCGGGAGCGTGAACGCCTCGGCCGCCATTTGATGGCAGTACGTGCACCACGAGGCCGTGAAGAACAGCATCATCGGCTTGCCGGTCCGCGTGGCCTCTTCCTGCCCACGCTCGAACCCTTCGATGAACCGAATGTTTCCGCGGGTCACCGTGGGAGCATCGATGGCATACTCGGCCGAAGCCTGCGCATCGGTCGAGTCCGCGGGCGAGCATCCGCATAACAGGACAACAGACAGCAGCGCACTTGCAACGCTGGCAAGTCGAAGTTGCATCGTACTAACAGCCGTAAGCTTGGGGTGCAAAATTACGCTTGCCCCCACACGACACCCCTTCGAAACGTTCTGTCATTTTCGAAGTGCAAGAAGTCTGGCCCAGACTCAACACAGCGCGGTGTGTATCGCAGCAGGTCGATCCGTAGATCGGATTCTTTCACGAGTGGTGCGGGATGCTAGCTGAATCGTCCTACGGAGAACGAACCAACAACATTGAGTGTTATCGCCACGCAATGCTGGCTACTTGAGCATCGGATGCCGGTGCGGCAATCTGGCACACCGCTAGCACACTCGTGCAAACCGGACTGGACACTTTTCGGGGGTTTGAGTACCGTCCCGCACCTCTTCTGAATTTTCGCAAAATCTTCATTACTGCAAGCGTATTGCAGCCGGAGACAGCAGATGGCTCCCGGTTCCAGCGCCTCCCTTTCGCGACACCCGCTGGGGAGAGTGCAAGAGCTGATTTTACCGATGGGCATCGTCGCCAGCGTGCTGGTGATCATGATGCCGCTGCCATCGTTCCTGATGGATTGCCTGTTGGCGATTAACATCAGCGTCGCCGTGATCGTTTTGCTCACCACGATTTACGTGAAGACGCCGCTGGAGTTCAGCATCTTCCCGTCGCTGCTGCTGGCCACCACCTTGGGCCGGCTCGTCCTGAATGTGGCCACCACCCGACTAATTCTCACCCGTGCCGAAAGCCATGGGCTGAACGCGGCCGGAGGCGTGGTGAAGAGCTTCGCCGAGTTCGTCACCGGCGACAGCATCGTGGTCGGGCTGATCATCTTCATCATTATCATCGTCATTCAATTCGTGGTGATCACCAAAGGTGCCACCCGTATTAGCGAAGTGGCCGCCCGATTTGCCTTGGACGGAATGCCCGGTCGGCAGATGGCGATCGACGCCGATCTCAACGCCGGCATCATCGACGAGCACGAAGCCCAGCAACGACGACAAGCCATCACCGATCAGGCCGACTTCTTCGGGGCCATGGACGGTGCCAGCAAGTTTGTTCGCGGCGATGCGATTGCAGGCATTATTATTACGCTCATCAACATCGTCGGTGGCCTCTACATTGGAATGGTCGACGCGGACATGGGCGCGGGCGGGGCGGCTTCGCTCTTCACCCGCTTGACCATCGGCGATGGTCTCGTCAGTCAAATTCCGGCCTTTTTGATTTCGTTGGCAGCCGGCCTATTGGTCACGCGAAGCTCGAGTTCTTCGAACCTGCCAGCACAGTTCCTCGCTCAGTTGTTCTCCCGTCCACAAGCCTTGGCCGTGACGGGGGCCTTCCTGGGCATCCTGGTCTTTACCAACCTGCCGGCACTTCCGCTCACAACCATCGGCTTGTCTTGCATTGGCCTGTCGATGATGATCCGCCGCCGCGAGCAGGAGCAGGCTGTAAAAGAGAAAACCAAAGCCAAAGCCGAACAAGAGAAGCCGGCCGAGGAACGCATCGAGGACTACCTCACCGTCGATCCCATGGAACTCGAAATCGGTGTCGGGCTTATTCGCCTGGCCGACCCCAAACGCGGCGGCGACTTGCTCGAACGCATTCAACGCGTGCGGCAAGGCGTGGCCGGCGACCTGGGCCTTGTGTTGCCCAAGGTACGCATCCGCGACAACATGCGGCTCGACCAGAACCAATACCGCATCAAAATCAGCGACATGCCGGTAGCCTTGGCCGACGTGCATCCGAACATGTACCTCGCCATCGACTCGGGACTCACCACGGGCAAAGTGCCAGGGCTGGAAACCAAAGACCCCGCGTTCGGAACCGACGCCGTCTGGATCGAGCCGGGCGTTCGCGAACAGGCCGAAATGCTGGGCTACACCGTCGTCGAACCCGTCGCCGTGTTGGCCACGCACCTCACGGAAGTGGTTCGCAAACATGGCGACGAGCTACTCACCCGCGACGCAACCAAACACCTCATCGATCAACTCAAAGAAACCACCCCGGCCGTGGTCGACGAGTTAATCCCTGGCCTGCTGAAAATCGCCGAAGTCCAACACATCCTGCAGATGCTGCTCCGCGAGCAGGTTCCGATCCGTCACCTGTCGACGATTCTGGAAACCTTGGGCGACTACGCCGGTCGCTCGAAGGACCCAATTCTGCTGACCGAGTACGTACGGCATCGCCTGGCACGAGTCATCTGCTCGCGTTACCGCGACGCCGACAGCCGCCTATATGTAGTCACGCTCGACCCGAGCATCGAAGATCGCATCCGAGCCGGATTCGACCACAACGAGCGAGGGTTGTTCATCAAACTCGCCCCGCAAGCCGTCGACTCGATTTGCCAGTCGATCGCCAACGAGTGTGAGAAGCTCACTCGGGCCAACAAAAGGGCCGTCGTTCTGGTCAGCCCACAAATTCGGGCCGCATTGAAACAACTCACCGCTTCGCACATCCCGAACCTGGTCGTGCTGAGCTACAACGAAGTCACCCGTGATACCCAAATAGAATCGGTCGGCATGGTCACCGAACTGGCCAAAGCCGCGTAGAACCAATGAGTAAATTCACAACTCAGAACTTGAATGTGGGTGCCACTGCTGGCTTGTCCAGCAGTGAGACACAACGGTAGAACAGCCGTGACACGTCCGAGACCAATTCAGAAGTAAACAATCAAACGATTTGATCACCCAGACAGACTGAAAGATCGGGTCACCGACATGGACGTCAGAACTTTCCGAGCCGCCTCGATGCAAGAGGCCCTATCGAAAGTCCGCTTCGAACTAGGCCCAGAGGCCGCGGTGCTTCATACCCGCGAGGTGGCCTCGAGCCGTTGGGCACGATGGTTTGGCGGCAGCCGTCAAATCGAAATCACGGCCACCACCCAAGTCAGCGTGCCGAGTCGCTTACCAGAGAAAGCCGAACCGGTTCGAGTGGCCGAGCCAGCCGCCGCAACGCCGGCCCCCGCGCCGCACTTCGAAGTCGCCCCTCCGGCTAACAACCCTTCGCCCAGTCACGATCACTTGCAGGAACAGCTCGGGCAGTTGCAGTCGATGGTGGAAGACCTCTGCCGTCGCTCCCAAAAAGAACAAGGCCACGACTGGCCCCAGGAAATGTTCGAACTGTACACCGACCTGATCGAAGCCGAAGTGTCTGAAGAACTGGCCCGCGAACTCATCGAACGGGTACGTGGCGATGCCACCGGCGAAGAGATTGCCGATCCGGCACTCGCCAAGGCACGCATCTGCCGGATGATCGAAGACGAAATCACCGTCGCAGGCCCCATCACCAGCCGCCCCGGGCAATGTCGCGTGGTGGCCATGGTCGGTCCCACGGGCGTAGGAAAAACCACCACCATCGCCAAGCTGGCCGCTAACTTCCGCCTTCGCGATAAGAAACGCGTGGCCCTGGTAACGGTCGACACCTATCGCATTGCGGCGGTAGATCAACTTCGCACGTATGCCGACATTATCGATCTCCCGCTATACGTAGTTTCGACTCCGCGAGAGATGCGAGAAGCCATCGAACAGTTGCGCGACTACGACCTGGTAATCATTGACACGGCAGGCCGCAGCCCTCGCGACGGCGTGAAGCTACAAGAGCTGAAGGCCTTCCTAGATGAAGCCCAAACCGACGAAGTGCACCTGGTTCTCAGCAGCGTGAACAGCGCCAAGAGCCTCTCACGCACCGCTGAAGATTTCTCGGTCGTCGGCACCACGTCGCTGGTACTCACGAAGCTCGACGAAGCCTCGGGGCTGGGCAACTTGTTGCCGCTGCTGCGAAGCACCAAGCTGCCGCTGTCTTACCTGACCAACGGTCAGAACGTGCCCGACGACATCGAACCGGCCGAACGACGCCGCCTGGCCCGTGTGGTCTTGGGGCTCGATGTCGATTAGTAGATTCAACCTTGATGACGGTAGCCAGGCTTCCGGAAGCAGAGACAAACAACAAACGTGTTCACTGGGTTTTCCCGCCACCGTGTTCAACGTGCAAGACAACGACCATGAATGATCAAGCCACCGTTCTGCGACAGTTGGTGCAGCGACGACTGGATAACGCACTGACCGATGTACGTCCCCCGACGCTGCTCACTGTGGCCTCGGGTAAGGGCGGGGTCGGAACCACGACCATCGCTCTGAACATCGCCGCGGCCGTTGCTGCGAATGGTTTTCGCACCGTGCTGGTCGATGCCGACCTGCGGGGTGGCGACGTGCATCAATTGTGCCACGTTCAAAGTCTGTACTCGGTAGCCGACGTCCTCGCCGGGCGGCGCACGGTTCACGAAGTGCTGGCCTCCGCCCCAGGTGGACTGCAAATCGTTCCCGGCGTTTGGGCCCTGGGCGAACCGGCCGACAGTTCGGATGCCGCACAACTGCGATTGCTGACCGAACTGCGAGGACTGGGCGAACATGCCGACTTTGTGGTGATCGACGCCGGCGCTGGTCTGAACCGCACAGCGAAACTCTTCTGGCAATCGGCCGATCACGTGTTGGTGGTCACCACGCCCGATCCCGTGGCGGTGATGGACTCGTACGCAGCAATCAAGGTCCTCGTGGGCGGCAACTTCCACCTGAAGATCGATGCCCTGGTGAACAAGGCGCCCGACCTCGAGACGGCCACCGACGTACAGCAGCGACTCTCACAAGCCTGCCGAAGGTTTCTGGCTCGCGACCTGAGTTCGGCCGGTTGGATTCCCTTGGCAACGCGTGAGTTCGCAGGCGACGGACATGGCTCGCCCGGCGTGGTGGCTTTCCCACACAGCGCCGCAGCGATGGCCATCAAACAAACCGCGCTGAAGCTAGCCAGCCCCATCACGGTTGCGGCTTAAAGTTAGACCAACTATTCCCGCTTGCTGGCGCGAGCGATTAGCGAAGTATCGAAGACAATTTTTAGGTAATCGACGAATCAACGGAAAACATCTCAACTCGCGACACAATTCCAGCCGATGAGGAGGATCACTGCCGACAGGCAACGAGCTGTAAAGCTGTACCGCCTGCGTTAACTTTGACAACAAACCGCTTGGAGATTGGCCGTGGGACGCAGCTATGCTGGCATCCTCGGCCCCTTGGCCTTCGCACTAACCATCGCGCGGGGCATGATCCTTGGCGGCTCGGTCAACGAAACGCTGCTCACAGCTTGCATCGGACTCTTCGCTTGCGGTGGTCTGGGGTATGTCGTGGGACGGATCGCTCAAAGTACCGTTGACGAGTCGGTTCGAAGCCGGTTTGCCGCTCACATGCAGTCGCACGGCGACGCGTCGCCGAACGAAACACAATCCAGAGCAGCTTAGCAAGCAGGCTTGAAACGAAAACGACAACGAAACTTGAGACCTACGAACGGGTCTCTTAGTAACTGACGAGTGGCACGACGCTTCGCCGCGGCGGCCCCTGAGCCACGGACCGGTTCAGGTCAATTCATGGAGGATAGTATGGCAACGACGGTTGCACCCGACGTCGCAATGCAGGATTGGGTCACGTTCAAGAGTGACATGACCAATCAACCATTGAGAAACAAACTTGTCGAGCGGTACCTGCCGCTTGTGAGATATAACGGCGAACGCATCTGGTCGCGTCTCCCTGAGGGTGTCGAACTCGACGACCTCATCTCCGCAGGCGTCTTCGGCCTGATGGACGCGATCGACTCCTTCGATCTGTCGCGAGGAGTGAAGTTCGAAACCTACTGCGTGCCGCGTATTCGCGGGGCGATGCTCGACGAACTGCGGACCATGGACTGGGTTCCGCGTCTGGTTCGCTCGAAGGCCAGCAAGCTGAACGAGGCCACTAAAACGCTCGAAGCCCGCCTGGGCCGCCCGCCCACGGAAGTCGAACTGGCCGAGCAGTTGGAAATCAGCGTGCCCGAGCTGGAGAAGATGATCGTCGACGCCAATGCGGTCAACCTTATCAGCCTGAACAAGAAGTGGTACGAAACCGACAGCTACAAAGATGTCAGCGAGATCGACATCCTGGCCGACAAAAAGGGCGAAGACCCGACCCGGCGTATTCAGAAGAACGACCTGATGCGACTGGTCACCAAGGGCCTCAATCGTAACGAGCGGCTGATCATCATCCTCTACTATTACGAGGAACTCACGATGAAAGAGATCGGCGCCACGCTCGATCTCTCGGAAAGCCGCGTGAGCCAAATGCACAGCTCCATCGTCCAACGCCTCCAAAGCCAGCTCGGTAGACGACGTCCAGAGTTTGGGACGTAGTTGGTTGTTGGGTTGATAGTGAAAACATCAAAACGCCCCCTGAGTTTTCAGGGGGCGTTTTTTTCGCATGACCTAAGCGACTGGATCACCGGCTTGCAGCACGGTGACGACCTCTTGCAGTCAGAAGGAGTAAGATGCCAGTTCCAAGAAGCACAATCGTCGACGGTTCGGGAACCGGTACGATGTCGAGAAGCTGAGGATTCAACAATGCCGGTCCACTGCCAACTCCGATACCCGATACAATCGTTCGATCGCCAGTCGCGGAGTCGATTCGGATTAGGGAGTCTTCAACTGGGAATGACTCGTTTGTAACCAAAATGTTGCCATTCGTTTCGACGGCAATGCCTAATGGCTGAATCAGTGTGGGACCAGCGCCGGTCCCGAGTGCTGACACAACGGCGCGGTCTCCGGTTGTCGGATCGACAGTAAACACACCTCTAATCGGAGAGAGTCCGTCAAAGTTCGTAACCAGTACTCCACTATCGCCGTCAACCACCACATCAGACCAAAAATCTGGCACCGGCCCGTTACCTACACCATCCGCAGAGATGATCTCGCGATCCCCAGTCAGTGCATCGACCTTGATTAGAGTACTCGGTTGATCGAACGGTGCGACAAGGGTGACCAAGATGTCACCATTAGCGTCGAGCGTCATTCCTACTGGGTTAAGGATGTCTGGGCCGACGCCGACACCGGAACCTGACACGATGGTTCGCTCAAGTGTGACTGGATTGACCAGCAGCAGGCTATTGCCCGAGCCATCGGCCACGACTAAATTCCCGTCCCCGCGCACGACAATGTCGTGAGGAGATTGAATTACAGGGCCGGTCCCGATGGTTGAACTGGCGATTACTTGCCGGTTGCCTGTGGAAACATCGACATGAAAGACAGACGGGTTGGCGTGATCGGTAAAGAAGATGTCATGTGACGTTGCCACGGCTACGCCGAATGGATCAAATCCTAAGCCGCTTCCTACACCGACAGCGGAGATAATCGTTCGGTCACCTGTGGTTGGATCAACCTTAAAGATCACACCATCGCCTTCATCGGACAACTCACCGATCGACGCCACAACCACATCTCCAGGCGAGAGCATTGCCGCCGGGGCAAAGACAGAAACGCAAGTAACTAGGACGAAAACTATCGCCCTTGTTTTAAGATTTGCCCGCAAGATTTCTTCTCCTCAGCAGATGTCTGCTCGACCTGTCTTGCCATGCACGGGGTGCATGACCTACGCGTCACCCCTCACTCCACCACCGGCAGCACCAGGGCTGTGGGGTGTTCGGTGTCGTGGTGGATGGTGTTGTTGGCGACTCGGGGTGGCTTGTTTTCTTCGCCGATGGGTTCGCCGGTGTTGGGGTTGACTTCGAAGCGGGGGGAGTTGCTCGAGGTGACGTGCAACGCAATGCGGTGGCCGGCTTCGAACGTGTTGGCGGTGCTGCCGACGTTGAGGCGAATTCGCGTCGGTTCGCCGGGCTCCATCATCTTGATCTGCTTCGGGCGGCGGCCTTCGCGGTAACGGCAGCGAATGGGAGCGTCCATCAGCAGGGCTTCGTAGCCATCGGGGTAGACGTCGACCAGCTTGACCATGAAGTCGGTATCGGGGGCGTCGGTCGAGACGTAGAGATCGACCCAGACCGGCCCGCGGATGGTGACGTCTTCTTCAAGCTCCGGCGTTTGGAACCGCAAATAGTCAGGCCGATCGCCAATCTCACGTTGATCGAGCGGACCGATATCGAGCGTGAGGTTCTGCCCGCCGACGGTCGGCACGGGGTTCTCGGGGTCGAAGGCATAGGTGGTTTTAGCGTCGGTCGCTTCGGTGGGTGAGGAGGTGAGTTCGCCACCGCTGTGCAAATAGTAACGCGTTTCGGTGGTTTCCGGCGGCCAGTTTTCGGCCGTCTTCCACTCGTTCTTGTCCGACTCCTCACGCTTCTTGGCCGAGGCCATTTGGTAGTACTTCACCGGTGGCTCGTCCATGATGCCATTGTCTTCGCCTTTGAGGTGATAGTCGAACCAGCGGATTTCTTCCTGTAAGGCACCGAGTAACCCGCCGCCGCCACGGTAGCGGAGGCCACCTTTAAGACCGCCGTGGCCGAAGGGGCCCATCATCAGTTTCTGCTGGCCCCGTGCTCCTTCGACTCCTTCGTTTTGCAAGTAAGTGAAGTTCCCTTGGGTGCCGACGGCGAAGATGTCGTACCATCCGCCCACGTGATAGATGGGGATGTCGATCTTGTGGCGGTGGTGGATCAGATCCATGATGCGTTCTTCCTTGATATCGACGAGGCTTTTCTTACGCTCGTCGACCAGGTGGCCGGCGTTTTGGCCTTTCAGCCAGCCAGTGGTGTCGGCCTCTTTGAACACGCCGCCGATGAATGAAGCTTCTTCCCACATGCTCTCGGGCGTGACGACCACGTAGGCCGCCACCAGGTTCTCGGGGTTGGCCATCGCGCACAGCATGCTGGTGATGCCCATGGCCGAGGCGCCGGTCATACCGACCTTACCGTTGCACCAGTCTTGTTCCGCAATCCAATTCACGGTGTCGAACCCGTCGTTGCGGTCGTCTTCGAACGGGCGGTACTCACCCTCAGACGCGAACCGACCCCGGCAGTCTTGCACCACGTAGGCATAGCCGGCCGCCAGGTAACGGCCTTGCAACATGCTGAACTCGCCCCGCTTGTTATAGGGCGTGCGCATCAAGACGACAGGCCAGGGTCCATCGCCCTTGGGCAACATCACATCGGTAGCCAGCTTCACGCCGTCGCGCATGGGGACCAATACTTCGTTGGTCTCCGCCACCGCCGACTCCGTACCAGCAGTCGCCAGGGCGACCAACATCAAACCCACGAGCCACGCGCGGCCGAAAACCTGTCGTTGCATGATTACCGTTCCTGAAAGAATCCACTGCCCACCGAAAGAAGCCTTACACCCTTGCAAGGCCGGAGCACCGAATATAGTTCAGCCCGAGATGCGGGACAAATTAGCGGTGATTTCTGGGGCAGAGGGTAGGGTGCGGTCGAGCGCAGCGAAGACGCACCACCTCTCGGTCATTCAGACTAGCGATCCAGGCGACGGTGCGTCTTCGCTGCGCTCGACAGCACCCTACATTTGTGTTTTTGTGTTTGCTTCTTGTTGGAAAAAAATGTGGTTCCGGAACCACTCACGCGATTGGGAATGATCGCGAAGGCTGTGTTGTGGGTTGTTGGTGGCGGCACGCGGCTTTGCGATCGATCCCCGCGCCAGATCGCCTGGCCATCGGGTTGGGCATCCACCTGCGATCATCTCGCGGGTGTCTTCACTGCATCTTGGGTCGTATGAACGCACATAGACGCCTCCGGATGCAGCTCCAATCTCGCAAAACCTCCGTCACTTCGAACCCACTCGACCAGGGCTGCAATGAAGATCCGTCGATCCCCACCGACAACCCCACCCTCGCGACTCGGCGCCTCCAGGCAAGACGCAGAACCCACGAACAATAATGCCGAAGGGGCAGGTGAATATCAATGAAAGTTTTCGGCCACCCCTGGGGATGGGTGGCTGCAATGTAGGGTGCTGTCGAGTGAAACGAAGACGCACCATCGCCTGGTTTGTTAGCCTGAGTGACCGAGATGTGGTGCGTCTTCGCTGCGCTCGACAGCACCCTACCTGTCTACCTATAGACCTCACGTCTTGGCTTTCTCGCGTGAGTCGCTGACTCTTGTGCCTTCAGGGAACTCTGGAATCGCAAAGGTGTCTTCAGGGACCTCGGGGTTTACTTCGAGGTCTTTGATTGTGATTGTTGACGTCTGGCCCCAGTTGTCGGAATCGGGTGAAGTAATTGCGCGGGAGCCGGTAAAGCGTTGGACCGCAGAGATGGGAAACCACGCGGGTTGAGGATCGTTCTGGACCTGGGTGTATTCGATATCCGTAAGGGCTTCGATCTCGCCGTTTTCTCGTCGGTAATAGATTCTTGTCGGCAAGTGGTTCTTGGCAGCGTCGCATTCAAGGACCGTCGTCACGTTGTGCTTGGGGTTTTTGGCTTCGATGACAACCAGCTTGCGTCCCTCGCGGTCAACTTGTTTCACCGATTGAATATCGTGCTTCACTTCAACATCGTCGTAGGTCTTGTTGTCGCTGGTGCCGGTGAGGACGTTCAATAGATCGCCCTCATTTCGAATGAAGCCGATTTGCCGCGGGTCGTGCTGGCTGGCCACCGGCTTTTTCTCCTCGGGATAAATCTGTGCTCGCTTGCGGGGTGGCCAATAGTTGGTGATGACACCATCGTGCCAGATGACGAGTGAGCCAATCCCCTTTTCATTGACCCGTTCGCTCGGGCCATCAATCCAGATGTCGGAACGGAGCGTAGCTCCTTGGTCGGGAATTGGGACGAATGTAAACACGCCTTCATCGATAGACACGCCTTCATCGGGCCCTGAATTCACTGGTTTGGTCAGCTTGATCGGTTCGTCGGGGGGGCCAAGGTGCAACACCTTTAACGCGTGGAACGCCTTGATTGCGGAGTTGTTCTGGCGAACGCTCTCGATCACCTCATTCAAAGCTGCCTGTTCTTCTGGCGGTAGCTTGGTCGCCTGGTCGGCATTCGCACAACCGGAAAAGAGAGCTGCCAGTAGTGTGAGAGGCAGCCAGAGTGGGCGAATTGCGAGCATGGATTCAACCTTCACGTCTAAGGTTCAGTGGGAGCTTCAGCGACCTTGAAAGTGTCTTTCGGTACCTCGGGGTTTACTTCGAGGTCTTTGAATTCGACCGTCACCGTCTGGCTCCAGTCTTCGGCATTGGGCGAGGTGTTCTGATTTAAGCCTGCGAACTTTCTTACGGCGCTTTCAGGAAACCAGACTGGGAGCGGATCTTTTTCGACTTGGGTGTACTTGATGTCGGTCTTGGAATCGATCCGCCCGTCTTCCATGCGGTAGTAAACTCGGGTGGGGAGAAAGTTGCAGGCGGCGTCGCATTGAATGACTGTGGTGACGGTGTCATTCGGGTTCTTGGCTTCGATGATGACCAGCTCCCTTTCGTCGATATCGACTCGCTGCGCAGACAGAATCTCGTGTTTGGCTTCCGCATTCTGGCCTGCCAATTCGTCGTTACTGCCGGCCAGGAGATTCAGGAGCGTTCCTTCATCACGTACGAAGGCGACTTGACGGGGATCGTTGGATCTGTCCGCAGACTTCTTTTCTGATTCACTTGTTTGCAACTCCTGCACGTCCGGCCATTGGGTGGTTTCAGTGCCGTCGTGCCAAATAAACAACTCGCCGCTGGCCTCCTCCTCCGACCGTTCGTTCAGTCCGTCGATCCAGATGTCGTAGCGAAGCGTAACTCCCTCCTTGGGAATCGGATCGAATGTGTAAGTGAACGGGGGCTGATCTTCCCCCTTTACCGGCTTGGGTTCCGGCTCAGCTTCTAAATCCGGCGCACCCAAATGCATCACCTCGAGCACGTGAAGCGAATTGATCGCTTCATCGTTCTTGCGAACGCTTTCGACGACCTCATCCAAAGCCGCCTGTTGGTCGGGCGGCAGCTTGGTCGACGGGTCGGCATTCGCACAGCCGGAGAGGGCAACTGCGAGTAGCGTGACGGGTAGCCAGAACTTGTGTTTCGGGTGCATGAACTTGAACCCTGGCATGAGCGTTGTGACCGATCATTCGAACACACGAATTATCTTCCCGCCATCTTCAGATGTCCAATTCTGGGACAAGGATTTCTCTTTCCGATGGGTTTTTTCAGACCTGGGGTGATCGACGTGGTGCTTATATTCGCGGGCTGAAGGTAATCATGAGAATAAGCGTGATGATTAGGAGGGACGACACGCTGTAGACTGCCCAGGGATCGACCTTTCCCTTTGCCTGGCCGAAACCGAAGTGGGGGCCTTGGCCGTTCCAGAGCCACATGCCGGCGGGGACGGTGAGGAGGCCGAAGAGCCAGAGGTGCCATGTGGGAGAGCCGAGGCGGAGTAGTTCGCCGGCGTCGCCCACGCGACTGAACGAGCCGGCACCGAGGTAGACGCCGTTGGTCACCAGGCAGAAGCCGGCGAAGAAACGCAGGAGATAGCCGCCGGGTAGTCGCAACATGAGGAACATGGCCCACAGTGCGAGGGGCAGGGCGATGCCGAACAGCGGTCCGCCCCACACCACGGCCAAGCGGTTCTGTACGTCGGCCACATCGGTTCGCGAGATGGCCAGCGGGTGGAGCACGACTTTCAACACCCGACCGCCGGTAGCCCAAGCCGCCAGAACGTGACCTAGCTCGTGCACGGCCATCATTAAAAGCCAGCACAGGGGGAGCAGGGTGGCGATGAGGATGAGTTGGTGGAGACGGGGCATGCTGGGGGTTTGTCGGGGTGAACACTGCACTGCGGGCTATGCAATTGCAGCTACGATATCATCGCAGGAGCATGCGAACTCCACATCTTGCTCAGAGCTCATTACGAAAATACGACCTTCAAACTTCCGTTCGGGTGGTGACTTCAGAATCTCCAAGTACAAATTGATAACGCTACATGTGGGTTGCTCGAATCGCAAGTTTCGCACGGAAGAGAATTCGAGAAAGAGCATCTCACCGGTGAACGTGTCGTCTCTAGCCAGAACGATTGACAATTGCTGCTGAATTCCACCAGTTGTCCGCTCGAAGGCCTGTGTCAGGCTGATCGACTTAATCAACCCGAACCGACTCGGCTTCAACGAATAGTACTCAGATATCTTGGCCTCGATTTCGTCACACATATTGAACGGTTACCGTAGGTTTCGCAGAAGGATGGTGCGTCTTCGCTGCGCTCGACAGCACCCTACATCCAGCTTTGAAGCTTAGATGTAATACTCGATCACGTCTTCTTCGGGCACTTGGGCGGGTTCGTGGTCGAGGATGATTTCGGCGACGCGCATGGCTTGGACGCGGAGTTCGGGCACGGCGGTGGTTTCCCACAAGCTGCCGCGGAGCAGGGGGCCGATGGCGAAAAGGTGGTTCGAGGGCTGACCGGCGGAGTCGAGGGCCGCGAAGTCGTCATCGACCTGAATGCCCATGTCGAGTTCGTCGCAGTTGACGAGACCGCGGGCCAGGAGGTTGTCGAACAAGGGGAGGCCCGTCTGCGAGAAGCGGGGCTGGGGACCGGTGCAATTGATGACCAAGTCGCCCGACTGGGTTACTTCGCGGCCATCCGCGTCGCGGTATACCACGTCGATATATTGTTCGCCGGGGGTGAGTCTTTCGATGGTGCCGGAGACGACCTGCAGCTTTCCGGAATCGAGGGCATCGGTCATTTTGTTGTGGATGGATGTCGCCACGCGATGACGGGTGACGTTCCACTCGGCGACATCGTGGGTGAGGAAGTCTTGCTTCTCTTCGGTCGAAAGGCTTCTCCACAGCCGCTGCGTGTGGGGACGCAACTTGTCGATGGCGATGGCCGAGTTCTGGCTCATCTGCTTCAAGCGAACGCAATGCCGGGCGACGAGTTCACGCAGGCCATCGAGCCCGAGCGATTCGGCGTCTTCGGGGATGTAGTCTTCGTAGGCGATGCCGCGAAAGTGGGAGGCCGGCAGGCGACCGTTACGCGAGATGGCCACGATGCGACCGTCCCAGCCAATGTCGGAAAGGGTGAGCACGATGTCGACCATGGTGAGGCCCGTGCCGAGGAGGACGATGGTTCCGCCCGGGGGCGGCAGGCGACTGAGCCACTCGGACCAGGGGTCGGAGCGATAACGGGGATCGTATTTCAGCGGTGAAGTTGAAGGGAACGAGCCGGGCGGTTGGTTGCCGGTGGCCAGCACGACTTGATCGGCGGTGAGCGAGTCTCCGCCTTCGAGCATCACCAGGGCCTGACCTTGTTCGTCGATGGCGATATCGATGGCCTCGCCTGCGACCGTTTCGAGCCGGGTCTGGCAACGGGCATCGATCGGGTTGCGGCACGTGTTCAACAGGCTGCACAGGTAATCGCCGTACACCCGCCGGGGAGCGAACAGCTCGCGGAGTTCTTCTTCCGGCGTGTCGCTGTACTCGCACCGCGATCGCAGCCAGTCGACAAAGTGCGTGGGGCAGTCGGGCAGGGCCGACATATTTCGCGCGACCACGTTGAGCACGTGCTCATTCCGCTTGGTGCCGTAGGCGGTTCCCCGGCCCGTGGGGCGATGGGCGTTAACCAGCACCACCTTCAGCGGCCGGTCGCTCAGCCGCGACAGATTCACCACAGCCATCGTTCCGCTAAAGCCACCTCCAATGACCGCAACGGTTTTCATTGGTCGACCTGCTGTGTTGGGTTGAGTGAGTTTCTCTGGATCGTACTCCCTGATCCGCTTCCTCATCGTAGCGGGTTCGCAAGGATACGGCGAACTTTGGAGAGGAGCTGGTGAGATTCTTCGGAATTCTCCTCAACACTAGAAGTTCTCTGCAGCTACTCCCGAGTGCTTTGAGGCTTGTTGAACAAAGTTCGTGAAGTCGAGGTCCGAAGAAAAGGCGCGGCGGGGGACGACGAATGCCTCGATGCTGGAGGTGTAGATGAACAGGTGCTCGGGAGTGCTCACAATACGTTCGACCGACGACCAGTTGCGCAGGGTGGTTCCCGAAGGGCGGCGTTCGTGAATGCCGTCGGCCTGTAGGGTGACCGTGCACTCTCCGTCGAACCCTGAGGTGCGGCCTTCCTTCAGCATGCGATTGGTGATCCGGCGGAGCTTCCATTTCGAATACGGAATGATGATCACGGCGAAGAGCACCGGACCAAGCAACAGCGGCCAGATGGCAGCTATCGCTTCGAGAAGCGGCTCGTCGCTTTCGATCAAAATCCATACCGGCAGAAGTAACATGGCAGCCAGACAAATGAAAAGACAACCAATACGTTGCCTGCGAACTGCGGGCGACTGGGTGTTGTGAAATTGAATGAAGGCGGCCAGGTCGTTTGGGGTAAGATCGTAGGAGACACTGGATGGCTTGGATTCATCAGGCTCTGTAGACATTCTGGCCCTGTCCTGAAGCTACAAACTTGCTGCTATCGGGGAAGAGTGGAATTGCTGCCGACGAACAACTTTTTCGATTAACCGAAGGTTCTTCGCAAGATCTTCGATAAGCACTGGCGGAACCAGTGACACACGAGCGCATTGGAGTTATTGGGATTCCTGCACCGTATAAGTACACGACTTTTAGATGGTGCGTCTTCGCTGCGCTCGACAGCACCCTACTCTTGACGCGTGGGGATTTGAAAACCGAATGTTTTTCCGGCGACCATAATCAACACGAACATGCCGGCCAGGGCGAGGGTTGAGGGCTCGGGGACGACTTGGAGGGTGACGGTTACGGGGTAGTGGTCGGAAGGATAGAGGCCGCCGTCGAAGGTGGTGCGGACGATGTTCGCGCTGGTGGCTTCGAAGTCGCCGGGGCTGTGAAAGACATGATCGATGCGGGAGCCGCTGATGCCGCCGCTCCAGTTGTGAAAGGTGCGGCCGTTGGAACCACCGGCTTCGCTGAAACTGTCGGAGAGCAGGAGACCATCCGGGGTGTTTAGCCCACGCAGATTGCTGACGGCCGAGTTGCTGGAGGTGGTGTTCAGGTCGCCCATGAGAATCACAGGCAAGTCGCCGGCGAGGGTGGGCAGCATACTTTGGATGAGTGCGCCCGAGTCGCGGCGGGCTTGCGAGTCGAGCGACCAGTGGGTGCTGAGGACGAAGTAGGTCTTGCTGGTTTCGTAGTCGAACAGCTTCACCCAGGTGGCCATGCGGGGGTTGCCGGTATCGGAGCCGAAACCTTGGAAGGTAGTGCCGGGCACCTCGGGCGTTTCGCTCAGCCAGAAGTCGCCTTGGTCGAGGAGATTGAAACGATCGTTGCGATAGAAGATGCCGTTGGAATCGTCCTGCGTTCCGCCTTGGCGTCCCTGTCCGTAGTAGCTGAAGCCGGGGAAGGCATTGAGCAGATCGTTGCGTTGGTTGTTCTTCAGTTCTTGAACGGAGAGCAGGTCGGGCCCGAAGGTATCGATGACGCTGATGGCCCGATCGCGGCGATGAGGACCGTCGATGGGGTTCTCGAGATCGTTGAGATTGACGTATCGCCAGGAGCGTTCGGCGTCGAAGAGATCGAACAGCGAGGCCGCGTCGCCCTTCACATTGAAGGTCATCAGCCGTAGTTCGCTGGCCAGCGACGGAATGGCTAGAAACAGCACCGCCACCATAACGGTGAGGCGCACCCCGAATTTAGACCCGCGCAATCTACTCAAGTACCCGATCTCGTTCACAGTCCCCACGGAAGAGCCAAGGCCCACAGTTTAGGTGGAGGAAGCAGGCAGGTCAAAAGATGGGTCAATGAAATGAGGTGAGAAACCGGCCTGTAGAGCACGCCCTTTGTGGCGTTCGGAGATTTGCCGTTGCGCACGGAACGCAACGGAGGACGTTCCCTACAGGGGGACGAAGTCTGGGTTGTGGCTGACTAATCGACAAAGCTTTCGCCGGACTTGGCTTTGTCGAGCAGGTACTGGCAGGGGGCGAACGCTGGACCGTGGGTTTCGGCCCAAGCGCTGAGGCGGTCGGCGATGTGCTTGGCACCCAGGGTATCGGCCCATTTCATCAGCCCTCCGCGGTAGGGCGGAAAGCCCATGCCCATCACGCTGGCCACGTCGATGTCGGAGGCGCGAATCGCGATCCCCTCGTCGAGGCACCGGCAGGCTTCGTTCACCACGCCGAACAGGGTCCACTCGACAATGTCGTTGGCGTCGGCTTCGATAGCCGCCGGGTTGCCGGCATCTTTACGGGCCTTCTCGACCAACTCGGCCAGCGAGGGGTCTTCGGTTTCGGTCTTACCGTCTTCGTACTTGTAGTAGCCTACGCCGGTTTTCTGACCGAAGCGTTTGGCTTCGAACAGGTAATCGACCAGGGTGGATTGGTAGACGCGATCGGGATAGGCGTCGGCCAGGATGCCGCCGGCGAACTTGGCCACGTCGACGCCCGCCAGGTCGCCCATGCGGAAGGGGCCCATCGGCATGCCGAAGTCGAAGAGAGCTTTGTCGATGGTGTAGGGATCGACACCGTGGTCGACCAGGAACCCGGCCGCTTGTCCGTAGGGGAAGAAGATGCGGTTCACCAGGAAGCCGACGCAGTTGCCGACGGTGACCGGGGTCTTCTTCAAGGCTTTGACCAAGGCGATGGTGGTGTTGAGCGTTTCGACGCTGGTGTTCTTCGCCCGCACCACTTCGACCAGCGGCATGACGTGAGCCGGCGAGAAGAAGTGAGTGCCAACGATGCGGTCGGCGGCCTTGGTCTTCTTGCCGATCACGTCGAGATCGATCGTCGAGGTGTTGGAGGCCAGAATGCAGTTGGCGCTGGTGGCCGATTCTAAATCGGAGAACACGTTTTGCTTCAACTCGATGTTCTCGACGACGGCTTCGATGACGATGTCGAGTTTGTTGAAACCGGAGTAGTCGGTCTGCGTGTTGAGGCGGGACATGATCTCGTCGTACTTCTCTTGCGAGAGGCGGCCCTTCATCACCCGCGACATGAGGTTCGACTCGATGCGCCCTCGCCCGGCGGCGACGGCTTCTTCGTTGATTTCTTTCAGGGTGACGGCCAGGCCCGACTGCAACAGGCTGGTGGCGATGCCGCTGCCCATGGTGCCACCGCCGAGGACGGCGGCCGTGGTGATTTTGGCGGGCTTGAGTCCCTGATCGGTAACGCCCGGCACCTTGGTGGCGGCGCGGGGGGCGAAGAACATGTGGATCAGCCCCTGGGCCTGAGAGCTGGCGAGGCACTTGCGGAAGTTGTCGGCTTCGCGCTGTAGCCCCGCGGCGTAACCATCGGTGATGCCGCACAACATGGCATCGAGGCACAGATGCGGATGCACGAGGTTGCGGCCCTTGGCGCCCATCATGCCCGTGGCCATTTCGACCAACTGTTTGGCCTCTTCGGCCGAAGGGAGTTTGCTGTTGTCTTGCGAGGCACGCACTGGGGTGAGTTCGCCGGCGGCCAGCTTGCGGGCGGCGGCCATGGCGGCGTCGAGCAGGGCGTCGGGTTCGACCACTTCTTGGAGGATGCCGGTTTCGAGGGCTTCGTCGGCTTTGGCTTGCCGGCTGGTGAGCATCATTTCGGCGGCCAACTGAGGGCCGACGATGCGCGGCAGGCGCTGCGTTCCGGCAGCTCCGGGGATGAGCCCTAGTGTCAACTCGGGAAGCCCCACGCGGCAACGGGTGGTGCCGACGCGGCGATGCCCGCTCATGGCGAGTTCGAGCCCTCCACCGAGAGCGAAGCCGTCGATGGCCATGACGATCGGCTTTTCGTTGGCTTCCAGGTCTTCCAGCGCGGTGGCGAGGTTGGCGGCAACTTCCCCATCGCCGGTCTTTTGGGCCTCTGGGGAGATGGCCAACTTGGCGGCTTGCTTGAGTTCGCCAATGTCTGCCCCGGCCACAAAGTTTTCGTTCGCACCGTGGATGACGATGGCCTTCACGGCGTCGTTTTCGTTGGCGGCCGTTACGGCGGCGATGAGCCCCTCGACCACGGGCCGGCTAAGAGAATTCACCGGCGGCGAATCGATCGTGATAACGGCCACATCGTCTTGAACAGCACTACGAACCACTTCGGCAGCCATGATAAGCCTCGCGAGAGAATTGAGTGAGCAGATAGACCGCGCGGGAGCCAAACGCGGACGATTATCGTAAGAGCGCCGTGAGGGGGGTTCAAGTACCGTGTGAAAATCGGTGAGGGTGTCTGAACGAGAGGAAACCCAAGCATCCCGAAACAATTTACCAGGGTGGCCCAGCAGTGACGGCTGGGCTGCCTTCGGCAACAAGATGCCGCTGCGAAAACGATTGGAGAATTGGTGGGATAGACTTCACCTCACTCCGTCTTGCTGAAGACTGTCAGCGTTGGTGCGCCTCACTCGAATTGCCATCTCCTCATAGAGCATCTTGTCGGCTTTGCCGACCCGGCCGGCTCGGCCGGGCCACCCGATGTTGATAGAGCCGGACTTCAATACCCGGCTGCGCAGCCGTCTTTGCGGGGATCGGTGGCTCCGCGGAGGGTGCCGTTTTCGGCATCGACGAGGATGGCCTGATAGCCGCCGAACATGCCGCGGCTGAACATCACGCGGTGGCCTTTGTCGCGAAGCCCTTCGATGACTTCATCCGGCATCCCCGATTCGACGAACACGGTGCCGCCGGCGGAGTTTTGCGGTTGCCCCGTAGGACTGGCGCTGCCGACGTGGCGAATGCGGGCTGCATCGCCGGCCATTTGAATGTTCATACCGAAGTCGATGATGTTGACCAACACCTGCGCGTGCCCTTGCGGTTGCATGTCGCCCCCCATCACACCGAAGGAGAGCCAGGGCTTTCCGTCTTTGGTGACCATGGCGGGGATAATGGTGTGGAAGGGTCGCTTATGCGGCTCCAACCGATTGGGGTGTTCGTCGTCGAGGGCGAACAGGGCCCCGCGGTTTTGCAGGACGAACCCGACGTCGCCGGGAGTGACTTGCGAGCCGAAGCCATAGTAGTTGCTTTGGATGAAGGAGCAGCAGTTGCGGTCTTTGTCTACGACCGTGAGATAGATGGTGTCGCCGCCGACCAGCTTGGGGTCGCCGGGCGGGACATCGACGGCGGCCTTGGTGCGATCGATGCGTTTGCCCTGTTGGGCGGCATACTCTTTTGAAATCAACTCCGCGACCGGGAGGTCTTCGAAGGCCGGGTCGGCGTAGAACCGCGCGCGATCGGCGAAGGCCAGCTTCTTGGCTTCCACGAACAGGTGCCAATACTCGGGCGAGTCGGGCCCCATGGAAGCGATGTCGTAGGGTTCGAGTAGGTTGAGCATCTCGAGCGCGGCGATGCCTTGCCCGTTGGGGGGCAGTTCCCACACTTCGTAGCCGCGGTAAGTGGTTGAGACGGGCTCGACCCATTCCGATTCGTGCTCTTCAAAGTCGCGCATCGCGAAGAACCCGTCGTTGGCTTCGCTGAAAGCGACGATCTTTTCGGCGATGGGACCTTTATAGAAAGCGTCGGCACCGCCATCGGCGATGAGTCGGTAGCTGGCTGCGAGGTTTGGATTGCGGAAGATTTCACCTTCACGCGGTGCGCGACCATGCGGGAGATATGTGGCGGCCGAGTCGGGCCACTGGCGGAGCGAGCGTTCGGAGGCCTGCCAACTTCGGGCGATGATGTCGCTGACGGCGAAACCGTTTTCGGCGTAATGAATGGCGGGGGCCAGCGTGCGTTCAAAGGGCATCGTGCCGAACCGCTCGGAGAGAACCTCCCACCCGGAGACACACCCGGGCACCGACCAGGGCAGGGGACCTTCGTCGGGAATCTCGTCGATGCCGCGCTGGCGGAAGACCTCGCGGTTGAGCGCGAACGGGCTGCGACCGGAGGCGTTCAGGCCGTAGAGCTTTTCGGTTTTGGCATCCCAATAGATGACGAACAGATCGCCGCCGATGCCGCAGCTCATCGGTTCGACCAGGCCCATCATGGCGTTGGTGGCGATGGCCGCATCGACGGCGTTGCCGCCGGCTTGAAGGATGTCGATGCCAACTTGGGCGGCCAGCGGTTGGCTGGTGGCGACGATGCCGTTTTGGGCGACGACGACCGAGCGACTCTGGTGCGGATCGGCAGCCGGGCGATCGTAACCGGCACCCACGCGATGCGGCGGGCGGTTCGTGTCTTCGGCATACGTATCTTCTAGGGGCATGATCGATAGTCCGGTTATCAACACACAAACAAGTCGCCACAAACGCCGGGTGCTCATGATTCTCAACTCCTCGCGGGGGCACGCTCACATGCGCCTTACCGTAGCTTGCCGGGGCAGCAGACGCCAGCTTTGCTATCAGCGATTCGGTTCCATGCCGAAGAGAAGTGGAATTGCCCAGCTTGCGAGATCCGGTTTAAAACACCTGCCCAACTTCACGCCGCCACGGACCAGGCGGCCGCACTTTCGATCGATTCCAAGGGGGGAATCAACGGCATGAAGCCACAGCCCAAGCGCCACGGATGGCGCACGCATCAGCAGAACCGACTAACGAACTGCTTCTTCTTTGTTGATCGTGTTTCGATCGCCCAGCGATTTCTCTTTGCGGCAACTGTGCTGTGCTGCAGCCTGGTGCTCAGTCAGCGTAGTGCGATGTCCACTGAACTGGCGGGCATTCAATCGAGTGAGAACTTCGTGTTGAGTGCTCCGTCGAAGGAGCTTTCGCAGGCGGGGCTGGAACGGGCCGAGCTGTTTCGCAAGCAGATCGCCTTGGAGTGGATTGGGCAGGAGCTGCCGGCGGGCGAGTCGTTCGCTGACATCACGATCTCTTTGGCTGCCGCGGGGGAAGAAGACTCGGGGCGGTTGTGGCTAGCGAACCGGGACTCGGGTCGCCCTCATATGATGTGGCTGACCGGTTCACGCGAAGCAGTGCTGGGGCCGGGGATGATTCATGAGGTGGCGCATGTTGTGATGGCAGGGCAGTTCCCCAGTGGAATGCCGGTATGGGCGAACGAGGGGATCGCCAGTTCGTACGACGATGCCGAACGCACGCGGATTCGCGCGGAAATCATGCGGGAGATTGTGACCACCTCAGCATGGCCCGCGATTGACGAGGTATTGAGCGCGAAGCAACTCTCTCCCAGTGATCAGGAGGGGTACGCGTTGGCCGCTTCGTTGACGTCGTTCTTCGTCTCGCTGCACAGTCGCCCGACGTTCATTCGTTTCGTTACTCAAGCCCAAAGCTCTGGATGGGATGCGGCGCTGAAGCAGGTGTACAACATCGCCGACCGTCGCGAGCTGGAGTACCGCTGGCATCGCTGGGCGTCTGCCGGCGGGAACGGAGCGGTAGCGCGGCTTGCAAGTGGTAAGAGGTCCGCACTTCTGGACAAGCCAGCAGTGGCACCCAATTCAGCAAGAACCACTCATTAATCGGAAGAATGCTCTACTGACCAAGGCGGAGGTCGTAACGGGCCTCGGAGTAGTAGGGCACATCGCCGCGGGTACGGGCGTCGTCGTTCTTCTTGAATTCCCAGTTGGTGACGAATGTGGGAGCGTCGGACACGGCACGTTGGATCGAAACGACCCCGAGCGGAACCCAGATGTAGGACTCGTTGGTGCGGACCTGCCAGACGTTGCCGTTGATGTAAAGCAGTTGCGGCATCCCGGTGAAGTTATTGATCACCAGCCGACCCTGCGCGGCACTGCGGAAGTCTTTGCGAAAGTCTTCGCTCTTTTCCATGTTGCCGAGGATATTCATCTTGGGGCCGGAAGCGCCACCTTCGGCAACCAGATCTCCCATGCTGCGGGAGAGCGCGTCGAGCTTTTGGGTGAGGGCCTCGACCTGGCTCTTGAGATCCATGTTGGCGGCGGTCATCGTCTGTAGTTGCCGTTCAACGTTGACGATCTGATCTTCCAGGCGATCGACCGTAGCGGTGAGGCTCGAGAGTGACTTCGGTGCCGTTGTCGACTCGCGGGTGAGGGCCGGGCCTTCGTCGGGCGTGGCATCTTGAGCCACAGCGAACACGGAAACAGTCGTGGCAACGATCAAGGTCGAGCAAAGAGTGAGGTAACGCACAGCGGATCTCCCCCCGGTTTGGATGACGCTCGGCGATCCGTGCCTTTCTATTTGACGGTGGTCCCTCGCTGGCAAGGATGGCTGACATCACCGGTGCTGTCAATCATCGGGGTTCGGTAATTGCTGTGGCGACAAGCGTTTGCAAAGGCGTCGTCAACTCTGCCGGTCGCGGGGTTCTGGCAATCTTCAGCCCGGCGGAGAGGCGCTCGGTGGCGGATAGAAAAGGGTGTCTGTGGTATGATTGAGGGTGGAGGTTCGCCCATGTCCGCGTCCATCGCTTCGATCATCGATCATTCGCTGCTGCATCCCACGCTTACAGATGAAGACTTGGGGCACGGCTGCGCGGTGGCGGAAACCTATTGTGTGGCCAGTGTTTGTGTAAAACCGTGCGATGTGGCCAGGGCGGCCGAGTTCTTGGCCGAATCGGATGTAGCCGTGGGCACTGTGGTGGGGTTTCCGCATGGGGCCCATACGACCGACACCAAGGTCTTCGAGGCGCGGCAGGCCTGTGTTCAGGGGGCGACCGAACTGGACATGGTGGTCAACGTGGGTCGGGTGCTGGGGCAAGATTGGGCCTACGTTCAGGCCGACATTCAAGCCGTGACTGAAGTGGCCCATGAGATGAAGGCCCTGGTCAAGGTGATCTTCGAGAACGACTTTCTTCCACACGACGTGTATAAGATTCGTCTGTGCGAGATCTGCCGCTCGCTGGGGGTGGATTTTGTGAAGACCTCCACCGGGTTTGGCTTCGTCAAGCAACCGGGTGGGCATTATGCCTACGAGGGGGCGACCGAAAGCGATATTCGGTTGATGCTTGAAAACTGCGGCCCAGACATGCGAGTGAAAGCCGCCGGCGGGATCCGCGACTACGCCGCCGCACTGCACCTGCGCGATTTGGGTGTGGCCCGAATTGGGGCGACGGCCACGGCGACGATTGTGGCCGAAGAGCAAGCGGCCCTGCGGGATATTAGTGCGTAGTGTTCTTTGCTGCGGTTGCCCGGCAGGGTGCGGCGAAGCCGCAAGAGGTTTTGCCGTGGAGTTTTCCGCCATTGGCCTCGTGACGTTTGCTAACGCAGCATGAACATCGACGGCCCGGCTGGGATCTGGCTTGGATGCTGAGTGGGCGTTTTGCCACAAGTCCATCGGTTAGCACTGGCTGAATGCCAGTGGCACCCAAACTTTGCATCGAATCTGTCGTGCTACCGCGACTGTTGCTTTCTCGATTCCGCCCCCACTTTCGGCGGCGGGGTGGGTTTTACCGTTCTTTTACTTTTCTCCGACTACGCCGTGACACAAGGATTTTGGGGCGTTCGTAGAATTCCCTGCATGCTGCTGGAGGGGTCAGGGAGTTGGATCCGGCAGGCTTGCACGAGAACAGGAACGACTCTCGGGCGACAGCACTTGGTTTCAGGTAGCGGGACCTGCAACGCCTTCGACCAATTCCAAGCTATCGCGCGTGGGTCACCGGAACAGGGAACTCACGATATGGCAACCGATTTGAGCACAGCATCCGAGTTGGAACTTGTAGACGACCTGGTCGAAACGGGAAACGAGGCCGTCGTCCCGGTTTATCAGGAAGCCGTTGAAGCCGAGGCCCAAGAGGCCGCCGCTGAGGCAAAGAAGCCGAGCGTGTGGCGACATGGGGTCGATTGGCCCGTGTTTGCTTGGATTGCCTTCTTGCATGTCGGCGCGCTGGCGGCGCCGTTCTTCTTCACCTGGAAAGCCGTGGGGCTGTTCTTTGGCCTGTGGTGGCTGACCGGCGGGATTGGCATCTGTCTGGGCTATCACCGGCTGCTGACGCACGGCAGCTTTCAGACTCATCCGTTCATGCGACGGCTGATTGCCGTGTGTGGCTGTTTGGCGGGCGAGGGCTCGCCGCTGATGTGGGTGGCCACGCACCGCAAGCATCATGCGTTCAGCGATCAAGAGGGCGATCCGCATACTCCGCGAGATGGTGGCTGGTGGAGCCACGTTTTGTGGTTGTTCCCCGGCAACGAAGAGGGTGGCCAGGACAAGTTGTTCAGCCGGTATGCCCCCGATTTGCTGAAAGACCCTTTCATGCCGTTCTTGCACCGCACGTTTCTGCTGTGGCACTGGGGCCTGGGGTTCGCCCTGTTTCTCACCGGTTGGTACTTCTGGAATGCGTACACCGGCTGGTCTTTTGTGTTCTGGGGCATCTTCCTGCGATTGGTTGTCGGGTTGCACGCTACGTGGTTGGTGAACTCGGCTACGCATATGTGGGGATATCGCAACTACGAGACGTCGGACGACAGTCGGAATTTGTGGTGGGTCGCGGCGCTTACCTTTGGCGAGGGCTGGCACAATAACCACCACGCGTTCCAGCGTTTGGCCCGAAATGGACACCGCTGGTGGGAGTTCGATCCCACGTTCCTGACGATTCGGGTGATGCAGGCCGTGGGTCTGGCCTGGAAAGTGGTCGACCGAATTCCCCAATTTCGCGAGAAAGTCGCCCGGGGCTGATGCCCGGGCGGGGTGCTTAAACCCGATTGTTTGCCGGGAATTAGGGGTGCGGACCCGTGAATCGCACCCGCCAGGCGAGGGGCGGTTTATTTGCGGTTGCAAATCGAACGCCGATTGATAGATTTATACACTTAAGTTGTTATGGGTTTAGACAGTAGGTTAGAAAAGCCTTAGCATCCCGAGTCAAAAACAGTGGTGTTCGCGTGAGACGCGCAGCCCTGGTCCGAAGCGGAGAATAGCGGTCACTGATGGCGATTACGAAAGAGCGTAAACAGGAACTGATTGGGGACTTCAAGCGAGCCGACAACGATACGGGCTCGGCCGAAGTTCAGATTGCAATTTTGACCAATCGGATTACCGATCTCACGGGACACCTGCAGACGCACAAAAAGGACTTCGCAAGTCGGCGCGGACTGTTGAAGATGGTTAGCCGGCGGCGACGCCTCTTGGATTACCTCCGCCGGGTAAGTCCCCAGCGGTATCTCGACATCATTCGGCGTCTTAACATCCGTAAGTAACCAGCCTCTGGCGAGTCTCTCTCGGCATACGGCAGTAGCCTTCTCGGCTGTAGCCTTTGTCGTTCGCGAAGAGTGCCTTCTCTTGGTTGTGTCTGCGCTGATGCAGGTACGGGTGGTGCCCACTGGTTTTTGGTGCTGGGTCAATCTCCGTCGTTAGGGCCTTCGTGCTTGGTGGTTCTGTGTGGTGTGAACTTTGCTTCGCGCCCGGTCCGGTACGAACATCCGACGAACTTGATGTGACATGGGATGCGGAATGTTAGGAAGTAGGAAAATCGATGAAACAAAGCGTTGAAAAGCAGTTTGGTAGTAGCACTCTCTCATTTGAAACAGGACAACTCGCGAAGCAGGCCGCCGGAAGCTGCTTGGTTCGCCTCGGCGACACGGTGGTTTTGGTCGCCACAGCCACCGGAGCCCCTCGGCCCGGGATCGACTTCTTCCCTCTGACGTGCGACTACCGCGAGCGTACAGCAGCCGCGGGTAAGTTCCCCGGAGGTTTCTTGAAGCGGGAAGGCCGCCCCACGATGAAGGAGACGCTGACCGCGCGTCTCATCGACCGGCCGATCCGCCCGTTGTTCCCCTCGTGGTTCAACGACGAAGTACAGGTGATGGCCCAAGTGATGTCCAGCGATCGTCAGAATGACGGCGACGTGCTTGCGATGAACGGAGCCTCGATGGCGTTGGCCCTTTCCGGCATGCCGTTCGAAGGCCCCATCGGTACCGTTCGCCTGGGTTTGATTGACGATCAATTCGTCGCCTTCCCCACGCAAGACGAGCTGGAAGAAAGCGACTTGGATCTTGTGGTCTCGGGTAATCAAAAAGAAGTCTGCATGATTGAAGGCTTCGCCCGCGAGTTGCCGGAAGATCGCATGGCCGAGGCCATCGAGCACGCTCACGCGATCATCAAAGAGCTGTGCCAGTTGCAGATCGAATTGGTCGAGAAAGTCGGCGTCGAGAAGACGCAGTACGACATTCCCGAGGACGACGGATTGCTGGAGCGGTTGCAGGGCCAATACGGTGCCGAGCTGAAAACCGCCAAGCAAACCGAAGGCAAGCAAGCCCGAGCCGAGGCCTGCAGCGCTTTGAAAGACAAGGCTCTGGCGGAAGTGATTCCAGACCCAGACGCCGACGGTGCGGTTTGCGTCAACAAGTTCAAGAAGGCCTGGCACGACGTGGAAGAGCATGTCGTGCGGGAATTGATTCTCGAAGGCACCCGTGCCGATGGACGTGCCGCGAATCAACTCCGCGAGCTGCACTGCGAAGTCGATTTGCTGCCCCGCGTGCACGGTTCGGCCATGTTCCAACGGGGTGAAACGCAAGCCCTGGTCACCATCACGCTGGGTACCTCGCGTGACGAGCAGCGTGTCGATGGTTTGATCGACGAGTACTCGAAGAAGTTCATGCTCGACTACTACTTCCCGCCATTCTCGGTGGGTGAGTGCCGCCCGATTCGTGGCCCGGGACGTCGTGAAATCGGTCACGGTGCATTGGCCGAACGCAGCGTGAAGCCCGTGCTCCCCGATCCTGAAGATTTCCCTTACACCATTCGCGTGATCTCCGACATTCTGGAATCGAACGGTTCGAGTTCGATGGCCAGCGTGTGCGGTGCGACGCTCGCCCTGATGTCGGCCGGTGTGCCGATCACCAACCCGGTGGCCGGTATCTCGGTTGGTTTGGTGAAGAGCAACGACAAGTGGACCCTGATCACCGACATCATCGGCGACGAAGACCACTTCGGCGATATGGACTTTAAGATTGCCGGAACGCAAAACGGCATCACGGGCATTCAGCTCGACTTGAAGGTGAAGGGCATCGACTTCGAGATCATCCGCGCCACGCTGAAGCAATCGCGTGAAGCACGGATGGAAATTCTGAAGAAGATGTTGACTACCATCCCGCAGCCCAACTCCGAGATTTCGAACTGGGCTCCGCGGTTGCTGCGAACGAAGATCGACCCCGAGAAGATTGGCCTGCTGATCGGCCCCGGTGGCAAGAACATTCGTTCGATTCAAGAGACCACCGGTGCGGTGATCGAAGTGGACGACGACGGCATCGTGCTCATCGCCTGCGAAGACGCCGAAGGGGCGAAGAAAGCCCTCTCGAAGGTCGAAGCAGTAACGGCCACCGTGCAAGTTGGAAAGATTTACGAAGGTCGCGTGACCAGCGTCAAAGACTTTGGTGCCTTCGTTGAAATTCTTCCCGGCAAAGACGGCCTGTGTCACATCAGCGAGCTGGACGACGGCTATGTGAACAGCGTGGCCGACATCTGCAAGGTGGGCGACGAAATGCCGGTGAAGGTGATCGCGGTCGATGAACAAGACCGGGTGAAGCTGAGCCGCAAAGCCGCCCTGCAGGAAATGCAAGAGAACCAGGAAGAGCAACCTTCTTCCTAGCATTCTCTCCGTTGCAGGAAACTTTCTAAATCATCACGACGGGCTGCGTTCAGCCGTGTTGCCTACACGGCTGAACGAGCCTCGCGTGACGATATTCTGAACCAGGTCGGATAGCGCAAGGCTCAGTGGGCCATGAGTGACGAGTCGGTTCCCCCTTCGGAAGCTGAAAACCAGCGACTGCGCAATCAATACACCGAGATTGCGCAACTTGCCGGCGGTCTGGCTCACGAAATCAAGAACCCACTGTCGACCATCCGGCTTAATATGGAGTTGCTGGCTGAGGATTTGGAGGACGCCCAAACTCCCAATCAACGGCGGGCTCAAGCCAAGGTGGCCACGGTTCAGCGGGAGTGCCAGCGTCTGCAAGATCTGCTGGATGACTTTTTGAAGTTCGCACGAGCCCGGGCGCTGAACCGGCAGACATCGGACCTGAACGAAGAGGTTCAGTGCCTGATGGACTTCTACCGCCCTCAGGCCGACGAGGCCGGGATCGAACTGGTTCCGTATCTGGCCGACGGCCTTCCCCCGGTGCAATTGGATCGGGAGATTTTCCGCAGTGCCTTGTTGAATTTGATGCTCAACGCCGAACAAGCGATGCCCTCGGGCGGGCAGATGGTGGTTCGCACCCAGACGACCAATGGCGGCGGCGTGACGCTGGAGTTGATCGACAACGGCGTGGGAATGGACGAAAGCACCCGGGCGAAGATGTTCGATCCGTTTTTCTCCACCAAGTCGGGCGGCTCGGGACTGGGGCTGCCGACCACGCGGAAGATCATCGAAGATCACGGCGGCCAAATCACGGTGGAGAGCGAGCCGGAACGAGGCACTCGATTCACGATTGAATTGCCCACGGACCAAGCAGAACAGCCAGAAGGCTGATACCCCTTGACGGCCAGTTCCGAGCCGAGATGGGGGGTCGTCGGGTCATAATCGTTATTTCTGGCACAATTGCTCGCTGTAGCCCTTGGATTCGATTATTATCAATTCTTGCCTACCGGTCCCTGAATGAGGCACACGTGGGGGGGACCACCATCACTCCGGAACGCTTGCTCGCACCGAGGCCACGCCATGCCGCAATTACCTGCCGTATTGCGCAATCTCAGCCGCTCGTTAACTCCGCGGCAACACACCAATAAAACATCTCTGCAATCGACCACGCATACGGCGAGCTACGTTTCGCTCGGGCTGCATCACGAGACGCTGGAACCGCGGCTGCTGCTCACCGCGCTCGATGATTACGTGGCTGAGTTCGACCCGAACTACGACTGGGATCTGGTTCGGGTGGATGACGACACCGACTATGCTCACCGTAGCGACCCCATTGGTTACTCGGTGTTCATCGTCGACATGGACTCGCAACAGTGGCGTACCCCGGACGAAGTGCAACACACCGTGTGGCAGCACTGGGTGGAAATTGTGGTGCCCGATACGGCGGTCGACGACACCGCGTTGCTGTCGATTTATGGTGGTGGAATCAACCGACCGGCCCCGCAACCCGGCAATAGCACCACCGATCAATTGATTGACATCGCGCTGGCTTCGAACGCGGTGGTGGTGGGGCTGCCCAACATTCCGAACCAAAGCCTCATCTTCAGCGATGATCCGCTGACGCCTCGCAGTGAAGACGCGATTATTTCGTATACCTTCGATAAGTTCATCGATGAGTATCCGAACTTGGGCGATAACACTTGGCCTCTGCTGCTGCCCATGGTGAAGGCCGCCGTGAGGGCGATGGATACGACCCAAGCTGTACTGGCGAATGAGATCGATTACGAGATCAATGATTTCGCAGTGACCGGTGGTTCGAAACGTGGTTGGACCACGTGGCTGACTTCCGCGGTGGATGAACGCGTGATTGCCATCATGCCAGCGGTAGCCGATCTACTGAATTTTGGCGAGCAACTGGAACATCACCGTCATGCCTACGAAGGTGTGACTGAGTTCATGATTGGTGGCTTCTCGCTGGCGATCGGTGATTATGTCGCTTTCGATCTGCCCGATCGCTTCCAATCCGAGGCCGGACAAGCCCTGCTGGAAATTGTGGATCCTTATCTGTATCGCGATCGGATTTCGATTCCGAAATACTTGGTGCTTTCCCCGGGTGATGAATTCTTCGTACTCGATTCTTCGCAGTATTATTTCGACGATCTACTAGGCGACGACAACTATATCCGTTTCGTCCCGAATACCTCCCACGGCTTGAACGACGAGGCCGTCAGGGGTGGGGCAGAGTTCTTCAGGGCGATTGTCGAAGGGCAGGAACTCCCCGATTTGTCCTGGACATTCCAAGAAGGTGGCAACACCATTCTTGCGGAAACGCCAGACAATCCGATTTCCGTCAAGCTGTGGCAAGCCACGAATCCGGATTCGCGTGACTTCCGCTATGGCGGTGGAATTGGGATTCCGTGGACTTCAAGCACGCTCGTCGATCAGGGTGGCGGGTCTTTCATTGCGAAAGTGGCCACGCCTGAAACAGGGGCAAGGGCCTTCTTCATTGAGATGACCTTCGACAGTGGAGTGCCGGATTCGCCCTTCGTGTTCACCACCGAAGTGAGCGTTGTCGGGCGAACCGAAGGGGCTGTGAATGTGGCCCCGCTGGCCGAAGACGACACGGTGGAAACCACTGTGAATACCGTTACTCCGCTGAATGTGCTGGCCAACGACGATGATCCCGACGGTTCGATCGATCCGGCGTCGATCATCATCGTTTCGAACCCCAGCTTCGGTAGTGCGGCAATCGACCCCGAAACCAACCAGATTGTCTACACGCCGGATCTCGACTTTGTCGGCACCGACACCCTGGTTTATCGCGTGCGGGATAACGACGCCACGCTTTCGAACCTGGCCGAAGTGACCATTCACGTCGACAGTTCGAACCTTTCTCCGACGGCCGGGGACGATGCGGCTGCGACATTCATGGACACCTCGGTTTTGATTGAAGTGCTGAAGAACGACTCGGACAGCGATGGCGTTCTAGATCTGACGAGTGTGAGTATCGAAACTGGGCCGACCAACGGTGTCGCCACCCCCGATCCTGTTACTGGTGAAATAACCTACACGCCCAACCAAGGCTTTGTAGGAATCGATACCTTCACCTACGTGGTAGAAGATACGCAGAACGGTGTTTCGAACGCCGCCACGGTGACGGTGCAAGTTAGCGAGATTGGTTCGGGTGAAGAAAGTATCGGGGTTTATAATCCGCTGAACGGAACGTTCTACCTGCGGACTACAAACAACTCCGGTGTGGCCGACATTCCAGGCTTCCAATTTGGGCCAAGCCCCAGCAACCTGCTGCCGATTGCCGGTGACTGGAACGGTGATGGCCTTTCGACCATCGGCTTATACAACCGAAGCACAGGTCAGTTTAGTCTTCGCGACAGTAACAATGCAGGAGCGGCCGACTATCCGCTGTTCGCTCTCGGGGCACCGCAGGGTGTGCCCGTCGTGGGTGACTGGGACGGCGACGGATCGGATTCGGTCGGCGTTTACAATCCCTTCACCTCCACCTTTCAGTTGGTGAATGGCATTGGGGCAAACCTAGGCCCCGTCACGCAGTTCCAATATGGCATCCCCGGTTGGGTTCCGATTGCTGGCGACTGGGATGGCGACGGTAGCGACTCGATTGGTCTCTACAATGCCGGGACGGCAACGTTCTTCCTCCGCAACAGCAACAGTACCGGTGTGGCCGACGTGGCGGCCTTCAACTACGGCATGCCGGGTTGGGTTCCCGTGGCCGGCGACTACGACGGCGATGGTGACGACACCGTGGGCGTGGTGAATGTCGATACGGCCACGTTCTTCCTCCGCAACTCAAATACCTCGGGTGTGGCCTCGATCCCTGGGTTCAATTACGGCCTGCCCGGATGGCGGCCGATCATCGGGCATTGGCAACTGCAGCCTCAGAACGAACTGCTGATTCAGTCAAATAGTTCGGTACCCCCGGGTCTTACCGAAGTGGCTGGATTTTCGCTGGAAGCCGGGCTCGACCCGGTGTCGTTCAATACGGTCGCCGTGCCGCAGGTTGCGTCTTCTAGCACGACGCCCGACTATCGATTCGTGGGACCCGTGGCACCTTCGTCGGTGGCGAGCTTCGAGTCGGATGATCCCTTCGACCTGCTGGGTGCCGAGTTGGAAACCGAGCTGGCAAAGTCGCTCAGCGGCAACGCCGGCGATTCGGACGGGGTCGACATGCTCATGGATGAAATCCTCGAGGAAATCGAGCTTTAAGCTGAACGGCTAGCAGGAGTTGTTGCCGACCGGTATGTAGCAGCAACCCTCGAGCGGCATGCCGGCAGTGCTAGTCCCTCGGCGGCGGATTCGATATCATCGAGCGGATGACTTCTCCAGACTCGATCGATGTAGAATCGACGTCTGCGTCCCCCAAAGGCGTGTTGATCGTCGATAACGAAGAAGCCCACGCTCAGGCAGTTGCAGAAAGCCTGAATCGGGTGGGTTACGCCTGCACCGTGGCCACTTCGGGTACCGAGGGGGCCGAAGAACTCGAGCGGGGCGACTACGACGTGATCATCACCGACCTGGTGATGAACGACCTCGACGGGTTAGGCATTCTAGCCAAGGCCAAGCAGGACCTGCCCGACGCCGAGGTGGTCATCGTCACCGGGCACGGCAGCGTACCCTCGGCCGTCACGGCCATGCAGCAGGGGGCGTTCAACTACCTGCTGAAGCCGCTCGATATGCGTCAACTGCGGACGGTGATCGAGAAGGCCTGCGTCGCGGCCGAGCTGCGACGGACCAACTTCGAGCTGAACCGCCGTTTGGACGAGAAGTTCGGGTTCGAAGGCGTCATTGGCTCCAGCCCTCAGATGAACGAGGTGATCGATCGGCTGCGGAGGATCGCGCCGACCAACGCCAGCGTGCTGATTCAAGGCGAAACCGGCACCGGAAAAGAGCTGGTCGCGCAGGCCCTGCATCAGAACAGCCCTCGCAAGAACAAGCCTTTCGTGGCACTGAACTGCGCGGCGTTGAGCGAGAACATTCTGGAAAGCGAACTGTTCGGCCACGTGAAGGGGGCCTTCACCGACGCCTCGACCGATCGCGTAGGCAAGTTCGAGTACGCCCACGGCGGAACGCTATTTCTCGACGAAGTCGGCGATATGCCGATGGCCACGCAGATCAAACTTCTCCGCGTGCTGGAAAGCGGAGAGATCACCCGCGTGGGTTCGAACGACCCCATCAAGGTGAACGTGCGAATTGTTTCAGCGACGAACCGCGATCTGGAAGACGCCATCGAGGCCGGCACATTTCGCCGCGACTTGTACCACCGCTTGAAGGTGGTCACCATCGTGCTGCCGAACTTGAAGGACCGCAGCCAGGACATTCCCTTGCTGTTGGATCACTTCATCAAGCAGTTCGCCAAGCAGCACGACAAGATGATCAAAAGCATGTCGACGGCGGCCCGACGGAGGTTGATCGCCTTCGACTGGCCCGGCAATGTGCGGCAACTGCGGAACGTGGTCGAGAGTATGGTCGTGGTCGACTTCGACGGCATTCTGGATGTGGACGACTTGCCGGATGAACTATCCGAGTCGGCAGACAGTTCTGGCGCCGCCCCGGCGGGCTCGTTGAGCAGCCTGGTGGGCAAGTCGCTGTCTGATGTTGAGGGGCTGTTCATTGCCGAAACGTTACAAGCCACCGGGGGCAACCGCGAAGAGGCCGCCGCCATGTTAGGGATTGGCGAGCGGACCTTGTACCGAAAGATTAAGGAGTACGGTCTGTAGACCGCTCGCCGATGAGGCGCGAGCGATGCACGTTGGTTTTCGCTGAGGATGACCTCAGGCGGAAGCCTCTCTCGAAGACGGACGAACGGAATCGATGCCACACATTCATCAACTAACGCCCAGCGTGATCAACAAGATAGCCGCCGGCGAGGTGATCGAGCGGCCCGCGAGCGTGGTGAAGGAACTGCTGGAGAACTCCGTTGACGCCAAGGCAAAGCGGATCGAGGTCTCCATCCAGAAGGGCGGGGCGGAGCTAATCCGGGTCTCCGACGACGGGCACGGCATCGAAGCGGACGAGCTGATGCTGGCCGTGGCCAGTCATGCCACCAGCAAAATCAGCGACGCCGACGACTTATTCTCCGTCGGCACCCTGGGTTTCCGTGGCGAGGCGTTGGCCTCGATTGCTGAGATCAGCCGGTTTTCGATTCAAAGCCGTACGGCCGATGCCCCTTCGGGGATGCGGCTGGAAGTGAACGCCGGCAAGGCCGAAGAGCCGGTGCCGTGTGGGTGTCCGGTGGGGACGACCATTGAAGTGGGCGATCTGTTTCTCAACACACCGGTGCGGCGGAAGTTCCTGCGAACCACGCAGACCGAGATGGGGCATATCGGTGAGGCCTTCATTCGCATCGCGCTGGCCCATCTGAATGTGCACTTCACGCTGCGTCACAACGATCGGCTGGTTCACGACCTGCCACCGACGACGAACTGGAGCGATCGTATTGCGACGCTGTTCTCCCGCGAGATGGCTGAGAACCTGATTTGGGTCGAGAGCGCCGATGACGATGTGCGGCTGGCTGGGTATGTGGCCCATCCGAGTCAGAGTCGTGGCAATCAGCGGATGCAGTATCTGTTCCTCAATGGCCGGCACATTCGCGACCGCTCGTTGCAACACGCCCTGGGCGAAGCCTATCGCGGCCTGCTGCTCACGGGACGGTATCCAATCACGTTTCTATCGCTCGACATGCCGCCCGAGGGTGTCGATGTGAATGTACACCCAACGAAGCTGGAGGTGCGTTTTCGTAACGGCTCGCGGTTGTACAGCCAGCTGTTGGGCACACTGCGAACGAAGTTTCTTTCGACCAACCTCGAAACCCGCTTCCACGGTCCCAGCAGCGACGAGACGAATTCATCGCACGACACGGCGGCCGCCGCGCAGATCAAGCAGGAGATGGTGGCCTGGGCCCAGGGTCGTCCCGGGGTCACCGTCGACAGCCCGCACGGGTCGCCGTCTTCGGGGTTTGGCTCAGCACCTCACAGCCGGCAACCGCTGGTGTTGAACAAGCTCGACGACAGTTGGCGTTCCTCGGTAGGACGTACTACCACTTCGCCGGAACTGGGAAGCGGGATGACCGAGGAGGCTCGCCCTCAACTGACCGAGGTTTCGCAGCCCGAGAGTGCTTCGCCGCAGGAAGGCAACACGTCGGCCCTGCAGATTCACAACCGGTATCTGGTGTCCGAAACCGACGATGGGATGGTGGTCATCGACCAGCATGCCCTGCACGAGCGGATTCTTTACGAGCAGCTGCGTGAGAAGATTGCCACCAAGGCCTTGGAGATGCAGAAGCTGCTGGTGCCCGAGCCGGTCGATTTGGGCTCGGCCGAAGCCGCGGTGGTGCTCGATCATCGCGAGATGCTGCTGAAGCTGGGAATCGATATCGAGCCCTTCGGCGGCGATACGGTGCTGATCGTGGGCTACCCGGCGATGCTGGCCAACCTGCACCCCACCGAGATGCTGCACGCCTTGGTCGAGCAACTGATGACCGAGGGCAAGTCGCCGGAAACCCGGGACCTGATCGACGAATTGCTGCACATGATGTCGTGCAAAGCGGCCATCAAGGCCGGCGACCGGCTGAACCCCGCGGAGATCACGGCCTTGCTCGAGCAGCGGCATCTGGTACAAGACACACACCATTGCCCTCACGGTCGTCCCACGGCCCTGGTTCTCACCCGCGAGGAACTGGACAAGCAGTTCAAACGCACCTGAACTATAATCAAAGGTTTACTTTCCAAGTGCGCGAAGCGCGTGAGTTCTGAGGAGTGGGCGTCGATGATTTGCGTTAGTATCGGTCGAGGTCGGCATCGGCACATGATCGCCGAGCACGGCCACCTGGTCGAATTGGGTGCCCAACTCGTCGAGCTGCGGTTGGACTACATCAACGGCGATGTGAACATCCGCCGGTTGCTGGCCGATCGCAAAGGCCCGGTGCTCATCAGTTGCCGTCGCGAGGTGGATGGCGGCAAGTGGAGCGGCACCGAAGAGGCCCGACAGATGCTGCTGCGTACGGCCGTGGCCGAAGGGGTCGACTACGTCGATCTGGAAGACGACATCGCCTCGAACATTCCCCGCTTCGGGCAGACCAAACGCGTCATCAGCCGGCACGACTTTCGCAAAACGCCGGAAGACCTGGAAGCGATTCACGCCCGCATGTCGGAGTTGGACGCCGACATTATCAAGTTGGCCACGCTGGCCAATCATCCTCACGACAACGTGCGAATGTTGCAGCTTGTCGAGAAGAGCGAAATCCCCACGGTTGGCATCTGCATGGGCGATATCGGTACGCCCTCGCGGCTGTTGGCCGGAAAGTTCGGCGCCCCGTTCACCTTCGCCACGTTCCATCACGAACGGGCCTTAGCCCCCGGTCAGCTTAGCTTTCAGCAGATGACCGAGGTCTATCGCTACGATCAGATCAATCGCGACACCACTGTGTTCGGTGTGATTGCCGACCCGATTGGTCATAGCCACAGCCCTTTGATTCACAACGCGGCCTTCGCCGACAAAGAGATCGACAGCGTTTACCTGCCGTTCCGCGTTCGCAAGCAGGAACTGGGCAGCTTCATGGACGACGCGGCGAATCTGGGCATCAAAGGCTTGAGCGTTACGATCCCGCATAAAGAGACGGTGCTGCGGCACCTCACCAAGCTCGACGGTGCGGCCCGACGCGTGAGTGCGGTGAACACGGTTGTGTTCAGCGACGACGGCATCATCGGCTACAACACCGACTACCGTGCCGCGATCGATAGCTTGGAAGAGGGCATGGGCGGCAAGACGGCCGATGGGTCGAGCCCCGTGAAGAACAAGACGGCGCTCATCCTGGGCGCCGGCGGAGTGGCCAAGGTATTCGCCCACGCTTTGCGGCGGCGTAACGCCCATGTAATTATTGCCAGCCGCACCAGTAGCCGTGCCGATTCGTTGGCCGAGCAGGCGAAGTGCAAGGCGATCGACTGGTCGGCTCGTCACGGGATTTCGGCCGATATTCTGGTGAACTGCACCCCCGTGGGCATGCACCCCAACGTGGATGAGACGCCGTTTGATCGCCACCACATGCGGCCCTCGATGGTGGTCTTCGACACGGTGTACAATCCCGAGTCGACTTTGTTTGTGAAAGACGCGAGGGCCCGAAGCTGCGTGGTGGTTACTGGGGTCGACATGTTCATCCGCCAGGCGGCGCTGCAGTTCAAACTGTTCACCGGCCAAGATGCCCCCATGGGCTTGATGCGTGAGACCCTGAAACGGGCCACGGGGGCTGCCCGAGTCTCGTGATGCGTGTTTCATTTCCCCAAGGCGGCGACCGATGAGCGTGGTGTTAATCGGGTATCGAGGGACCGGCAAAAGCACCGTCGCCCGACTGCTGGCCCAGCGGTGGTCGCTGGACGCGGTCGACGCCGACTGCGAGCTGGAATCGCGAGCCGGCAAGACCATCGCCGAGATCTTTGCCGCCGAGGGCGAAGGGGCCTTTCGCGATTTGGAAACCACGGTGCTAAGGGACTTGGTTCCGCGGGAGAAGACCATTGTGGCGGCCGGCGGGGGGGCCATATTGCGGGAAGAAAACCGAAAGATCATCGCGGAGGCCGAATGGATCGTATGGTTGAAAGCCGGGGCCGAGACGATTGCCGCGCGGGTGGCGGCCGACGCCACGACGAATGAGCGACGACCGCAGTTGACCACGGCCGGGGGCATGCAGGAGATTGTGGACTTGCTGGCCCAGCGAGAACCGCTGTATCAGCAAATGGCCGAGTGCGAAGTTGAAACCGATGGGCTCGGCGCCGAGGCAGTTGCTGCTCGGGTAGCGGCGCAGGCCCCGGAACATATCCAGCCGAGGACACAGTAGGCGACGTTTTCATGCTGCCGATGGAACTGCGGTTGATTGGACTGGGACTGCTGGGAGTTTGCATCGGCTCGCTTCTCAACGCGGCCATCTATCGCTTGTGTTGGCACCCCCGTGCGATCAGTCCCTGGACCGCACAACTGCAAGAAGCCCCGCCGAGACGCTGGTCTGATCGTGTGCCTGTGGTCGGCTGGTTTGGCTTGCGGCGCGAAGTGCCGCAGCACGGGCCGGGGTTTTGGGTGCGGCCCATGCTGGTCGAAGTGGCCACTGGCCTGGCGATGGCGACACTCTATTGGTGGGAAGTGGCCGAGCTGAACTTGCAGCCGCGTCCACTACCGCCAAACCTGTCGATGGCAGTGGTTCATGCTCAGTTCGCGGCGCATGCGTTGTTGATGTGCCTAATGATTGCCGCCTCGGTGATTGACCTGGACGAGAAGACCATCCCCGATGAAATCACCGTGCCCGGCACGTTGCTGGGGCTGACGGCGGCGTTCATCTTTCCATGGATGTTGCTGCCGGTTCCCACGGCAATCGGGGTTCAATTCCTAACACCGGTTTCGCCCAACCCCTGGCCGGCGTGGATGGATGGCATGCCGCAGGTGGGTTCCATCGTTCTGGCTCTTGCGGCGTGGTGGATTTGGGTGCTGGGTTTATTGCCGCGACCGTGGCGAACGCAGCGGGGCTGGGGGGTGGCCATTCGGTTGCTCTCGGTGCGGATGTTCCGTTCGCAGGGTTCTTTGTTCGTGCTGGGCATTGGACTGGTTGGCAGTATGGCCATCGCTGGAGCCTGGGCTTGGGGCGATAGGAACTGGCAAGGGTTGCTGACGTCGCTGGTGGGGTTGCTGATCGGCGGGGGAATCATTTGGGCCGTACGCAATGTAGGCACCCTAGTGCTCGAACGGGAGGCGATGGGGTTTGGCGATGTTACGCTGATGGCGATGATCGGCACGTTCCTGGGTTGGCAACCGTGTTTGATTGTTTTCTTCGTGGCCCCATTCTTCGCCCTGGCGTTTGGTGTGGTGCAGCTTGTGGTGCATCGCGATGCCGAAATTCCCTACGGACCTTTTCTGTGCATGGCCACCATGCTCATCGTGCTTAGCTGGCGGACCGTGTGGGAAGGGGTGGCCAACGTGTTCGCCCTGGGGTGGTTGATCGGGGCCGTGATGATCGGGCTACTGGTCGTACTGGCCGGGCTGTTGATGCTCATTCGGGTGATCCGCGAGCTGTTTTCCTCCGCTCCCGCCGAGTAAGCCCCGCAGGCAACGGGTGGTTCTGCCCCTGGTACCAATTTTTCCGCGGGTGCGGCTAAGCCCGAGTGGTGAGCTACGTTTGTAGTGCGTGGGGGCTCGGTCAATCGTTGGGGAACGCACATGCACGGCTTGTTCGAAGCAGCTTACGATCTGACGCAAGATGCTGAAGTGCTGCGCCGCCGGCGGTATGGGGTGATCGAGGTTCTCGACGACCAACTGGTGGGCATCTGGCTGCGTCCGTGGCCGAAGTGGATTTCGCTGCCGGAGAGCACCTTCCTCGGCCGAGGCTTTCATCGCCGCCGCGAGGGCAATCACTGCTGGCTGTACTACAACCAGCCGCGAGGGCATTCCAGTTACCTGACGCTTAAGTATGTTCTGTCCGCCCGCGATACAACGCTGAGCACGTTTCGCGGAGCACTGACGGTGCTGGATGAGATCGCCCGCATCAAACGTAGCAACGCGCTGCTGTGCGACGCGAGCAACCTGAGGATCTCAGATCGTCTGCTCAAACGGTGGGGCTGGGAACCACACTTGGCAAGCCGCTGGCATCGCCATCACATCAAGCGTTTCTACGGCGAATACGCTGCACCGAGCGGGCTAGCGGCTCGTCTGCTAGCGGGCAATGAAGTAGAGCAGGGCGTTTTTTGGGACGAGAGCGGCGAATCGGACCCGACGGCTGAAACTGGTCTTGTGGCTCACGCGGGCGCGCTTTACGATCCCGCCGCTTCGGCAGGAACTCCGTGCGCATCGAGCCTGTCTTAGGGCGTTGTTCGAACCGCTCGAGACCGGTGGCAAAGTAACTGCCGCGGCAAGCCAGTCGTCGAGCATCTCATCCGTAATCGATTTCGTTTCTGCTTGAATCAAGCAGAGCATCCTGAGAGGAACCCGTGTCCATGTGGCGGTGCTGCAGCAAAGCGATGCTGATCGCGTTCGCGCCGTTGATGCTGGTGGGCTGCGCCGACAATCCTCTCGTGCTGCAATCGCAACTGCAAACGTTGCAACAGCAGCAGATGACGCTGGCCCAGGAAAATCAGGAGCTTCGCGGTCGGGCCGCCACGCTGGATCGTGACAATCAAGAACTCGAGCAGATGCTGGCGCAGCAGCGACAGAAGGGGCTGGTGAACGAAGAACAGGTGGCCGCGCTTCGCGATCAGCTTCGCAGCACGACCGCTCAGTTGGCCCAGGTGAAGCAGGAGAGCGATGAACTCTCCCAACAAGCCCAAACGATGATGGCTTCGACCCAAAAACGGGTCGGCACCTCGATTACCGCTAACAGCAGCCTGCGGAGAAATCTGCCGGCGATCGATATTCAGGGCGTGGAGGTTCGCAGCGACGGCGACGTGGTGCGGATTGAACTGCCTGGAGACAAGTTGTTCATGACGGGTGCTGCTCAGCTTCAGCCGGGTGCGAGCCAACTGATCGAATCGGTCTCGCAGCAGATCACCCAGACGTACCCCAACCATTTCATCGGCCTCGAAGGGCACACCGACAGCGACCCCATCAATGGTGCCGCGTGGGCGAACAACCACCAGCTCTCGGTGGCCCGGGCGATGACCGTCTACAACCTGCTGATCTCACGAACGATGATCAAACCCGATCAACTGTTCGTCGTGGGGCACGGCCCGAATCACCCCGTGGTTTCGAATGCCACGCCGGAGGGGAAAGCCCGAAATCGTCGGGTGGAGCTGGTGATTTATCCCGAGCGGACCGACGGCCGTTAGACGGTCGATTCTTTTGTGTTCCGGCGGGGTGGCGTTTGAGTTCGGCCGCCTTATCTCAGCTGGGATGATTCTGTCGCGGTGGTGGGATTTCTGCAGTTCCAAGACTTGAATTGGACCACGACGACACAACGGCACGACGCAAACCTTTGGTGACGGGCTTTGTCGTGAAAGTTGGCTCTCTTCAGGGGGCTTCTGATTCTCTTTTTTTGTTGGGGGGTCGGCCATTCGTTTTTTCGTTGTGTCGTTGTGGTTTTCTCAAGCTTTGAATGGCTTGAAGTGTGAGGCTACGCGGCGAAGGCTTGGCTATGGTCTCAGGCTGCCTTATTCCCGCTTGAGTTCAGGCGGATTTCTCAGCGGTGGAACGCGAACCGATTGGTCATTGCAGGGCTCTTACCGGTAGGGTTCTTTCTGCGGGTAGCGTTGGGCGCCTGCCCTCGGACGGGCTCTGCGAGTATGCTTGAGCTTTCGGCAGATCATTTCCGGGTCGCACGAGCGGCGGCCCTCCCCACACCCTCTGAGATTTCCACACAGAAGCTTCGACGATGATTGCGATTATTGACTACGGCATGGGCAACCTTCGCAGTGTTCAGAAGGCGTTCGAGAAGATTGGCCACGAGGCGATCGTGACGAACGAGGCCAGCCAGATTGCCGGAGCATCGAAGGTAATTCTGCCGGGTGTGGGAGCGTTTGAAGATGCGATGCAGGAACTGCGGCGGCGGGACTTGGTCGGTCCGATTCTGGAAACGGTTGAGTCGGGTAAGCCAATGCTGGGAATTTGCCTGGGACTGCAACTGCTGTTCGACGTGAGCTACGAGGATGGCAAGCACGAGGGGCTGGGCGTGCTCTCCGGCGAGGTGGTCAAGTTCGAGGTGCCGGAGCAGTTCAAGGTGCCGCACATGGGCTGGAATCAGGTGGAGATCCAGGGCGATGTGCCACTGCTGAAAGGGTTGGAGAACGAAACGTATTTCTACTTCGTGCACTCTTACTACGTGGTGCCTGAGGACGAGAGTGTGATCGCCACGACCACCACGTATCACAAGCCGTTCACGTCGATGATCCGCCGGGGGAATCTTTATGCCACCCAGTTCCACCCGGAGAAGAGCCAGCGCGATGGGCTGAAGCTGCTGGAGAATTTCGCGGCGTTGGAAGTCGCGTAGGCTGGGTAGACGTCTCCTCTCGTAGCGATGTTGCCGACAAGTATTTCGACCAGGCTTGAACTGCGTGTTGTTGCTTGTCAATAGGCCGCGGGGCTTCTCTTCAAGCGGCTCTCCAAAATACTTGCTTGCGCGCTGGCGCTGTGGCAGACTAGCCTGTTCAACTTCTTTTCACTTATCGGAGTTCCATGCACGATGCATATTTGGCCGGCGATCGATTTACGGGATGGTCGCTGCGTACGACTCGTGCAAGGTGATTACGGGCGCGAAACGGTCTTTGGCGATAACCCTGCCGACATGGCTCGTCGCTGGGTCGACGAAGGCGCCACCCACCTGCACCTGGTCGACCTCGACGGGGCCCGCGATGGCCATTTGACCAATCTTGAAAGCGTGCGGGCCATTCGCAAGGCGGTCGATGTCACCGTGCAACTCGGCGGCGGGATTCGCGATCGCGATTCGATTGCCCAACTGCTCGACCTGGGTTTGCAACGGGTGATTCTGGGGACGAAGGCACTGAAGGAACCGGAATGGTTTCGCGAGGTGTGCCGGGAGTTCCCGAACCAAATTGTGTTGGGGATCGACGCCCGGGATGGGTTCGTCGCCACCGAAGGCTGGCTGGAAACGAGCAATCGCTCGGCGGTTGAAGTGGCGAAGGAGAATGCCGCAGAACCGATCGCAGGGATCATCTACACCGACATTGCTACCGATGGCATGCTGGCTGGACCGAACCTGGCCGCGATGAGTGAAATGCAGCGTGCGGTCGATGTGCCGGTGATCGCATCGGGTGGAGTAACCACGCTGGAAGACATCAAACAACTGGCGGCCGTTCCCATGGATGGCTGCATCATTGGACGTGCTTTGTACGACAACAAGATGAAACTTTCCGAAGCCTTGGCCGTGGCCCGTGAAGCGGCGGCGTCTTAGGCATCGGGATTTGCAACGGAACCGTAGAACGACCGAATCGTGCATCTTTGAAGTTGCTTTCGTGACTTCGATTCGGCTTAGAAGAGGACCTCGCTATTACAAGGGTACTGCATCGATTTAAGGATTAATCACATGGCGAATCGCAAAGCCGCTGACATCCGTAATCTGGCAATCTGTGGTCATGGGTCGACCGGCAAAACCACGCTGGTCGACCATCTCCTCGAAAAGACCGGTGAAGTGAAGAGTGCCGGCAGCGTTGACGACGGGACCAGCGTGTGTGATTTCGACGACGTCGAGAAAACACACAAGTACACGGTCGAGTCCACAGTGGCTCACTTCGATCACGGCGGACTGCGATTCAACATCATCGATACCCCCGGCTATCCCGACTTCATCGGGCAAGCGGTCGGGGCCCTGCAGGGTGTCGATACTGCGGTCATCGCGATTGACGCCCATGCGGGCATTGCGGTGAACACGCGACGCATGTTCGCCGAAGCCGGCAAGGCGGGCCTGGGTCGGATGATCGTCATCACCAAGATGGACACCGACAATATCGACTTCCCGGGGCTGATCGCGTCCATCCGAGAGATGTTCGGTGAGGGGTGCACTCCGATCAATCTTCCCATCGGCAGCGGGGCCGATTTCAAAGGCGTGGTCAACCTTCTCGATCCGTCGGCCAGCGGCGAAGGGGCCCTGATGGACCTGGGCGAAGCTCGCGAGGCCCTGATCGATGAGATCGTGGAAATCGACGAAAAGGCGATGGAGAAGTACCTGGAGGGGACTCCCCCGACCAATGAAGAATTGCCCGGGCTGCTGATTCAGGCGGTGGCCGTGGGGCATTTGATCCCGATTGCCTGTATTTCGACGAAGGCCGGGGTGGGGCTCGACGAATTGCTCGATATCTGGGACCGCTGCACGCTGCCAGCCGACCGACTGGTGCATAAAGCGAAGGACGCGGAAGGGAACGAAGTCGAGGTGAAGGCCGACCCCGATGGTCCCCTGGCCGCGCAAGTGTTCCGCACTCGGATCGACCCCTTCGTGCAGAAGCTGAGTTTCGTGCGGATTTACTCTGGCAAATTGCATCGTGACGATAGTGTTCATGTCTCCGGCGCGCGGAAGAACGTGAAAATCGGCCAGTTGCTGGATAGCCAGGCATCGCATACCGAACCGGTGGATGAAGCGGGGCCGGGGGACATCGTGGCCATCGCCAAGATGGAGGACATGCACACCGGCTGCTCGCTGGGCGATTTGACTTTCCCGGATATCAAATTTCCCACCCCCATGGTCGGGCTGGCGGCCGCGCCCAAGAGCCGTGGCGACGAGGCGAAGCTCTCTGGTGCTCTGCACAAGGTGATGGAAGAAGACGCCACGTTCCATATGGATCACAACCAGCAGACCAAAGAGCTGGTGATCACCGGTATGAGCGAGCTGCATCTGCAGATCATTCAAGAACGGTTGAAGAACCGGGATCATGTGGAGATCGAAACCCACGAACCTAAGATCCCGTACCGGGAAACCATTCAAGCCACTGCCGAGGGGAGCTATCGCCACAAAAAGCAGAGCGGCGGACGCGGCCAGTTCGGCGAGGTGCACATTCGCATGTTCCCGTTGCCCGAGGGAACCAACATCGAGGAATACGCCACCAAGGACCGGTTCTCTTCGATGCGGGATTATCATTACGACCCCAAGCACAACTTCCTTTGGGTCGATTCGATCGTCGGCGGCACCATTCCCAACAACTTCCTTCCGGCGGTGGAGAAGGGATTCAAAGAACGCCTGGCCAGGGGGGTGATCGCTGGCTTTATGGTGCAGAATGTCTGCGTCGAGGTGCACTTCGGCAAGCATCACCCGGTGGATAGCTCGGAAGCCGCCTTTAAGACAGCCGGATCGATGGCTTTTCGGAATGTGTTCCAAGAGGCCAAGCCGTCGCTGCTGGAGCCGGTGGTGACCGTGCATGTGACAGTGCCGGGCGACACGCTGGGGGATATCAACAGCGATATGTCGGGCCGGCGGGGTCGGGTGCTGGGAATGGAATCGGCCGGTGGCGACCTGCAGACGGTTACGGCCGAGGTGCCGCTTTCGGAAGTGACCACCTACTCGCGAAACCTTTCGAGCATCACCGGCGGCCGTGGCAGTTTCACCATGGAATTCAGCCACTACGACGTGGTGCCGGGGAACGTGCAGAAAGAGATCATGGAGAAGGCCGTCCTCCACGAGGAAGAGGACGAGAGCTAGTCGGCCAGTGGGTCCCGGGGGGCTTTCGATGCCAGCAGGGTGGAGCCCCCCGGAGGACGAATTGCGCTAAACTGCAGGGTCCCCTCAGGTCGAAGGATTCAAGGTGGGCATCTTGATTCCCGGAATTGATGCCCGTACGATTCTAGACAGCCGCGGGGATTTAGGCTGGGTACACCGTACTCGTCAAACCACGCGGACTTTGATAGCGCAAGCAAAACTTTCCCGAGTTTAACCGCACGGTCCCATGTTGCTGACATCGCTGGCATGTCGCTGCTGTTTGAACGCTCTCTGTGCCGTGTGCGCTTGTCCGGTCTGACCGGACATTCATCTCTTTACATACGCGCTACGTTCTCCTTCTTCCGATTCCTCGACGCACGTCGGTACCTATCGGACTACCCCATGTGCACCAATTGACGGGTGGAGACCCCTATCATGGCTTCCGATCTTCGACTTAAAGAACGTTTGCCCGAGTTGACCGACCGCATCGTTCAGACCTATCGCGAGTCCAACTCGATTAACCATTTGGGCCACTGCCCGTTGCCCAACTACAAGCTGGTGGTCGACATCATCGACGACCTGAAAGAGATCCTCTACCCGGGCTATCGCAAACGCGAAGGCCTGCACATGGGGAATGTCACCTACCACGTTGGCGACTTGATTGACGGGCTTCACGACAAGCTGACCACGCAAATCGCCCGAGCGCTGCAGTACGATGCCACGACGTCGCACGACTGCGAAGAGGGAACCGACTACGAAGCCCTCGGGCAGTCGGCGGCGATTCACTTCCTCGAACAGTTGCCCGAACTGCGGCGAGTGCTGGCATTGGACGTGGCAGCAGCCGTGGCCGGCGACCCGGCGGTTCAACATGCCGATGAGGTGATCTTCTGTTATCCGGGGCTCGAGGCCGTGACGGTGTACCGCATCGCGCATTTGCTGCACGAGTGCCGGGTACCGCTGATTCCGCGAATGATGACCGAGTGGGCCCATTCAACTACGGGAATCGACATTCATCCTGGGGCCCAGATCGGAAAACACTTCTTCATCGATCACGGAACCGGTGTGGTGATCGGCGAGACGTGCGAGATTGGCGAACACGTGAAGATCTATCAGGGCGTGACGCTGGGCGCGCTGAGCTTTCCGACCGACGGCGATGGCAACATCATCCGCGAATCGAAGCGGCACCCGACGATTGAAGATCGGGTGGTGGTGTACGCCAGTGCGACCGTGCTGGGAGGCAACACCGTGATTGGGCACGACTCGGTGATCGGCTCGAACGTGTGGCTAACCAAGAGCGTGGCCCCCAACACGACCGTGACGCTGGAAAAACCTCGCCTGCGGATCCGCAACGAAGGTTTTGAAGATCTCAGTGTGGAGCCGAACTACCACATTTAGAAGTTTGTTCTTAACCGGGCGAGAGGCGCACGTGTTAGGGAACGCGCTGCGTGGCGCTCCGCGCGTAACGGCAACCCCGGAACGCCACAGCGGGCGTTCCCTACAGCGGTTGCGGGCAACCTAGATCAAATGCTTGAGTTGCACGCGACGAAACGTAGTCGCGTGCAACTGCAACCATGTGGTTACGCGGCGCGACCGCTTACACGGCGGGCGAAGGTGGCCAGGCTGGGGAAGCGACGCGAGGCGCGGCGGATTCCGTATGCCACCTTCATGCCAATCTTGAGCGAAGCGCTCGAGAACTGGTCGGTGGTGCCGTCTTCGACAAACTGCTCCATGCAGTCGACGAGGCCTTTGAGGTGCGAGGCAGCGATGTACTCATCGGCCGTGGTGACCGGCACCCGTAGGGCATCGAGCCAGTGATCGTCTTCCTTGCGGACGAACCAAACATTGATCCCATCGAAGTTGGCTCGAATGTAGCCGTTCTCCTCGAGGATCGGCTGCCACGACTCGACCCCGTTGGCTTCCACCAACAGGATGCGGGGGCGGAACTTCGTCCAGTCGGCACCTTGAATGACTTCCAGCTCGCGGCCTTCGACGTCGATCGACATGAAGTCGATCACTCGGTCGCCGACGTACTCGGTGCAGATATCTTTCAGCGTCCGCACGGGCACGGTTCGCTCGACACATTGCTGGCCTTCGTCGCTGCGAATGCGAGCGACCTCGGGTGAGAGCGTCGACAAGGCACTGGCGTTGGGGAATTCGTAGAACGTGAGCGAAGAGCGCTCGTTGGAGACCGCGATATTCAGGTTGAGATCGCGGGTTCGGTGCTTCTCGACTTCGGAGAAGACGGCTCCAGGCTCGATGTTGATGCCTTGCCAGCCGCTATCGTAGAAGTGCTTGGTAACCGAACAGTACACGGGGTGATTGGCGCCGACATCCATGTAGAACCCGGCGTAGTGGGGCGGAAAAACGCGCCGCAACAAGACATCTTCACCAATCTGAGCGTAAGAGACCATCGTCATCGCGCGTGTTCCTTATCGAACAGGTATCTGAAACTGTGATTTATGCGTGCGGCGCCCCAGCGAGGGCCGCCGGCAAGTTGTGAAGCAATCGGAGTGGGACGATGTATCAGGGTGAGCAGAATGGGTCAACCTCGGTCGGGAAGTGGGCTGATCGCAGACGGCTTTTTCAGCCCACCACGCCAGCAGGGCAATACGCTATCATGCACTCGGAAAAAGTTCGCAGCGGGGGCAAGATCTGCTCCACCGACGACGAATGACCTGCTAGCAAGCGAACCCAAGGGGCATACCCGGTGCTCGGACCTGTCTTCTCCATCGAGATCATCACTTCGTTGCGCCGTGCCCGGTATATCGCGACGAGAGTGATTTATGCTTGCACGCTCTTGTTCGCTCTGTGGGTGGCCTACACCGGCTCGTCGGCGTTTTACATGGGAACGCCGAATATTCGCATCGTGGCCCAGACGGCGCAGAACTTCTTCATCACGCTTACGTTCATGCAGATCGGCGCGGTGCTACTCGTGGGGCCGGCCATCATCGCCGGCACGATTGCTCAGGAACGGCAGCGGAGGACGATCGAATATCTCTTCGCCACCGACTTGAAGAACTCGGAAATCGTGTTGGGGAAACTCGGTGCACGCTTGGTGCACTTGTTCTTCATTGTGCTGGTTGGGTTACCGGTCGTGGCGATCACTCGCATGATGGGCGGGGTCTCGACGCCGATTATGCTGCAAGCGTTCATCATCACGCTGAGCACCATCGCCTGGGTGGGGTCGGTTTCGATCTGCGTATCGGTGTTCGCCCCTCGGGCGCGCGACGGTTTAACCCGCGCGTACTTGTGGCTGATTGGGATGCTGGTGGTGCCGGGGATTGTGGTTTCGCTAATTCAGGTGCTGAGCGGTTTCACCTGGATAGTCGATCCCGAGCTGATGCTGATCGCTCAGATGTACAATCCCTTTGTGGCTTTCTCGGCGGTGATGTACGGGGAGGCTTCAACCATTCTCTACGGCCCCTGGGCGGCGGTTGGATTGTTGCTGGTCGAGCAACTGACCATTAGCGCGGTGTGTTTGTTGTGGGCTGTGGTCTCGGTGCGGCGGGTGTATGTGCGCGACGCGGGACGACCGCCGGCGAAGAACTATCGGGCTAGTATCCTTCCCGACTGGCAAGGGCGAAGCCCTGCGATTGGCGAAAACCCGATGCTGTGGAAGGAAATGTACCGCTCCACGCATCGCTCGCGTTACCCTCGCGTACAGCGTGCGCTGACTATTCTCTCGTTCTGCGGGTTCGCAATCTTCACCGTGTGGTTCTTCTTCTACACCTTGTACGACTCCGAGGGATACATCGTTTACGCACTGTTCGTCGCACCCGCAATGGCTTGCCTGGGCTTGCTGTTACTTGGTGCGCGGGCGGGGGCATCGGTGGCCACGGAAAAGGAACAAGAAACCTGGCTCCCGCTAATCAGTTCCCCCTTGGAAGGTTCTCAAATTGTTTCGGCCAAGATTCTTGGCACGATGTACTCAATGCGGCAACTCGTTTTCCTCTTGCTCATCGCTTTGGCGCCCTGTGCGATTCATGAGCCTCGCATGGTGTTTGGGATGGCTTTCTCTTTGGGCACTTTGATCGTTCTTGCCGCCTTCACCGCTTCGCTCGGGGTGATGTTCTCGTTGCGGAGTGGCTCGTCGAACCGCGCTTCGAGTTGGACTTTGGGAACCTTGGTGTTCTTGGGCGGTGGCTACATGTTTTGCTGCGTTCCAATGACGTTTGGACTCGGTTCTGCCGATGAGACCGTCATGGCGTTGTTCATGGCTCCCTGCTCGCCTTTCCTGCTGGTGCTTCCGCTGACCGCTTCTTGGGGTGATTCAAACGTAGCGGAGGAACTCTACGCCAGCTATATCCTGGGGACCTTGGGCTACGGGGTTGCCGCGGCAATTCTGTATTCAGCAGCGCACCAACGCTTCGATGAATTCGTGGGACGTACGACACAGGCCAACTTATGGGTGGCGTGGCGTTCGACTCCTGGGAAGACTGCCGTAACCGATCAAGTCGCGACCGAAGCAGATTCCGCCCAAGCTCCTGAACCGGTGGATGACTCGCCGGAACAGAATTGACCTGGATCAACCGGCACTGCTCAGGCACTTGCTTTCTTGCGGCGAATTATTGCGAAGCAGGCCAGCCCAAACAGCGCGATCCAGCCGAGACCACTGACGCCTGCGGCCACCAGTAACCGGGTGGGCGCGTATGTGAATTCCACACGGTGCTTCCCCTTGGGAAGCCAGACCCCGCGCAACACGCGATTGACCCGGAGGACTTCCACCGGCTGGGAGGGTCCGTCCTCGCTTGAGGACACTCTTGCCTGCCAGCCGGGATAGAACTGATCGGCGAGGATCACGATTCCTTCCGCGGCCATCTCAACTTCGAGCACGACCCGGCCGGGGTCATAGTGCACAATGTGACTGGATTGTGCTGCAAGCTGCTCACTCGTCGGGGCAGGGGAGGGTGAAGAAAGTGTGGTCGGGCTCTCGACCACTGGTCGGGAATGCAGGTCGCGGGGGAGTCTGGAGCTCTCAAGAACCACTGCGGTCCGCTGGTTGAGTTCGTTCATGCTACGGGCACCCAGCGGCGGCAGCGTGTCCCACTCGTGGGCAATCCACGTTCTTGGTGCCGGGTGCGAACTTCGCCAAAGTGCAACTCCTTCGAGGTCGTTGAGGGGGATTTCTATGAGGACATTCTCGTCCTGCGGAACATCGCTTGAATGAAGTTTTGTGGCCGCTTCTGTCGGGACGTCAGACGTCCTTCGATTCACGAAGCCCTTCGGAGTGAGGAGATAGTGAATCGAAAGTGAGTCGAGCCCAGTGCCGGGCTGAATCGCCTGCATAGTTTGTTGCCGATGAGTTATCGCGGCTGCCGAGTCATAAAACGCTTCGAAGTCGGCTAGCTGCATGGTGCCCTGCATTGGGGCCAGGGCCATTTGGACGTCGATTTGGTAGAGCGCCCGGAGGGTTGCCCGATCGCGTTCGACGACCTGAGTCATGCGGTCGGGATCAATCTCGTGCCGCCAGGAGGTCGTGCGGAGCAACGATTCCCGATCCACTCGGGGTGGGACTTCAGTCGGGCTTGTTGATTCTTCGCTCTGAATCGCCTCGACCACGGGGGAACCCAACTGCCACGCAGCACTGGGTGCCGTGGCGATCAGTGGTTTCTGAGCCAACGCCAGGTCTATCGCGGTCACGGCAACGATGAGGATCGCGTAGCGCGACGCAGGGGAGTATTGCCCGGAGGCTGGCTGCACTTCGGGTTTGTTGCCCATCTGTCGGAGGATCCGCGCGGCGATCCAGGCAAGGATCAGTGAAACGACAGCCGCTTGGAAGCAGCTAATCAGGAATGCGCGCCAACTGCCTGGCACATCCAGCGGGCCGAACACGACGTCGACGGGTGCCTTTGGGGTGTATTGCGGGAACCACATTCCGGCAGTGAATACTGCAACTCCCAACACTGCAGCTACGAGAAGCGTGGCGATGCTGATGCGGCGTACGCGTAGCCAGTACGCGAGATCGCCACGGTCCCATCCTTTGGCGGCCAGCAACGCGATGCCAAGGGACGTGGGAACCAGCCACTTGGCGGGAAAGCGGAAGGTTTCGTAGCCGGGTAGCAGATTGGCCAGCGACCAATAGACGCCACCGAACCCATCGCCAATCGACAGATTGCCGGCTTGAGCGTCGATGAGAGCAGCGGACTCCCGCACGATCCAGCCGGGGCCGTATTGCCCGCAGGCGGCAAGGAAGCAGAACAGGGTGAACCATCGCAGTCGCCGAACTTGCCGGTCGGCCCCGTGGCCCCAGCAGGCCAAGGCTAACACGGCCGGAATCAATCCCATGTACAGCGAAGGAACCCAGGTCCAATGCTCGTCGGCGAAAGCCCGAATCCACCGCTGATTGGTGGGAAACATTTGACCAGAAAAATTGGGTATCCAGAGTTCCGGCAAGTGCCATGGCCCGAGACTGAAAAGATAAGTGTGCCGGAGGTGGGAATCGCTGTCATCGGTTTTTGCGAGCAAGGCGGCGTAGGTTGAGGGACGGTGTGGTTGATTGTCCGAAGCATTGCCTTGAGACCCACCGGGAGGCCGTTCCTCGTCCGGGTTCGTCACGGTTGGAGTCGCAACGTTCTGATGTGAGTGCTTGAGCCAGTGCGAGGCAAGTTGATAGACATTACGGGGCTGAGCAGACATCCCTCGAGTGCTCAACCGGGTGAGTTCCATGGCAGGGACGAGTTGCACAGCAGCCAGGACAATCGCGGTACCCGCGGCCAGAGTGAAGAGGGCCAGCGTTCGTATCGTGTTGAAGCGAGTGGTGTTGGTCGCATCGGAATGCGATGACTTTGTCTGTCCGCCGGAGATCCACTGCATGGCGAAGTAAACGGCTACAAAGAGAGCCGTATGGTAAGTCATCTGGGGATCGCCACCAAGCGTCATCAAGGCCATGGCGGCACCCAGCAGGAGAGCATAGCGAGGCTGGCCTCGTTGCACGGTTCTTCGCATCGCCCACAGAGCGACCGGAAGCCACGCCGCGCCGACCAGGAACACCACGTTGCAGTATTGGAAGACGACACTTCCACTGAATGCGTAGGCGATACAGGCCAGCACGGCGGCAGCGTCACTACACCCAAGGTCGCGTGCCAGTGCGTAGGTAACTCCGGCGGCAAGCAGTAAGTTCACTACGACGTAGGCAATTTCGAACTGGCCCGGCGACAACGGCAACAGGGCAAGCAATTGGCCCGGATAGAACACGGAGGCCGTGGGGCTCGCGGCCAGCGGAACCCCTATGTCGGCATAAGGGTTCCACCAGGGGATTCTTCCGGCGGCCCATTCAGCGTGAACCAAACGAAACAGGGGGCCATAAAAATGGGCGGCATCGCGAAACGCTAGCCGGTGATCGAACCACAACACATCGAGGAACAACCAAACTAGCAGGGCGACTAGACAGCCACAGCCAATCGCGCGCAGACCACGCAAGAGGGCGGTCTCCCGATTACGTTTCGCAGAAAGCCCGGGGGCGGTCGCACTCACTGATAAAGGGTGACCTTGAGGAGGCGAGGATGCAGAACCGCTGCGGGCCGGAAATTCACAGCCCTTCAGCTTAGCTCAACTGAGTGAGCGCTTCGAGTTGTGAGAGGGTGCCGTAGCACGAAAGCTTGTCTACCCGTGGTTGGGGAAGGCAAGCGAGAGGCGGTGCACCTCGAGAAGATCGTTAACGAGGGCCTCGTTGTCGCTCGAGATGCGAGTCGTCTGCGGCCGGGTGTTCTGTGGGCGCGAGGTCCAGCTTGCTCGCGGTTTCGGTGCTTCAGACACAGATTCCGCAGCCCGAAGTCGGGCGGCCAGGTAATCAACGAGAGTCTCGTCGGCCAAGGAGGCCGGAGTGGGAGACAATTCCAAGAACTGTTCGATCCCCACGGCGTCTAGGGCCGCGGTCTGTGGGGTAGTAGATCCAGAATGAATGACCGACTGTTTGCGCTGGGTTGGCACGAGGCCGTTTTGAAGTCGAATCAAAGTTTACGTTTCCATTCTCAAGATACGGATGCTTGGTGGTTCATCGGCCATCGGGGCCACGGTGGTGTGTTTTCGTTTTCCGAGTACTTGCCGTCGGAGGCTGGTTTTGCCGTCTGGGTGCTTGGTCCACGGTAGACACGAAGCACCGGGAGATCGTCGGTCTGCAAGCCGGTTGAAGCCCCCGAGGTCTGCAGGGCCGTTTCGATTTGTTCCAGTTGGTCGGCTAACACGGCGGCCGCCTCAGCCGTGGGATCAAACACGCCGGGCGATTCGGAGAGTGCGTCGCTCGTCCAAGGTTGCTGCATGTGCGGTGCGGGGATGGTTCGATGGGGGAGGGGACCTTTGCGTCGTTTCTCCTCGATCCGCACTAGGAACTCGTAAGGTCCTGTGCGAATGCGGTCCATGTCGCGGAGACTGACGTGATCGACTCGGGCACCGTTCACGGTGATTTCGGGGTCGAGTCCGAGCCACCGCAACAAGATGGGGCCTTGTCCTACGAGCAGGTAGGCGTGCACTTCCGGGAATCGATCGTCACCCAGTACCAAATCGCAGTCGGGTGCGGTACCAATCATGAACACCGGAGCTACGACCGAACGAACGCGGTTCCGAGCGCGACCGCGCGTGATCACCAATTCCACATCGCGATCAACGCGAGAGCCGAATCGGGGCGCAGGAGTCGAGCTGACCGAGGTTTCGGTTGGCGGGTGCATACAAGCGGATTCCGTGACACGAGGCTCGATGAATCATCAGAGCGAGAAGATGGCCCCAGCTAATCTAGCTGTAAGGAATGTCGGCAATTTCCCACAGCGACACTTAGCACCAATGGTGGGAGACAGCAGATTGTTGGCAGCACGGGTTTGGGTCGAGACAGCTAGCTAAGTTGCGCAGCCAAGTCGCGTCGCACAAGCAATGGTGAAACATTGATTGCCTGGCTCATCCGGGGTTGGGTTACTTCTCCGAAAGTGCGACTTGTGGCAAATTGCATCTCCGGTACATTGCTTGCTTGCGGTAGCGAAGCTCGCGTCAGCCTGATGATTGCTGAATCGTAGGCGGAATAAACCGCCCAAACTACTCAACCTAACCCAACTGGCAAGTTAGGGCGGGCCCAGTGTTCTCGGCTGCGATGCGTCGCATAACCGCATGCCACAAACGGGGAAGTTAACCCTGGGGACCGCAAAGGTCGTCTTTGAAAGTTTGGCCAACTCTGCTACCAAACCTACTGCGCGAACAGAAGTTATCGCGAAACGAAGTGTGACGAAGGGAATCTACACGAGATGAAACGTGCCGCCATCACCTTGGCCGTGTTGGGCACCGTATGGCTGTTTGGCTCGGGTATCTACACGCCCCAGATGCTGAGCTTTGGTGCGGTCTCGTGCGCATTCGTGGTCTTTCTTTTATGGAAGATGGACATCCTGGATAGCGAGGGGCAACCCATTGAAATGGGAGTGCGTCCGTTCACGTTTCTTCCCTGGCTGTTTCAGCAGATAGCACTTTCGAATATCGATGTGGCCCGCCGGGTGCTCGATCCGCGGATGAACATCAGCCCTGAGTTATTCGAAGTTGAAGCCCATCAAAAGACCGACACCGGTCGGGTGTTTTACGCCAACGCGATCACGCTCACTCCGGGAACCGTCTCGGTGCGGTTGCGCGAGAACCGAATTCTAGTACATGCCCTCACTCGCGAAGCTGCCGACGATGTGCGCAATGGCGAGATGGACCGGCGGGTGTGCGAAGTGGAAGGAGCCCAAGCATGATGTTTGCCATGGCTCTGATCGCAATTGCGATTACTATGCTGCTCGCACTTACGCGGGCTTTGTTAGGGCCGACAGTTTTCGACCGGATTCTGGCCGCCAACATGTTTGGCACGAAAACCGTGCTGTTGATCTCGGTGCTGAATTTCGTGAGCCAAGGGCCCGATTTCCTCGATTTGGCGGTGATTTACGCACTGATCAACTTCATTGGTGTGGTTGCCGTGTTGAAATTCGTCCGGCAGGTGAAGTTCGTGCCCGAGGTTCAGTTCGAGCGTCCGGAGGCATGAAGCGATGGCCACACTGATCGAACTTGCTTGCGACGCGGTGAGCTGGGTGCTGCTGGCCGGCGGGTGCTTCTTCTGCATTACTGGCGGCATCGGGCTGATTCGCCTCCCTGATGTTTATTGCCGGTCGCACGCTGCGGGGCTCACCGACACGCTGGGAGCGGGTTTGATTCTGGTGGGGTTGATGTTCCAGGCCACCAGTTTCATGGTCATCGTGAAGTTGTTCTTCATTCTCTCGTTTCTCATGGTCACATCCCCCACGGGAACTCATGCCTTGATGCGGGCGGCGTATTCGCACGGGCATCAACCTTTGGTCGAGCGACGCCCTGAACACGAAACAGAAGATCACGAGGACGAACACTTGATGCGTGAGATGGGGCACGAAGGAGGTGTATCATCGGCCTAGTCGATATTCTGCTGATGACACTACTGATGGCCGTCGCCCTGGCGATCATCGTGCTACGCGATCTGTTCGCCACGGTCATGCTCTCGGGCATCTTTAGCCTGATTTCCGCCGGTTTGTTCACGGTGATGGACGCGGTGGATGTAGCGTTCACCGAGGCAGCCGTGGGGGCTGGTATTTCGACGGTGCTTATGCTGGGGGCCCTGTTGCTCACCAGTAGTCGCGAAAAACACGGCAGAAGTCGCCTCCAGCCAGTTCCGCTGTTCGTGGTGCTGGTCACCGGCGCTGCGTTGATCTATGGCACGCTGGACATGCCCCTGTACGGAGACGCGGACGCCCCCATTCATCAACATGTCGGCAAGACCTATCTGGAGCGGACGCCACACGATGTCGGGATTCCGAATGTCGTAACCGCCGTGCTGGCCAGCTACCGAGGCTACGACACCCTGGGCGAGACCACCGTGGTGTTCATCGCCGGGACTGGGGTTTTGTTGCTCCTGAAGCGTCCCGGGACCTCAAAGGAGGCGGAGGAATGAAATACGCCCTCCATCGCCATGCGATCTTACGCGTGGTCGCCAAGATCTTGATTCCCTACATTTTGCTGTTCGCGCTGTACGTGCAATTCCACGGCGATTTCAGCCCTGGGGGTGGATTTCAAGCGGGCGTGATTTTCGCCACGGGAATCATCCTTTACACGCTCATCTTTGGACTCGATCGCGCGTTCCAGACGTTCAGCCCTCGCATGTTCGAGATATTTCTGGCCTTAGGAGTCTGCATCTATGGTGGTGTGGGCCTCGTGGCGATGCTCTCCGGTGGACATTACCTCGACTACGGGGCATTGTCGCACGATCCCGTCCACGGTCAGCACCTGGGCATCTTGCTGGTCGAATTAGGTGTGGGGCTAACGGTTACCTCCGCGATGGTTTCGATCTTCTTCGCGTTCCTGAATCGGGGCCGCTTATGAATATCGAACCGGAACTTTACAACTACTGGGTGGTGGTTGTGCTGATGATGGCCGGCTTCTACACGGTCATCTCACGCGGCAACCTCATCAAGCGGCTCATCGGGCTGAACGTGTTTCAGGTCTCGGTGTTCATGCTGTACATCAGCATGGGGAAGGTGGATGGCGGGGTTGCCCCGATCTTGATCGAGCCCATGCCGGCCCATGGGCCTGGGGCACACGGGGCCGAAGACCATCATGCAGACAATGAATCGCATGCCGCATCGAACTCACACCACGACGATGGCGACGATCACTCATCAGATGATCAGCCACCCTCGGAATTCATCACCGATGCGAAAATCGCAAAGCGGCTAGCTTCGGGCGCGACTCCTGACCAGGAAGATAGCTTGGTCACGGGCGAGCATCCGCCTGAGGGTCGAGAGGGCACCATTTATTCGAATCCGCTTCCTCACGTGTTGATTCTTACGGCGATTGTCGTGGGCGTGGCGACCACTTCCCTGGGCCTGGCCCTGGTGGTTCGCATCAACGAGGCCTACGGAACGATCGAGGAAGATGAGATCCAGAGTCAGGACGACGATTCGTGATCGCGGACAATCTCCCCATACTGCAAATCATCATCCCTCTGCTCTCGGCACCGCTATGCGTGGTGTTGCGACAGCGGCAATTGGTGTGGTGCCTGGCCCTGGCTGTGTGCTGGGTTTCGCTGGCTTGCTCGATTGGGCTGCTGGTTGAAGTGATGAACCACGGCCCGATTGTGTACGACGTGGGCGGATGGCCAGCCCCCATAGGAATTGTCTACGAAGTCGACCCGTTGGCGGCCATCGTGCTGTTGATCGTCACCACGGTCGCATCGCTGGTGATGCCCTTCGCGCCGCGGATTCTTGAGACCGAGGTAACGAAGGAAAAGCATTACCTGTTTTATGCTGCATTTCTGCTGTGCATGACCGGCCTGCTGGGCATGACGATCACCGGCGACATCTTCAATGTGTTCGTGTTCCTGGAAATCTCGTCTCTGTCGAGCTATTCGCTCATCAGCATGGGCACGCGGCGAAGTGCGTTGATGGCTTCGTACCGATACCTGGTGATGGGCACGATTGGCAGCACGTTCTTGCTGATCGGTATCGGGCTGGCTTACATGATGACCGGCACGCTGAATATGGTCGACTTGTCGGAACGGTTGCCGGCGGTCGAGTCTTCGCGGACCATCCGGACCGCATTTGCGTTTCTCACGGTGGGAATCAGTATCAAGCTGGCGCTGTTCCCCCTGCACGTGTGGCTACCGAACGCCTACGCTTACGCCCCCTCGGTGGTAACGGCTTTCCTGGCGGCCACCGCGACGAAAGTGTCTTGCTACCTGCTGCTTCGCGTCATCTTCACCGTGTTTGGGGTGGAGTTCGCGTTCGGTGCCATGCAGCTCGATGCGGTGCTGGTTCCATTGGCGCTGGTGGCGATCTTCGTTGCCTCGACGGTGGCTATCTACCAAACCGATGTGAAACGGCTGCTGGCCTACTCCAGCGTGGCCCAAATTGGCTACCTCGTTCTCGGGCTCAGCTTTGCTTCGATCACCGGAATTACGGCCTGCGTGGTGCACATGTTCAACCACGCCATGATGAAGGGCACGTTGTTCCTGGTGATGGGCTGCATCGTAATGCGGCTGGGCTCGGTTGACTTGGCTGACATGAAGGGCCTGGGAAAGCGAATGCCCTGGGTGATGGCGTTGTTTGTGATTGGTGGGCTGAACCTGATCGGGGTGCCGCTGACGTCGGGGTTCATCAGCAAGTGGTATCTGATCAAAGCGGCCTTGGAAAAAGATATGTGGTTCGTGGCGTTCGCCGCCCTGGTTAGTTCGCTGCTGGCGTTTGTTTACATCCTTAGGGTCGTCGAAGTGGCCTACTTCCAACAGCCCGACGAAGGGGAAGACAGCGAGCCGGTGAAAGCCTTACCGCTAAGCATGCTGGTACCGACCTCGATTATGGCCGGAGCCACGCTGGTGTTCGGCGTGTATCCGGAACTGCCGGTTTCGGTGGCCCAACGAGCAGCGGAAATGTTGCTGGGAGTAGGTGGATGACGCCCCAAGAAGCAATGACCGCCGCCGTGTTTCTGCCCCTGGTCGGGGCGATGATCATCTCATCACTCGGAGCCACGCCGAACTTGCGTGAGGCCGTAACGCTGATGACCGGCGGTGCGCTGCTGGCGATTGTGATCACACTGCTGGGCCCGGCCGCCGCGGGCGAAGAGCCCCAGGTCGACCTGGTGATGGCCCTGCCGAACCTGCCGATCGGGTTCAAGCTCGAGCCGCTTGGAATGTTGTTCTCGCTGGTGGCTTCGGGGCTGTGGATCGTGACTTCGTTCTACTCCATTGGCTACATGCGCGGACACGGTGAGAAGAACCAAACACGGTTCTACACCTGCTTCGCCATCGCGATCGCTGCTGCCCAGGGAATTGCGTTCGCGAGGAACGTGTTCACGCTGTTCATCTTCTACGAAGTGCTCACGTTCAGCACTTTCCCGTTGGTTACGCACAATGGCGACGCTGCCGCGAAACGGGCGGGGCGGATCTACTTGGGCATCCTCCTATCAACTTCGGTGGCGTTTCTGCTACTGGCCACGATTTGGACGTGGCAGATTGCTGGCACCTTGGAGTTCACCCCTGGGGGAATTTTGGGCGGGAAGGTCGAAGGCCCCATGGTGGGGATTTTGCTGGGGCTTTATGCCTTTGGTTCGGGGAAGGCGGCCCTGATGCCGTTTCACCGCTGGCTGCCGGCGGCGATGGTCGCGCCCACACCGGTCAGCGCGTTGTTGCATGCGGTGGCGGTGGTGAAGGCCGGCGTGTTTTCGATCACCAAGATCGTGGTCTACATCTTCGGGCTCGAGCTGCTGCAAAAATCGGGCATGAACCTGTGGCTGTGCTACGTGGCGGCGTTCACGCTGCTGGCCGGCTCGTTGATTGCCATTACGAAAGACAATTTGAAGGAGCGGTTGGCCTATTCCACCATCAGCCAGCTTTCTTACATCGTGCTGGGAGCCGCCTTGGCGAACTCCTGGGGCGTGTTGGGGGCCGGAATGCATGTGGCGATGCACGCGGTGGGCAAGATCACATTGTTCCTCTGCGCGGGTGCGATTTATGTGGCGACGCATAAAACGCTGGTCAGTCAGCTCGACGGACTGGGACGACGGATGCCCTTCACGATGGGGGCGTTTGGTGTGGGGGCGATCTGCGTGATTGGCTTGCCACCGATGGGCGGATCGTGGAGCAAATGGTTTCTGGCCTTGGGCGCCGCCGAGGCAGGGCAAGTGTGGCTCATTGCGGCGCTGATGATCAGTACGCTGTTGAACATCGCCTACTTGATGCCGATTGCAGCCCGGGCGTTCTTCGTGCCGACGGCCACTGCTCCCGACGATCACTACGCCGAGGAGACTGGCGAGAGCGGGATTCGGGAAGCGCCCATCTTTTGTGTGGTACCGCTGTGCGTTACCGCATTGGGTTGCTTGATTCTGTTCTTCGCTGGCGGCGAGATTTATGAACTGCTGGAACCGATGGCCATGATTCCGGAGGTCGCGCCATGAACGACCCCAGTTCCGATTCCGAACAAGATCGAGTGAACGGCGAGCCCAAGTGGTGGCTCGACGACCCGGCGAATGTCACACGGGTTTGTTACGCCCTCTTCGGCGCGTGCGTGTTGACCCTGATAGCGGGGCTGTTTGTGCATCGCCACTATCACTTCGACGTCGAGCGACTGTTTGGGTTTCATGCCTGGTTTGGGTTCATTGTGTTCACGCTGATCGTGCTGACGGGCAAACCGCTGCGATTCATAGTTATGAGAGACGAGGATTACTATGATCGCTAACCTGCCTCCAGGCATCATTCTGATGGCGGGAGCGCTGCTGCTTCCGTTTGTGCCCGGGCGAGGGCGGGGGGTCGCGCTGGTGTTGTTCGCAGCGCTGAGCCTGCTGCAGATGCTGGGAATGGAAGCCGGGGTGTGGTGCCAGATCGATGTGTTCGGCTACGAGCTAACGCTCGGTCGGGCCGACAAGCTGAGCATGGCCTTTGGGTATGTGTTCCACATAGCCGCATTGCTGGGGGCGATCTATGCGCTGCACGTGCGCGATGGCGTACAGTGTGTGGCCGCAGGGATTTATGCCGGCTCGGCCATTGGGGCATTGTTTGCCGGCGACTTGGCAACGTTATTCGTCTATTGGGAAATCACGGCCGTCTCGTCGGTGTTCTTGGTGTGGGCCAGCCGGACCGAGCAGTCTTACGCCGCGGGGATGCGATACCTGATTATTCAGGTGGGCTCGGGCGTGTTGCTGCTGGCGGGCTGCTTGATGTACTACGCCGACACCGGATCGCTGGCCTTCGAGCGGATGACGCTCGATGTCGAACGACCGGCCACGGTGCTGATCTTTTTGGCCTTCGGCATCAAATGCGCGTTCCCGCTGCTGCATAACTGGCTGCAAGATGCTTATCCCAAGGCCACTGTGACCGGCACGGTGTTCTTGAGCGCCTTCACGACGAAGCTGGCTATTTACTCACTTGCCCGTGGGTTTCCCGGCACCTCGGAACTGATTGTGCTGGGGGTGATCATGACGCTGTTCCCGATCTTCTTTGCGGTGATCGAGAACGATCTGCGGAAGGTGCTGGCGTACAGCCTCAACAACCAGCTTGGCTTCATGGTAGTGGGCGTGGGGATCGGGACCGAGTTGGCGCTGAATGGCACGGTGGCCCATGCCTTTTGTCATATTCTCTACAAGTCGCTGCTGTTCATGGCGATGGGAGCCGTGCTGTTCCGCACCGGCACGATCAAGGCCACACAGCTTGGTGGGCTGTACAAGTCGATGCCGATCACCACGGTGTGTTGCATCATTGGGGCGGCCTCGATTGCGGGCTTCCCCTTGTTCAGCGGGTTCGTGAGCAAATCGATGATTCTGACGTCGGCGGCGAACCAGCATTACCTGTACATCTGGTTGGGGCTGATGGTGGCTTCGGCCGGTGTGATGGAACACTCGGGAATCAAGATTCCGTTCTTCGCCTTCTTCGGGCACGACTCGGGGATTCGCTGCGAAGAGGCCCCTCGTCACATGCTGATTGCGATGATTGCCACGGCGGCCTTCTGCGTGGTGTTGGGTTGCTACCCAGCCCCGCTATACGCGTTGTTGCCTTACGAGGTTGAATATCATCCCTACACCGGCGAGCACGTGGTGATGCAGCTGCAGTTGCTGCTGTTTGCCGCGTTGTCGTTCGTCGTGCTGTTCCGTACGGGGATTTACCCGCCGGAAGTGGCCTCGACGAACCTCGACTTCGACTGGTTCTATCGCAAGCCGCTGCCGGCGGTGGTGGCCTTCACCTATCGCGTGGTGGGGGCGACCCGTGCGGCTCTGGCCGGCGTGGGAGTGGCGATTGTGAAGCGGTTGCTGGACGAGACACGCGTTGTTGTGGGCCCCAAGGGTATGTTTGGTGGGCATCTCACCACTGGAACAATGGTGCTGTGGGCCGCTATTCTTCTGGGCGTGTATCTGCTGGTCTATTATCTGTAGCCGGGGCCAGGGGCACCTCTGGGCTGCGAGTTGGGCGAGTGTCCACTGAGACCTCTGGCCCGGATTTCGCGGAGCTAGTCTGCGTATAGGCTGCGCGCTAATCAGGCTGCGACTTCTCATTCTGGGACTGGTGTCGCGATTCAGGAGCAGAATCGTGGTCTGTCTGGGGTAGCCGCCTGCGACGATGTGGCCCCCTTTCCAATAAAATGATCCTCGGTAAGATGTTGTAAATGTAAGGGTTATGGAGGATCCTATGCTAGCGTTCGACTCCGACATCTCAGGGCTGACCTATACTTGGCGCACTAGTTGCACCCTACAAGGTCATTGCCAAACGAAGGGATTGTGACGAGCGGCGGAAAAGCCATATCAGCCCAGCTAATCACGAACGACCCAAGAGATTCCGAAACACCGGCCAGGGGGACCCCAAGATGAAACGATTCACGAAAATTGCAGCCGCTGCGGTGGTGGTGTGCGGTGCGATGATGTTCGCCACGACCCAAGAAGCTGAAGCTGGCGGACGAATCGTGTATTCGTACCCGCCGCCGTTCTACGTGGCCCCGCCCGTGGTTGTTGCCCCACCGGTTGTGGTGGCTCGCCCAGTGGTAGTTCCGCCAGTCGTGCGTCCGCGAGTGATCTATCGCCGCCCATTCGTACGACCGTTCGGCCCTCGCGTCTACTTCTATTAATCGACGCGGTAGACGAAGACACGCTCACCCGAGACCCTACGGGTGAAACAGATACCACAACAAAAACGACGGTTGCCCAAATTGAGCAACCGTCGTTTTTTTATGCGTGAAACGCTCGACAATCAGCGACGTCCGGCCAGGCGGATTTGGGCCCGGGCCCGATCGAGTGAACGCTGGCGGATGGCTTGCAGTTCGACAGTGTTGGCCGTCTTCTCTTGAGCTTCGGCCAGAAGGGCCTTGGCTTCGGCCTCGTCCAACTTTTCAACGGGCTTGGCGTCTTCAGTAAGCAGCGAGACCACATCGTCGGCGACTTGAACGAAGCCGCCGTCGACGTAGAGCCGTTCGGTCTGACCCCCGTGCTGCATCCGCAGTTCGCCGAAACCCAGGCGCCCAATCAGCGGAGCGTGCCCCGGTAGGATGCCGAGTTCGCCGTCGTAAAGCGGGACCACGACCGAGTCGACCGTCTTTTCAGTAACAGTCGCTTCGGGGGTAACCACAATGCATTTGACTTGCGCCATCTTGCGTTAGCCCTTCTTTTGCTGTTGCTTGGCCTGTTCCTCGGCCTGCTCGATCGCCCCGACGTACATGAAGGCACTTTCGGGGAGGTGATCCCACTTGCCTTCGGCGATTTCTTCGAAGCTGCGAATGGTGTCGGCCATGGGAGTGATTTCACCCGGCTTGCCGGTGAACACCTCGGCCACGAGGAACGGCTGCGAGAGGAAACGCTCCATACGACGAGCGCGGTGCACGATGAGCTTGTCTTCTTCGCTCAGTTCGTCGACACCGAGAATGGCAATGATGTCCTGCAGTTCGCGGTACCGCTGCAGGGTCTTCTGCACGGTGCGGGCGATGGCGTAGTGCCGTTCGCCGACGTACTGAGGATCGAGCACGCGGCTGCTGGAGGCCAACGGATCCACGGCCGGGTAGATACCCTTTTCGCTAATCGAACGTTCGAGGTAGAGGAACGCGTCGAGCTGACCGAACGCGGTGGCCGGGGCAGGGTCGGTCGGATCGTCGGCCGGCACGTACACGGCTTGAACCGAGGTAATGGCTCCCTTGTTCGTTGAGGCGATGCGTTCTTGCAGGGCACCCATTTCGGTGGCCAACGTAGGCTGATAACCCACGGCCGAAGGCATACGACCCAGCAACGCAGACACTTCACTACCCGCTTGCGAGAAGCGGAAGATGTTGTCGACGAACAACAGCACGTCGGTTCCGGTCGAATCGCGGAAGTACTCGGCCATGGTGAGGGCCGAGAGAGCCACGCGAAGACGAGCCCCCGGGGGTTCGTTCATCTGACCGAAGACCATCGTGGTGTTTTCAAGCACGTTGCGGCCGGTATCACCGATTTTGGCTTCTTGCATTTCGAGCCAAAGGTCGGTTCCTTCACGCGTACGTTCGCCCACGCCGGCGAACACCGAAGAACCACCAGTGCTACTAGCGATACGAGCGATGAGTTCGGTGAGAATAACCGTCTTACCCAAACCGGCACCACCGAACAGCCCGGCCTTACCACCACGGACGAACGGGGTAAGCAGGTCGATCACCTTAATACCGGTTTCGAACACTTCGGTCTTGGTCGACAGGTCGGCAATCTCAGGCGATTCGCGGTGGATGGGCCAACGCTCTTGGGCATCGACCGGGCCACGACCATCGATAGGGTCGCCCAACATGTTGAACACGCGACCGAGGGTTTGGGGACCGACGGGAACTGAAACCGGGTTTCCGGTGTCGACCACCTCTTGGCCTCGCATCAAGCCATCGGTACCGCCCAGGGCGATGCAGCGAACGCGGCCACCGCCGAGGTGCTGTTGCACTTCGCCCGTGAGATCGAGCGAGACACCTTTGTGATCGGACTTGATCGTCACGGCGTTGTAGATTGCCGGCAGACTATTCTCGGGAAACTCAACATCGAACGTCGAGCCGATCACCTGCGTGACGTGCCCAATGTTCGTGCCTGTGGAAGTTGCGTTGGCCATCGGATTTCCGACTCCAGATTAAAGTTTCGCTAGCTTGAGTTGGTTTATGTCGTTTCTTGCTCGCCCGGCAGGGCGGGGCGGCATCAGTTAGTCGGGGGCTTCTACTTCAAAGCTTCGACACCGCCGAGCACGTCCAGCAGTTCGCTGGTGATCTGGCTTTGACGTGCACGGTTGTAGGTCATCGACAGGCTCTTGATCATGTCGTCGGCAGCCTCGGTCGCGGCTTTCATGGCCACCATCCGCGAAGTCTGCTCGCTCACCGCAGCGTCGAGGAAGCACTTGAACAGCTTAATCTTGAAGCTGGTTGGCACGATCTCTTCCAAGATTCCTTCGGCCGAAGGCAGGAACTCGTACTGCTTGACCGGCCCGCTGGATTCTTCCTCAGCGTCGCCACCAATCTGCAAGTCGCCCAGGGGCAAGAGGGTGACGATGGTGGCTTCCTGCTTGGCAACGTTATGGAACTCGGTGTAGGCCACGTCCAAACGATCGAGCTTGCCTGCGGCGTATTCTTCGAGGTAGCGGGAGGCCAGCGTATCGACATCGCCGAAGGTGGGGCGATCTTCGAAGTGCGTGAACTTCTCGTCGATCTCGATACCGCGAAAGTTGAACGCCGAAATGCCGCGTTTACCGGCGATCTCGAGCGTGACCTTCGGGACGGTTTCTTTCAGTTCGGCAAGTCGCTTGAAGGCGAGTCGTTGCACGTTGGAGTTGTAACCGCCGCACAATCCGCGGTTGGCGGTAATCACCAACAGCTTCGCGTGCCGCGTTTCGCTGCGTCCTTCGAGCAACGGGTGGCTCACATCCAAACCGCTACGCGCGAGGTCGGCGACCAGTTGCGTCATGCGGTCGGTGTACGAAGTCGCCGCATGAGCACGATCGAGCGCTCGTTTGAACTTCGCCGTTGCGATCAGCTCCATGGTCCGCGTGATTTTGCGGATGTTGCGGATCGACTTGCGTCGCTTGTCGAGGGCTTTGGCACTGCCCATGGTTTACACTTTCGATTAAGCAGATTCGGGCTTTTGTGTGTCAAACTGCCCTTGGAATTCCTTAATGGCAGCTTCCAACGCTTCGACGGTCTCGTCGGTCAGTTTCTGCGATTCTTCGAGGGCCTGACGAATCTCAGACTTTTGCTCTCGCATGAACGCCAGGAACTGAGTTTCCCATGCGTCCACCTTGTCGAGATCGACCTTGTCGAGGTGTCCTCGCGTACCGGCATAGATACTCAGCACCTGATCGATCACATCCATCGGCTTGTATTGCCCCTGTTTGAGCAATTCGACCATGCGGTAACCGCGATCGAGCCGTGATTGAGTATGAGGGTCGAGGTCCGTTCCCAACTGGGCGAAGGCTTCCAATTCGCGGAAGGCCGCCAAGTCGAGACGCAAACCACCGGCCACCTTCTTCATGGCGGGAATTTGAGCCGCACCACCGACACGAGAAACCGAGATACCGGCGTTCATGGCCGGACGTTGACCGGCGAAGAACAAGTCGGGTTGCAGGTAGATTTGCCCGTCGGTAATCGAAATCACGTTCGTGGGAATGTAAGCCGACACTTCACCTTCGAGCGTTTCGACGATCGGCAGCGAGGTGAGCGATCCACCGCCCAGTTCGTCGCTGAGCTTGGCCGAACGTTCGAGCAAACGACTGTGGCAGTAGAACACGTCACCCGGATAGGCTTCACGTCCGGGAGGACGACGCATTAGAAGCGACAGTTCGCGGTACGCGGCGGCTTGCTTGGACAAGTCGTCGTAGACGATCAGGGCGTGTTCGCCACGATATGTGAAGAACTCGGCCATGGCCGTACCAGCGTACGGAGCGATGTACTGCTGCGGAGCAGGGTCGGAAGCCGCGGCGATGATCACGGTGGTGTAGTCCATCGCGCCGTGCTCGCGAAGCACTTCGATCGTGCCGGCGATGGTCGATTCCTTCTGACCAACCGCGACGTAGAAGCATTTTACGCCCGAGTCGCGTTGGTTCAGAATGGCGTCGATCCCGATGGCGGTCTTACCGGTCTTACGGTCGCCAATGATCAACTCACGCTGACCACGCCCGATGGGCGTCATGGCGTCCACGGCCTTGATACCGGTTTGCAACGGCTCGGTCACCGGCTGACGACCCGAGACGCCCGGGGCCATGGTTTCCACGGGACGCGAATCGCTGGTGACAATGGGGCCTTTTCCGTCGAGCGGTTCGCCCAGGGCGTTGACCACACGACCGACAACGGCCTCGCCGACCGGCACGCTGAGCAGTTTGCCCAGGCTGCGGACTTCGTCGCCTTCGATGACTTTCAAAAAGTCACCAAGGATGATGATACCGACGGAATTTTCTTCGAGGTTGAACGCCAACCCCTGAACGCCCGTTCGGGTGAATTCGACCATTTCTCCGGACATGACACCCGAGAGGCCGTACACCCGTGCGATTCCGTCACCGGCTTCGAGAACGCGACCTACTTCGCGAACGTCGAGCTGCGAATCGTAATTTTCAATCTCCCGTTGTAGAACGGAAGCTATCTCGTCGGCTTTGAATTTCATGGACGCTCCTATTGATCATCTCTCGGCGCATTTTTTCTAAGCGAGTCGACACCGAGGCGTCGTAAACTGTGTCTTCTACCTTCACGACCAGACCACCGATGAGATCGGGATCGATCGTCCGTACCAGGTCAGCTTCGCGGGCCAAAAGACCACTCAGCGTGGTGCGAATTCTCTCGGCACTGGCCTCATCCAACGCGGTGGCGGTACGCACCTCGATGGACACGTGCCCTCGTGCCTCGCTGTAAATGGCATGTGCGGCCTGTCGCATCGAACGCAGGTAATCGAGCCGCCCGTGCTTTGCGACGATCTTCAAGAAATTGAGAAACGTCTTCGAGGCCTGTCCGGCTAGCGCCTTATCCAACAGATTGATTTTCTCGTCAGCCCCGATAAGCACCGAGGACAGCACTTCAGCAAAATTCGGCTGCGTATCGAGCACATCGTCGATAAACGAATCGAACTCTTCCAGGACCGATTGCGTCTCACCCGCTGCTTCTGCAGCCCCCACTAACGCTTGCGCGTAGACCGTTCCGATCTGTTGCGCTGCGGGGTCGTGCGATGCCATTTTCCCGTTGGAGCTCATCTTGGGTCTGCCGTGTTAGTTGTTGCTGGGTTGAGAAAACCGATTTACCGCGTCGTCGATCAATCGGGTGTGATCTTCCTGGCTCAGATGAGACTGGACGATCTTGCCCGCCAGTTCGACGGCAAGGGAGGCACTGCGTTCAGACAATTCCTTCAATGCGGCCGAAGTTGCGGTTTCAATTTCGCGGCGAGCGCGATCTTGAATGGCTTGGGCATCTTCGGTTGCCTTGGCCAGAATTTCCTTCTGCGTGTGTTCGGCGTCGCGGCGAGCTTCTTCGATAATCTCGCGCACTTCGCCGGCAGCCTCTGCCAAACGCTTGTCGTACTGCACCAGCAGTTCTTTGGCCTCTTCATGCTTTTGCTCTGCGGCCGCGATGTTGTCGGCGATGCCTTGTTCGCGTTTGTCGAGCCCCTCGGATATGGGCCCCCACGCAAACTTCCACAACACGGCCAGCAAGATCAAGAAGACAACCAACGACCACACCGCGAGATCTTCGTCGAACGACAGTGGGCTCGCTCCGGCCTCGTGGGCAATCTCTTCATCGGTCATGTGTGCTGCGTCGTGCGCATCGTCGGCAAGCGCCGGAGTGGGCAGTGCCAACCCCAACGGAACCAGCAAAGCCAGCAGGCATAAAGCCGCCACTTTGATCCCCGTCATCGTTTCACCTTTCGTATCGCAACAAGTACCGTTGCCCTGTAAGGGGAGACTACGGATTCATGAAGCAGATAATCAGGCCGAAGAACGCCGCACCTTCGATCAGAGCGGCCGTAATCAGCATACCGGTTTGGATGCTACCCCAGGCCTCGGGCTGACGGGCGACGGCTTCGACCGACGAGCGACCGATGTAACCAATACCCAGACCGGCACCGATGATGATCAGGCCAGCACCCACGGGACCAAAGTGATTCACCGGAGCAGGAGCTGCCGGAGCAGGAGTAGTACCTTGAGCGAAAACAGGGGTGGCTACGAGCAGCACTACAAAGCACAGGGCCACAATTTTGAACAGTCGGTTCACTTGTCACATCTCCTTCTAGGAAATCAATAAGCCTTAGATTGTGAGTTTCGGGTGACCTGCCATCGTGCCAGCGGCTAGTGAGCGTGACGGGCCATTCCGATGAACATTGCGGACAAAAACGTGAAAATGTAGGCCTGCAGGAAGGCTACAAACAATTCCAACAAACTAATGAACGTGGCCCCGAACAACGCGGCCGGCCAAACCACAAAGGCCAACCAGGTTCCCGCGGCTTGCACGATAAAACTCATAATCACCACCAGCACCACGTGGCCGGCGAACATGTTTGCCAATAACCGAACGGCCAGCACGAAGTGCTTCATCAGCAGGCCAAACAGCTCGATGACGAACAGACCGGGGATCAGCACGATGGCAATCGGGAGCGGCAATTCCATGTGCGGCACTTGAGCCTTAAGGAAGCCGATAACCCCCATCCGCGAGACACCCGTGCCGACCACTACGGCAAAGGTAATGAAAGCCAAGGCGGAGGTGGTCGCCATCGCTCCAGTGGCACTTCCCATCCAGGGGATGAGGCCTAGCAGATTGCAAGTGAGAATGAACAGGAACATGGTCCACAGCAGAGGAAGGTATTTGTCGCCATCTTCTTTGCCGATGGAAGGGCGGACGATTTCGTCGCGAATGAACACGAGGAAAACTTCACACAGGTTCCAAAACCGTCCCTTGGCCTGCGAACCGTCAGCGATTCGTCGGGCGAGGCCGATAAAAGCGAAAGCCACCAACGCGGCAGCCACAACTTCGAGCAGCATGAACTTGGTGATCGTCAGACCGATGGCCTCGAACGGCTGCGGGATGTGAATGTGGGTCCCGCCAGGAAGTTCGAACATCGTCTGGTCCATAACGTGACCAACGAGATGATCGGAATCGTGCGATGCAGCCATCGTTCATTCCACCTGGAGCAAGGTTGCTCCGGCTGAGTCCTAAAGCATTGAGTTCGGTCAGCTCGAGCTCGCCGACGTGGCTTTGCTCGACATCAGCCGCGGGCGAAACTCTCCCACGGCGAACAACGTCTCACTGGCCAAGGTGACCAGATAAAACGGGACGATATAAATCATGAGGCCAGCAGCGGCCAATTGCGGAAACATCTGTTGAGCGGTGAGCCCCAACATCATCGGGATCGCACTTCGCAAACCCATCGCGGCATAAACTCTTGCAAGGGCCTGCGAGGGATCGGCCGGACGAGTGATCACCACCAGCCCTGCCATCGCACCTAACCAACAAACACTCGCGGCGACCACTGCCACCACAAGACCCTGGGGGCCCTGAATCGTGTATGCCGTTGCTCCAATCACGAGCAGCGCCACGAACTCCACCGCCGCGAGCTTCAAGACTCGTGGGACGAGAGTATTCGTAAAAGACTGCTTGTCGCGACCAGTCACGCTTAACCGTTCTTTACGTCGCCGGAATCGTCGGCGACATCTTTCTTGGTTTTGTCTTGTAGGTTTTTTTGCGATTGCTCTTTCGCAAAAGCCACCAGCTTGTAAACACCCAACACCATGCCGAGAACGAATCCCCCCACGGCGAAGGCGGCTTCCGTTCCTACCTGACGATCGATCCAGAGACCGACAAGGCCAGGAGCCACCATCTCCATCGCTACGGTCACCACCCTCGAGTAGGAGGCTGCAGCCTCGGAGGTCGCCTTACGATCAGTCGGAGGGCCGGTCACAATAACCTGCGAACCCGGGACGCCACCCCTTCGCTAGAAGGGCCAGCATTCCAACCTTTGGGGGTAACTTTGGAGGCACTAACCACTCTCTGACCACCCAAAATTGGGTCGTCAGCGGTTGCGAAAACTTTGTAGTAGCTCGGTAGGAAAGGGGCTAATCTAATGGAGTGGATAGGGGGTGTCAATAAACCACAGCTACAATTCGTGTATTTTTTCACAAAGTTTTTTCTCGTTCCAAGTCCTTGCAGAACAGTGCCTTGCGCACCCCTTCCATCCCGGTGAGGTGATATGTCGCACCCCGCTAGCACCCCGCCCTCCGAACTAGAGAGGCCCCCCTCTTTGGAAGCTGAGATTTCTACGCGGCTAAGGCCTTAGAGATACCCCGCAACCCCTTATATTACAAAATGTTAAGTCAAGCATTCTCCCCACGGGAAGGCACCTCCCTCCTGGTGGGGGAGTTGCGTCTTCTCCCATTTTCGACTACTATCGAGGAGTCTGATGGTGGTTGGCTTAACGCTGTGGGGCCGCTTGGGGGCGGCAGTTCGTTCGGCGACGCTATTCGACGTGAACTTACTCTCGTGGGGGGATGCCGGGCCTAGCTTAGGCAAAGGCCCACGACGACGTGTATCACTCAAAGGTCATGGCACGGTTGCGGTAATTGCGAACGGCTCTCGGCCAATTCGCGTTCTACTGCAACGCCGGGGGTGCACTCTCCCACTTGACCACTCGCGGCTATGGATTGCCAAGAGGGTACGGGCGTCTCGATCAGTCAGGGATGGCGCTCTAACTACCCATTTTCACTTCTGTGCCTATGCGCAGATCTGATCCGCAAAACCCGGAGGGCAGTTCCACAGATGACCGCAGCAAAGCTCCAATCCTACACCGCTCGTGACCTCGGCCAGATGGCCAAAAAGAAGGGGGTACGGGGGTGGCACTCGATGACCAAAGCTCAATTAGTGCGAGCCTTGGTTAAGGCCGGCCAAAAGAAGTCGCGCACTACTACGACCAAGAAGGCCAGCACTTCTAAGAACGGCGTCGCCGCCAAAAAGTCGACGAAGAAGTCTGCCAAGCCGCGTACCAAATCAGCCAAAGAGCAACCCGTCCGGAAGCAGAACCCCAGGGTGAAACGTCGCCTGGCCGAAGTTCGCATGCGGGAGCACTGGTTCAAGAATCTGTCTGCCAAGACGGAAGAGGCCAACGGTAACGGCTCGGTCGAAAAGCGAGATCGCCTGGTCCTCATGGTTCGTGACGCCTACTGGCTGCATGCCCATTGGGATCTGACTCGCCAACGAGTCGAACGTGCTCGGGCTGCCATGGGCCAGAACTGGCACGATTGCAAGCCGATTCTTCGCCTGATGAAGATCGACACATCTTCGCACAACGGTGCTGAAACGCTGGTTCGCGATATCCCGATTCACGGTGGGGTGAATAACTGGTACATCGATGTTCAGGATCCTCCGCAGAGCTACCGAGTCGAAATCGGTTATATCTCGGCGGACGAACAATTCTATTCGATGGCTCGCAGCAACATTGTGACAACGCCTAAGGCAAGCTCCAGCGACTCGATCGACGAAAACTGGACCGACGTGGCCGAGAGCTTCGAAAAGGTTTATGCCATGAGCGCAAGCTCGGGCGATGGCCCTGCGAGCGTCGAACTGCAAGAGCTGTTCGAAGAGCGGCTGCGACGTCCGATGGGTTCGCCGATGATCTCTCGCTTCGGTGTTGAAGCGCAGGGTGTCGGAGAATCGGCCCGCGGGTTCGACTTTATGGTCGATGCCGAACTCATCGTGTACGGAGCCACTTCGCCGAACGCTCACGTCACGCTGCAAGGCGATCCTGTACAGTTGCGGGCTGACGGAACCTTCACCGTTCGCTTCAGCATGCCGAATTGCCGCCAGGTGATTCCGGTGGTGGCTAGCAGTGCGAACGGTGTCGAGCAGCGAACGATTGTGCTCGCTGTCGAACGTAACACGAAGGTGATGGAACCGCTGATTCGCAACCCCGACGAGTAAACGTCGATTCTGAATCGCGCGCTGGCATTCCAATTGGGCCTGCACGTGCTGTAGGGCACGTGCGGGCCACATCGCCTTATGCTTTCAGCATCTCGCGACAGTAATGTTGCGTAGAGATGCATCTCTGGCCCTTTGTGCCCGCGGTTGTCGATTTCTTCGTACCGCCGTAGACTGAAGTTTCACATCAGTCTCTTATTCGAACCGGAGCGGTGGCCGTGTCTAAGGACATCACCGAGGCCCTCGAAGGATGGCCCTTCCAGCCCAATGAAATTTCCGTCCGCTTAGTGCGCGGTGACGATGGAAGTGACAAGGTTCAGTTGCGACTCGACCTAGGGCTTCTGCAGATGGAAGTCGAAGGGCGCCCCGATGGCCAGCGTCCGCACGATTGCGATTCGCTGCTCGACTATTTCGAAGCCAAACAGAAGCAGCACGACACGGCCAACCCCGACGAGGCGGCGTTTCAGTTAGAGCCCGACGACTGCGAGCAACTGCTTCGCGAGGGTATTCAGTATTACCACCGCTACCTCAGCTTCTGGCATCTCGATCAATACGAGTCTTGTGCCCGCGACACCAAGCGGAACCTGCGGCTCTTGAAATTCGTTCGGCAGAACGCTCGGCGAGAACGCGACAAGCTTCAGTTCGACCGCTGGCGACCGTACCTCGTCATGATGCATGCCCGATCGATCGGCACGCCGCTACTCAATGATGAACGGTTCAACGAGGCACTCGTCACCGTGGACGATGGCATCGCCCAAATTCGGCGTTTCCTGGAAGACTACGATCAGACAGAGCATGCTGATCAATGCAGCGAACTGACACAGTTGCTCACTTGGCGGGAGGAAATTGTCCAGTTGCAGGACGACGGGCAAGAGCCGGCAAAAGAGGACCCGCTTCTGACGCTTCGCTCTGAGTTGAAACAAGCCATCGACCAGGAGCAGTTCGAAGAGGCGGCCCGCATTCGCGACGAAATCCACCGGCTTACCGGTTCGGGTCCGGGCGAGAAGCTTTAGGGCTTGCTTTTCACCTCGCCATTCACGCTGTCATCGCCGCTATTCAACACGCTGCGGCTAAGTTCAAACCTTGTCCCAGTTGGGGGGGAGTGATACACTTCCGGTGGCGAGCGATCGACTTGTCGTCGCCCGCTTTACCTCTGCCATGTACGTGCTGCCGATGTCACTTTTGGGGAGCCGATACGATGTCCGCTGGGCACCTAATCTTCCAGCCGGGCCGCGTGTAAAGCCAACGCCCGGGCCACACCAAACGGTCCGGAATCAGCGGATGGATCACACAACCCTGGCTGTGGGTGCCCCCTTATTGGAATGCGGGCTCTCAAAACCGCATCGCCACGGCATTGCGGTGGAGGGTTTTTTCTCCAAGCGAGAAAGACGGGCGTCGCCGACCAACTAAGGTCCGACGCCCGTTTCGTTTGCGCTGAGGGCTTCACCAAGTTGGCCTTCCTCAAATTCCAACTCCCGTGGAGCATCGGCTATAATCGAGCTTGAGTGTCCAACTCGACCACCCCGTGAATTCGCGGCCTGAAAGTACTTCATGAATAACGCCCCCGACGAAATCATCGCCAAGCGCGATCGCCTGCTGGAATTGCTGCGGGGTTTTGAAAGCTGCGCGGTGGCGTTTTCTGGCGGGATCGACAGCACGGTGGTGGCAAAAGCCGCACAGGTTGCGCTTGGCGATCGGGCGGTGGCAGTCACGGGGGTGAGCCATAGCCTGGCTGACGGTGAGCTGAGCGAGGCCCAGGAAATGGCCCGACTGATCGGCATTCGTCACGAGGTGGTGGAGACCGAAGAATTCAACAAGCCAGAGTATCGCCGCAACGCGCCGGATCGGTGTTACCACTGCAAGTCGGAACTGTATACGCAACTCGACGGGCTCGCTCCCCGGCTGGGTGTGGCCGTGGTGGTGAACGGGGCGAATCTCGACGACCGTGGCGATCATCGCCCAGGGATGACCGCCGCCGATGAACATGCGGTGCGAAGTCCGCTTCTAGAATGCGGGCTGAACAAGGCCGACGTTCGAGCGCTGGCCTTGCACTGGGATTTACCCACTTGGGATAAACCGGCCGCACCGTGTCTCAGTAGCCGTATCGCTTATGGTGAGGAAGTAACTCGCGAGCGATTGGGGATGATCGACAAGGCCGAGCAGTATCTTCGCTCTCAAGGTCTCCGCGAATTACGCGTGCGTTACCACCGCGGCGACTTGGCTCGCATCGAAGTACCGGCGGCCGCACTAGAAAAGCTCTGCCAGGCGGAAGTCCGCGAGTCGCTGGCCGCCCATCTCAAGCAACTCGGCTTTCGCTACATCACTCTCGACCTGGAAGGCTTCCGCTCAGGCAACCTGAACGACATGGTGCCGGTGGAGAGTCTGAAGGTTCTTTGATGCAGGCTGGCAGCAAGCCGGCGCAACTCCCTTCGACTTCAGGTTGAGGCTTTGAATAAACTTCCAATCCTCCGACCGAAAGTGGCATCGTCGATGATGAAGGCATTCACTCTTGCTACGGCACTCTTTGCTTCTCTATTGGCAATCGATTGTGTCGCTCGCGAACCCAAAGAGAACGATCGTGATGTCATCTACGATGAGGCGAGAGTTCCTCACTACGATTTGCCTGAGCTGCTTGTGACCGCCGAAGGTGCTCCGGTCACTACGGCCGAACTATGGACAGACGTCCGTCGACCTCAGATTCTCTCTTTGTTTAGTAACTTGATTTATGGGCGAGTTCCGAGCCCGGACAGCCCACTGAAGACCGAGTACGAAGTATTGGAGACCGAGCCAGACTTTATGGACGGAAAAGCAACTCGACAACGAGTTCGAATCCGCTTCAGTAACGACCGTGGCGAAGCGGAAATGGTTATTGCCGTGTTTGTGCCTAACGACTTGACCACTGCCGCTCCCGCTTTCATGAAGCATAGCTTCAACGATACGAAGTCGAAGGATTTCGACGCCCATCCAGAAAAGCCAGGGCTACTCCGAAACGGCTGGCCTTTGGGAGAATTCTTTTATCGCGGTTATGCCTTTGTGGCTGTGTATCAGCAGGATTTGGTGGGGCACAACGAAGTTAGCTTTAACCGAGGCATACATCCGCTGTTCTATACCGAGGGACAAAGTTTCCCCAAAGCTAGTGAGTGGGGAGTTCTCACTGCGGTGGCGTGGGGAGCTATGCGAGCCATGGATTACCTGGAAACTCGCGAAGACATCGACCACACCCGCGTGGCGATTATGGGGCACTCGAAGATGGGGAAAGCCACAGTGTGGACGGCCGCTCAAGATGAGCGTTTCGCCATGGCGATTTCGGCTCAGTCCGGGTGTGCAGGAGCCGCTTTATGGCGTCGCCGGTCGGGCGAGACCCTAGCGAAGATGGTTACGCGGTTTCCCTATTGGTTATGTCGCAATGCCTGGAAATTCGTCAATCAGGAAGATGATCTTCCGGTTGATCAGCACATGTTGCTGGCATTGATCGCACCGCGCCCCGTCTACGTGGCAAGCGGCGTCGACGACACCTGGGCCGATGGTCGCGGTGAGTATTTGTCCGCATATCATGCGAGCGAAGTGTACCGACTGCTGGGTAAGGAGGGTTTGACTTCTGAAGACTTGCCCCCGGTCAATGAACCCATCCTCAAGAGCGACGTTGGTTATCATATTCGAGAGGGGGGGCACTCAGTCGAACTGTATGACTGGAATCGCTTTCTTGACTTCGCAGACTATCACCTGAAGAACTGAGCAAGAGTCCGTGCCCGACTGCTTCGCTCTGGCTTAGTCATCTACTTGCAGGCTCGAGAGAAGCCCTAGCGTGGCCCAGGTGGTGCCCCAGTAGGTTGCGGTCTCTTCGATGTTGTCTTGCTTCTTGGTTTTGGTGCCTTTGACTGGCCAGGAGCCATCTTCGGCCTGAGTTTTGATGAGGAAATGGAGTGCCCGGTTAACAGCCTCATTGTCTCGGGTAATTTCGGCGGAATGAAGGGCGTAGAGCGCCATGCCGGTGCCGAGGGCGTCGCTGCTTTCGCCGGCGATCCATCCCCAGCCGCCGTCGTCGTTTTGCTGTGCGATGAGCGCATCGATGCGTTGCCGCAGCGAAGTCTGATTCAGAGTTTCGGCCAGCAGTAACTTGGCAACGAACCACTCGGTACTTTGACCGGCAGAGCTTTGCTCGAGCCGTGCAACCGCTTGATCGACGACATCGGGATGTGTCGTTGAAGCGTGAAGGGCCAACGCTAGCCATGCGGTAGAGACTTCTGTCGTTTCAATCGCGGGACGCTTCTGCGCGGGAAGTTGCCCGCCCGGCTTCCAGGTGCCATCGGCTTCGATGCCGTTGGCAACAATTGCGGAGAGGCTTTCGACTGCTTCTCGGTTCTGCCTCGAACCGTCCCGCAGATTCAAGGCCATTAGCAATTGCGCGACGCCTTCTTTATTCGTTGAACCGGCCAACTCGCCCTTATCGTTCTTGGCTGTTTCTTTCTCGATCGACCAATTCAGCCACTCTTCGAAACGGTCATCGATTGCGAAGCCGTTCGCCCTGGCGGCGGCCAAGCTCCAGAGCATGTTGCCAACCCGGTGGCAGGTTACGCACTTCTTCTCTTCGATCCACCATTCGCCCTGGGCTTCGATGTAGCGGATGCTGCGTTGAATCGAGGCCCGCACTTGCTCGGTGGTGACGGGTTCAGCACTTGGGAGCGTGCTTAGAGATACCGCTACGATCAATCCAGCCAATGCGGACATTTCACCACCTGTGTCGGTGATTGCTCGAAGACCTCTGTTAGCTGCCGGCCCGTCATCTTAGCAGGGGAGAACCTCTCAAGCACGGAAGCGGGCTTGCCCCCGCAACGAGAGGAGACGAAACCCCAAGAGGGGCCCCGATACAACTCACCCTAGGCGCGAAGCCAATTAGGAGTCCTTCGCACTTCCGGTGGGCGGCTGAGCAACTTTCTGATCACTCGCGGCCTTCTCCCCATTGCCTGGCTTAGTATCCTTTCGGTCGGATTGTTTGCCCGCAACCTTGGATGTTGCCGTTGGAGTGCTCTCCAGCTCGTCGCCGTTTTGGGCAGCGTCGTCTTCGGGGTAGGGGGTTACTTGGGAGATCGGGTCGGGGCCCACGAGTTTGACGCCATCGACGTCGGTCTGACGTGTTTCGGGGAAGGCATCGAGCGAGGTCATCATTTCGGTTTGGTCGGCATACAGCGGGCGGTGCATGGCGTAGGCCACGATTAGTTTGGCAACCGCGATCAAAGAGTCGAGGTTGGTGCGTTCGTATCCGTGCGATCCATCGACACCAAACGCGATTAACCCCGTGCGAATGTCGTTGCCGGCATCTAGGGCCGAAGCACTGTCGCAGCGATAGTAACGGAAGACGTCGCGGGTGTACTCGATTTGGTTCGACTGGCAGAGGTGAATCAAATGGTGGGTCAAGTGATAGTCGAACGGGCCAGTGGAGTCGGCCATGCCGATTGTGACGCCAAACTCGCTGGATGCCTGACCAGGAGCGGTGGTGCCGTTGTCGATGGAGATCATCTCGGCCACATCACCGTGCAGAATGGCAGAGGCCCCGGAGCCGACTTCTTCGCTAATGGTGAAGAGAAGATGTAAGTCGACTGGGAGTTCGAGCTTGTTGTCGAGCAGGCATTTGGTGGCCGCCAACATCGAAGCCACACCGGCCTTATCGTCGAGATGCCGAGCGTTGATGAAGCCGTTAGGAAACATCTCCACGTTGGCATCGAAACCGATGAAGTCGCCAACATTGATCCCAAGCTTAGTGAGATCCTCTTTGTTATTCACATGCTCGTCGACGCGTACTTCGACGTTGTCCCAGCCCACGGGTTGTTCGTCAACTTCGACATTGAACGTATGTCCGGAGGCTTTAAGCGGGAGGACCTGCCCACGGTAGATTTCATCGTCGGTGAATACCGAGACACGTGCCCCTTCGGCGAAGCGTGCCGACCAGGTACCCACCGGAACTACTGCGAGCCGGCCGTTATCTTTGAGCGCCTTGACCATAGCGCCGAGCGTATCGACATGCGCGACCACGGCCCGGTCGGGGCTGCTGCTAGCCCCGGGGAGCGTACCGCGAATTGCTCCACGGCGGGTCAACTCGTAGTCGATGCCGAGGTTCTCGAGTTCGATGCAGACGTTGCGGACGATCGGATCGGTGTAGCCGGAAGGGCTGTGAATACTCAGCAAGCCTTGCAGCTTTTCCAAAAGATAGTCGGCGTCGACCGGGATCTCGTACTTCACGTAGTCCAGCCCTCCTGAGCATGAATTCGGGTGTGCGGAAATAGCAGGTCGATAAACCGCTCGGCGGTCGGCTGCGGCTCGTGGTTGGCCAGCCCGGGCCGTTCGTTGGCCTCGATGATCACGTATCGGTCGCTCGCCACATCGGGCGTGAGGAAGTCGAGTCCCACGACCGGGATTTCCAGGGCTTTCGCCGCTTCGACTGCCGCCTCTTGAATCGTAGCACCTAACTCGGCGGTGACGTCGTGGATGGTTCCTCCTGTATGCAGATTGGCGGTTCTGCGGACCGTAATCGACTCGCCCTCGGGAATAATGTCCTTCATGTCGTACCCGGCGGATCTGACGCAGCGCTCGGTTTCTTCGTCGAGCGGGATGTTGCTTTCGCCCCCCGTGGCAGCACTGCGGCGTCGGCTGACGCGTTCGATTAGCTTTTTGGCCGAAGAACGACCATCACCCACGATGACCGGTGGTTTGCGCACCGCGGCGGCGACCACTTCGAAGTTGATGACGATCACCCGCAGGTCGAGCCCTTCCACATACGCTTCAAGAAGCACCGTCTCGTCGAATTTCTCTGCGGCTGCAATGGCCCGTTCGACTTCTTCGAGTGTTTGCAAATCGACGGCCACACCTTGCCCTTGTTCACCGTCGGCTGGCTTCACAACGACGGAACGATGCTGTTCGAGAAACTTATTCACCATCTCAGCATCGACGGCCACGATTTGATCAGGGACTGAAAGGCCCGCCTGAGCAAGCAGTTCGCGGGTTAGTTGCTTATCGGCGCAGCGGCACATGGCGATTGCCGAGGTGAGATCGGAGAGCGACTCCCGACAGGTAACCCGACGGTTGCCAAGGGTCAGGCGAAAATAACCTCGCTCGAGGTCGAGCGGTTCCACCATGATGCTGCGGCGAAGGGCTTCGTTGATGATGATCGTCGCGTAGGGGTTGTAGCCTTCCTGGGGATGCTGCGGCACAAAAAGGGCTTCGTTAATCTGGTTGCGACACTTGATGGCAAACACAGGCACGCGTTCGAAACCGAGTTGCTCGTATAGCCCGATGGCGGCCTCGTTGTCTTGGAGAACCGACAGGTCTAAGAGTTCGCGCCCGCGTGACTTCATGGTGTTGGCGATATGGTTCACCAGAGTGACGCCGACGGCCGGGTATTCGATCTGGGGATCGACCGCTAATGCCCAAAGGCTGCTGGAGTTCATCAGGTCGTCGAAGCAGCGAGTGTGATCGACGGCCAGGGCAACGCCGAGAATGCGGTCTGAATCGGGCGGTCGAACGACAAAGTAGTCGTAACGTTCGTTCTCTAGGTCGCGCCAGATCACCTCCGGATCGAGTGGAACCATATTCTGCGAGAGGTAGATCCGATTGATCTCTTCGATGTCACTTTCGCGCTCGATAGTACCGACCTCGAAAGGCAAATCGTCGATTGGTTTAAGTTCCCAGGCTTTCAAATCGAGCCGGTAGGTGGTCGAGGGGTCGAGAAACAGCTCTTGAGGGGCCTCGTTCAGAATCAATTGGGGATCGATGACATAAAACGCAATGTCGCGTTTATCGCGTTTCTCGCCTAGCACGGCGCGGGCCAGCGAGGGGGCATCAGGGAAGGTGTGAGCGAACAACAGTCGGCCCCATCCGACGTCAACGACCGAAGCCTGCGGCGGGAGCTCTCGGTTCATCGAAGCTACTCCTGCTTGTTGGGCGCTGTCGCGCCAGTGATCAATCGTTTACGAGGGAAGATGTTCTTGCAGCCACAGTTCGAGCAGGGCCAGTTGCCAGAGCTTGGAACCACGGAGCGGGGTAATGTGTGCCTCGGGATCGGCCAGCAACTCTTCGACGTAGGCCTGGTTGTAAAGCCCACGCGCTTTGGCGGCGGGAGCTGTCAGCGCGCCGCGAGCCATCTCAAGGAACTCGCCCCGCAGATACTTTAAGGCTGGAACGGGGAAGTAACCCTTGGGGCGGTCAATCACCTCGGCGGGAATCACCCGGCGGGAGGCTTCCTTCAGGATGTATTTGCCGCCCTCGGCGATTTTGAGTTCCGGCGGCACGGTGGCGGCGAACTCGACCACTTCATGATCGAGAAACGGCACGCGGGCCTCGAGGCTGGCGGCCATCGTGTGGTTGTCCACGCGTTTCACCGGATCGTCGACCAACATCACCAAGGCATCGATGCGGAGGGCTTTGTCGATGGGTGCATCAGCCCCTTGGTTTGCGAAATGCTCGGTAACAAATCGCTCGGCCGCATCTTCGTTCACGTACTCCTTGGAGATAACTCGACGGTACTCGTCGAAGTCGCGATCGAAGAAGTGTTGACGATAGGTTGCCAGGGCGTTGGTGCTTTCCAGCATCGGTGGGTACCAGTGATAGCCGCCGAATATTTCGTCGGCCCCCTGACCACTCTGCACCACCTTGCAGTATTTCGATACTTCTTGTGAGAGCAGGTAGAAGCCCACGTTGTCGTGACTCACCATCGGCTCGGACATCTGCGCGATGCACTCACCCAAGGCCGGCAGCGTGCGGCGGGAATCGATGAACAACTTGTGATGCTTGGTCTTGAACCGATCGACAATGACGTCGGAGTACTTGAATTCGTCGCCTTCTTCGTCTCCCACCGATTCGAAACCGATGGAGAAGGTGTCTAAGTCTGAACCGCCGGCTTCGGCCAGCAGCCCCACGATGAGGCTGGAGTCGAGCCCACCGGAGAGCAATACGCCGACCGGGACGTCTGCCACCAGGCGTCGCTTCACGGCCCGACGCATGACGTCAAGCGTCTCGTCGATCCAATCTTCTTCGCTGTAATTGGCTTGATCTTCCCGCTGGCCAAACGATAAGGACCAATAGGATTGCTGCTTCATCGACCCATCTGGCTCGATAACGGCCACCGTCGCGGGCGGTAGCTTCTTCACCCCATTGAGGATTGTTCGCGGGGGCGGAACTACCGAATGAAACGTCATGTAGTAGTTCAGCGCCGTGGGGTCGATGCTGGCATCCACTTCGCCGGCGGCCAGCAGCGCGGGCAGGCTCGAGGAAAACCGCAGACGATTTGGCTCGGTGGTGTAATAGAGAGGTTTGATGCCAACCCGATCGCGAGCCAACACCACGCGGCCGGTATCGCGTTCGTAGATGGCGAAGGCAAACATGCCGTTCATCCGCTCGACACATTCGGTGCCCCAGGCGTGGTAGGCCTTGAGAATGACTTCGGTGTCGCCGTGGCTGAAGAACTTATAACCCTTTGCCTGCAGTTCTTCACGCAGTTCAGGGTAGTTATAGATGGCGCCGTTGAAGACGATGGTGAGGCCGAGGTTCGAATCGATGAGCGGTTGCTGGCTGGCGTCGGAAAGATCGATGATTTTGAGCCGCCGATGACCGAAGGCAAACCGGCCGCGTTTTACGAGGCCGTCGGCGTCGGGTCCGCGGCGGATCATACACTCGGCCATTTTTGAAACCGCGCCCTCATCGGCAGGGCTGTCATCAAATCGGACTTCGCCGCAAATTCCACACATAAAGTTTCTCGTTCTCTACTACTAGTGAGTGAGTTGGGTCGTCGATTTCTCCGTTCAGCAAACCCTGTGCCGGTACTGTCAGAAGGCCGCAAAAGCTGCCTAAAAGACTATCTGGACTGGGGTTCCGATATTCTTACGACCAAATTCACAAGGAAATTGCACTGCGCCACTGCTTACTAGTGTCGCGAGAATCGATGCGTTAGCAACCGTGTACGGCAGTGGACCCGATATCAATTGCCGATGAACAGCGAAAAGATGGCGGTTCCAACGCCAGCCAAGCTTTCGCCGGCCACCAAACCCGCGGCGATCGGCAGCACGAATCGTCGTGCCCATCGTGGAGCAACTCGGGTGGCGAGAAACGCAAGGGTCGCACCCAAGAACAGCGAAATGCTGTTGAACGCCGGAATGACAAACGCCAGACCGAAGCTGACGGGGCTGGGCAACCAGACTGCTTTCTTGGCTGGTAAGAAATACCCCAACACGGCCAGTGCGGTTCCTAAAACGATACCAGCGATCGCAGCGATGAATGCTCCGCTGGGAGCGGCGTCGAGTCCGTCGCGGAATAATTCGGCCACAGCCTTCCAGGTGGCAACTGCAGGAGCTGGCCATTCTTCGGTGAGCAACATCTTTGAAGGATTAGGAACTAAGGCCAAGTAGGCAGCGCTTCCGGCCATCGAACCGATGACCACCCCGAGCACCTGAGCTACGGCTTGCGCTCGAACCGAAGCTCCCAGTAAACGACCGGCCTTCAAGTCGTGAAGCAAATCGGAACATTGCCCCGCGGCTCCTCCGGTGACGTTGGCCGTCATCAGGTTCACGCTAACGTTCGTGGGATGGATTAGCCCGAAGGTCAACTGCGTAACTTTGCCCAAGGCTCCAATGGGAGGAATTCCGGTTTCGCCCGACACTCGTGCCGCGACAACGGCAAGCACGAAGGTAAGCAACACGGCCAACACGGCCATGGGCAAGGCAATGTCGAAGATGAGCAACTGCGCGGAAACTGCAATGATCATCACAATGATAAACCCGGCAATCATCCACTTGCCGGGAATGCCCTCGCGACTGGGGCCGATGTAGTCGTGCAGCTCTCCGGATTCGGCGACCGGTGTCTCGGCTGCGACGTCTTGCTTGGGTAAGTCGCGCGAGCGGAGCATCCTCCGCAGGGAAAGCACCGTTGAGACCAACGCGGCGGAGACCATCATCGCCACGCCGGGCCAGAGCAAGAACTCGATAGCCGTGCCATAGATGCTAACATCGGGACTGGCGGGAGTCGGAATCCGTTCAGAGACCATCAACCACGGGGCGATGACGCCCCAGGCTACGACCGCACCCAGCAGCAGCGACCAGCCGACGCGAAAGCCGACGATTGCGCCGAAGCCGATCATCAACCACGATGGATCGAGCACGAAGCCGAACGTGCGCGTGGTGACCGTAGGTAGCCCGACCCAGGCCAGCGCGATTCTTGGGCCCAAGACGGGCAGGGCGGCGCTGTAAATTTTTGTCACTGCGGCCAGAACGCCGGCCGCCAGCAGGTAGCGAATGCGGGCTGCGGCTTCGGTCCCTTTGGCGTAGATTTCCAGCACGGTTTCGGCGGTTGCTACACCGGAAGGGAAGGGCAAGTGTTGCTCTTCGAGCATTTGCCGACGCAGGGCAAGTCCGACGACTACCCCCAAGGAACTCACGGCGAACAGCCAGCAAGACATCACCGGCCAAGACAATGTTTTGCCGGTGAGAATGGTGAGGGCCGGAATCGGAGCCACCAGCCCGGCTGAGATGATCGAGGCCGAAGACGATGCGCAGGTTTGATTGATATTGTTTTCGAGCAAACCCCAGTGCGAGACGTTATTCGGCCCGGCCACGCGACGCAGCCCACCCCACACCCCACAGCTAAGTAGAGCCGCGGCAATCGACATGTTGAACGACCAGCCAATCTTCAACCCTGAGTAAACATTGCAGGGCGTGAGAACGGCCCCCAAAACGGCACCCGTAAGAAGGGCGCGGAAGGTAAGTTGGGGAGCCTTGGTGGAAGTGATGGTTGTTTTCGGTGAACTAGATGAGGAGTCAGACAAAGTGTCGGCTCATGAGTGTTGGGGAAATGGGGATCTGGCAGATCGGCGACACTGGCTCAGTTTAACCCTTTGCCAGCGACGGAATCATCCTAATCCGTGCGTGTTGCCCTGGTTGATTTCCCAGTTGATCGTCTCAAATCAACGGGAAAGTTGCTCTCGGGAGCTAGAAGCTTCGGTGCGCTTGCTACTTATTCTGCAATTGACGGGCATCGCGCTAGGGCCCGAAAGCCGTTTTTTCGATGCTTCGAAGCCTACCCAATGGCGGCGAGCAGTTGCCCGCCGGTTACCTGATCACCGGGTGAGACGGCAATGTTGGTGATGGTGCCGGCAGCGGGGGCGTTGATGGGGGTTTCCATCTTCATCGCTTCCAATATGAGGATGGTCTCGCCGGCCTCGACGTGATCGCCCACATCGCAGTGCACACGAAGGACCAGTCCCGGCATGGGGGCCGAAAGCTCGGTCTCTCCGGCACTGCTTGCAGCCGCCGGTGCAGATTGGGCCGGGGTGGCGGCTGATTCCGCGGCCATGGCGACTTTGTAGTTCTTTCCGTTGACCGTAACCTGGTCGCCATTGAGGGCACACCGATAAGAACGCCCATCGACGGTGAGTTGGAACTCCGATGCGGCGGCTGCGGACGACTTGGCGGCAGCAGCTGGTGCGGGAGCCGCGGGGTCGTTCTTGCGAATGTTCATTTGGGCCTCGCCCTTGAGAAAGGCAATACCTTTTTCTTTACAGGCGGCCGCAATGAAGATGTTTTCTTCGGTCTCTTCGATGCCGGCATCTTTCAGCATCGTTCGGGCCGGCCCAATTCCCTTGTTCGGATCTTCGTCGTTCAACTCAAGCGGCGAACGCGTTGTCGGCTCGAGGTTTAACTGCTCGGAAGCCAGCTTTACGACTTCGGGGTCGGGCGGTACGGGGGTGTGGCCGAAGTAGCCCAAGACCATCTTGCCGTAGCTCTCGGCAATTTTTTCCCAAGGGCCGAACATCACGTTGTTGAAGGCCTGCTGGAAATAGAACTGCGAAACCGGCGTGACCGAGGTGCCAAACCCACCGCGGCGGACCACGTCACTCATCGCCTTGATGATGTCGGGATACTTCTCCATCAGGTCGTTGTCGCGAAGCATCTGTGTGTTGGCGGTTAACGCGCCGCCGGGCATGGGGCTCCACGGAATGAGCGGTTCGACCGTGGTTGCTTCGGGAGGCAGGAAGTAGTCACTCATGCAGTCTTTAAAGACTTCTTCCGCCTCGCGAACTTTCTCGATATCGACGTCGAGTTCGTAATCGGAACCGCGGAGTGCGTGCCACATCACCATGATGTCGGGCTGGCAAGTTCCACCGGAGCAGGGTGCCATCGACAGGTCGATGGCGTCGGCCCCGGCGTCGAGCGCCGCCTTGTTCGCGGTGGTGCCGATGCCGGCCGTTTCGTGGGTGTGGAAGTGGATGAAGGTCCCCTCAGGCAGCATTCTTCTTGCGCGACGAATCGTCTCGTAGACCTTCGAAGGCACGGCCGTACCCGAGGCGTCTTTGAAACAGACCGCGTCGTAGGGGATTTCCTCGTCGAGGATCTTGCGAAGCGTGGCTTCGTAGAACTCGGGCGTATGCGCCCCGGAGCAACCGGGAGGGAGTTCCATCAGCGTAACGCAGACCTGGTGCTTGAGCCCGGCCTCGACAATGCATTTGCCGCTGTAGACGAGGTTCTCGACATCGTTGAGGGCATCGAAATTGCGGATGGTGGTGATGCCGTGTTTTTTGAACAGCTTGGCATGCAGCTCGATGATGTCGCTCGATTGCGAGTCGAGTCCCACGACGTTCACACCGCGGGCAAGCGTCTGCAGGTTGGCCTCGGGACCGGCTGTTTCACGAAAAGCGTCCATCATGTCGAACGCGTCTTCGTTGCAGTAGAAGTACAGCGACTGGAATCGGGCCCCGCCGCCGGCTTCGAAGTAGGTCATGCCTGCATCACGGGCGGCTTCGAGCGCGGGCAGGAAGTCCTGCGTTGCAACCCGGGCACCGTAGACCGATTGAAAGCCGTCGCGGAAAGCCGTGCACATGAAGGTGACTTTTTTCGGCACGCGGTAGCTCCTTATTTCATTTCTTGTCGGCGGAACAGTTTCTCGCCGTTTGTTACTTGACCAATACCGACCACAAGATACCCGCGGCAACTGCCGAACCGATCACGCCGGCCACGTTCGGGGCCATAGCGTGCATCAGCAGGTGGTTATGCGGGTCTTCTTCCTGACCGACCATTTGTACGACACGAGCCGAGTCGGGCACGGCAGAAACGCCGGCTGCCCCGACCAGCGGGTTGATCTTCTCCGTGAGAAATAAGTTCATGAACTTGGCGAAAAGCACGCCGCCGGCCGTAGCAATGGCGAACGACAGAGCTCCAAGGCCGAAGATTAACAACGACTGCTTCTGCAAGAAGGTTTGCGCCTGCGTGCTGGCCCCCACGGAGAAGCCCAGCAGGATCGTAACGATATCGATCATTGCCGTACGTGCCGTGTTGGCAAGCCGATCGGTGACCAGGCTTTCCTTCAGCAGGTTGCCGAAGAAGAGCATGCCGATCAGCACGATGGCGCCGGGGGCGATCAACGAGCAGATCAGAAACGCGGCGATGGGGAAGATCATCTTCTCCCGTTGCGACACAATGCGGGGCGGTTTCATCTTGATGAGGCGTTCCTCCCGCGAGGTGAGCAGCTTCATAATCGGCGGCTGAATCACGGGCACCAGGGCCATATAGGAATAAGCCGCAATTGCGATCGCCCCCAACAAGTGAGGAGCGAGCTTGGCGGAGAGGAAAATGGCCGTTGGACCGTCGGCACCGCCAATGATGCCGATGGCACCTGATTCGGAGGGTGTGAAGCCGAGGTACAAAGACCCTAAGAATGTAAGAAATACGCCAACCTGGGCGGCAGCCCCCAGCAACACGAGCCTGGGGTTGGAGAGCATGGTGGAAAAGTCGGTCATCGCGCCGATGCCCAGAAAGATCAACGGCGGAAAGATACCCTGGCTCACTCCAAAGTAGATATAGGAGAGCACGCTTCCTTCGTCGTAGACGCTGAGTGTCATCCCTTCGATGGGAGGAATGTTTCCGACGACGATTCCGAACCCGATGGGCACGAGCAGCAGTGGCTCATAGTGTTTGCGTATGGCCAGGCCGATGAACAGGATGCCCACCAAAAGCATCACGAAGTTGCCTAACGTCATGTTGGCAACGCCGGTGGTTTTCAGGAATTCTAGAAGTATATCCATTGAGATTTCGCCGGAGACCGCAGATTTGCGGTGAGGGCTTTCAAATCCATCGGAGAATTAGGTGTGAGACGGGGGGTCGCTCGACTCGGCGTGTTGCTGATGCAGAGCCCAAGCGATCGCCGCCACGATGGCGTCATCACGAGCCGGAGCACCGCCAACGGCGTGATGTTGGGCTGGCTCGGGCAGAATCGTAGACACGGCTTCCAGCAGACGGGGCAGAACCGAAATGAAGATGCTGATCAGGATCAGCGCCACGAAGACAATGGTCATCCCCGCAGCGGCAATGACGTATCCGTCGGCGTCAGCAATATTCTGAATGCCGAACTGCAGCTTTGCCGGGTCCGCCGGCATCGCATCTTGCGCAAACAGCAGTGGGATCAACGTGTATCTCCGCCAGTCCAGTGGAGTCGTTTGGTAAATTAGACAATTAGGATGCTAAGAGCATACAGCATGGAAAACGAATGCCAAGCCAGGGAAGGCGGGAGCTTGGCCCAGAAATATGGGAGGATTATTGGAAGGAAGCATCTAATCGGTAGACTTGCAGCCAGGCTGCGAACTGAAGGCCCGGTCCTGGTGCTCTGAGGCCTGAGTCTTCGGTAAACGTCGGAAGGCGAAATTCCCTCGCACCGTCGAATTACCGCCACCGAAGTGGGCGGGTGGGCGATCGTTCCTGGCTAGCGACCGACGAACCTGAGCGAATAGAGCACACTCCGGCTTGATGCTAATACCGTAGGAGGGCCGCCACGTGGCCTGCCTTGGTGAGGCCGGGAATCTCGTCGACAAAGTTCACTTGGCCGCTTGTGAGTTCGACCTGGCGAGTGAGGGCATCGATGAGGGCGACTTCAAAGACCGACTTCGACCCGCATTGCTGACAAGTCTCGGGGCTGCCATGCACGAGATGTTCGCAGTCGCGGCACTGGGTACCCGGCAACTTGGCGTCTCGGGTGACGATCATCGTGTCGATCCTTCCGGCCAGAGCGGCCTCGAGCACCGCCGTGGCCCCCATCGCGCCGCGGGAGTGGCTCATGTATTCGTTTTTGATTCGTTCCCATAGATGTTCTTCGTCCTGACGTTCGTCGGCAAAGTACTCTTCGTACGCCTGTTCGATCATCGCGTCTTGGCCACGCCCCAGGTCGAAAGCATCTTTGGCCACGACCAACTCGGCCAATTTCTCGGGCAGTTCGTCTTCGATCTCCTCCATGGTCTCTCGAGAGCCGATGAGGACCACTCGTTCGAAGTTGTATTGCCGGCGTAATGTCTCGAGGGCGTCGCTGACCCCTTGAGCATAATGATGAAGCTCGTTGTCGCGGCGGCGTTCGTATCGTTGTTGCGACCAGCCCCCTTTTCGCACGTGGTTCTTGACATCGCCGCGGACCGATTCTTCGAGCTTGGCAGTTTCGTTGGTCACCAGGAAGATTCGCGTCTTCTCATTGTTGCAGGCAACCAGGGCGAAGGTTTCGTATTCATCCTGAAGTTCGGCCAACGGGCGAATGTATGGCGACGACCCCACGTGCATCTCGGTGGGGACGGGCATATTGATGGGGTAGCCACGGACAAAGTCGAGCAGCGCACAGGCAAACACACATACCCCTGTGGCGTCTTCGACGGAGTTTTCTTCGAGAAGGCCGCGAATAAGCTTGAGGTTTTCGTCGAACAACTCCAGCTCGGTATCATTATCAACGAGCAGCTCGCGGAGTGAACGTTCGCGGGCGGCCAGGCTGTGAAGCCCTTCTTTGCCGGAAAAAAAGGCCGAAACGAAATCGCGCCCGTTGCCCTGCATCTCCGCCAGTTCGCGGAGGTCAATATTTTGCAGCATCGAAGTGATCTACCTTATGCGCTGGGGGCCGACTGCTGAGGATCGCGGATGTAGCGTTTTTCTTCCACGACTCGCACAGCGCCTTCCTCGGGGACGATTCCGCCGCCGTAGTTCTTGACCCAAGCTTGAGTCAGTTCGGCACCGAGCAAGACGATGATTGACGTGTAATACACCCAGACCAACATGGCAATCATCGAAGAAGCGGCGCTCCCCCAGGCCGAACCAATTTCGGAGTTCTGTAGGTACCAGCCAAGTCCGGCTTTGCCTGCGACGAAAAGTACGGCGGTGAGGAAGGCCCCCACCCACATGTCTTTCCACTGCATATTGGCATCGGGCAGAATCTTGTACATCGCCGCGAAGAGGATCGTTGCCATGGCGAGTGAGAGTACATTGTTCACCACCACGCCAATCACCATCCCTACAGTACCGTCCTGATGCCCCACGATTGCATGAACGATTTCGTCAACGAATGTGGTGAGCACCAGCGAGACGAGCAGGAGGAAGGCGATAACGACGATCATCCCCAGCGAGAGGCCTCGCTTGACGATGAAGTTCTTCCAACCGGCCCGATCGGGGTCGGGTTCGATTTCCCAAGCTCGGTTCAAAGCGTACTGCAGTTGGGCAAAGAGGCCCGTAGCTGAAAAAACTAGAATCAACACGCCGATGATTTTGGAGGCCGTGCCTAAACCCTGCATGGGCGGGGCGGAACTCGCTTGACGATTGGCTACCGATTGGAGAGCAACCTGATCCTCGGAGGCTTGTTCTTCTCGCTCGCCTGAGGAGGCCGTTTGGCCTGCCATGGGCAGACCGATTTGCCGACTGACGACCTCGTTGATCCGCTGTTCGGAGATATTAAAAAAGCCGGCGATGTAGAAGACCATCACCAGCAGCGGCGGCAAAGAAAAGATTGTGTAATAGGCCAGCGAAGCACCCCGGGCCATGCACTCGTCTTCAATGAAATCCATGACGCCGGACTTGATCGTCTTGAAGAACTTCCACATCGCTTGTTCTCGAGCTAAATGCTTCTGCGTTCTGAGAAGAATGCCAAATGACCAGTAGCCGAATGCCTTAATTCAAGCCTGTGGAGCCCGGCAGTTCGACTACTGATCTCTGGCAAATATCTTATTGAATCGCTTCCAGCTTATCGTCGAGGGCGGTCATCGCCTTGTCGACCTGAGGCTGAGCGTTTTTCCAGTTCAGAATTTCAGCCGACTCGACATTATCGACGGCTTCCTGCAACTGATCACGATGGTTCTGCAACTCATCGATCTGTTGTTGCTTAGCTTCAAGCTCCTGACCTTCTAGGCCATCGGCTTCCTGCTCGAGTTGCTCGATACGCTGATCAGCTTGTTCCAGCTTGGCTTCAGCCTTTTTCACATACTCCGTGCGAGCATTCTGGGCTTCGACTTTGGCCTGAGTTTCCTCAAGCTCTTGTTGAGCTTCTTGAGTTTCATTCTGTTCTTCCTGAATGGCCTGCTGGCCTTCCTCACGAACCTCTGCGGTTTCTTGCATTTCTTCCGCTACGTCTTCATCAGTAGATGGCTTCATCACCTCGTGCCGCATCTCTTCGGTTTCTTGCTGTTCTTCGTTAACGGCTTGTTCGGCATCCTGTTGGGCCTCTAGCGTTTCCTGCTGCTCCTCTTGCACTGCCTGACGGGCGTCGGACACGTCCTCTTGGGTATATTCCGAACAGCCAACCATAATCAGGGGTGCGGCAGCGGCCACTGCCAAACTCTTCCAAGTGCTTACAATCTTCATCTGTATGTCTCCCATTTCTCATCGAGTTTCGTTGTGACTACACACCAGGCATCACCAACCTGAAGGAGAAATAGAGGCAACTCCGATGCCAGAGACTGGAAGATTTTGTAGCCCTGTACCGCAAAGGCATGGAGCATCTAGACTAAAGACCGTAAGTGCAGAACTTCGGTCGACTTTGTGCATCGAGCATCGAACCGCCGATAGGAGTAGGTACTCCCCAGATCAACGTTTTTGGTCGGGATTTAGTCCATCGACTTGATTGATGATCGCTCATCCTGCTTGGCATGGATTCAAGCATTCAGAGTGCATGGAATCGTCCCGGCCAAGAGAGAGGGCGGCTCTACGAAGAGCCGGTCATCTAAGAACCCCACGCAGTATTCCTGGCTTACCCATGCTGGCAACGACTGCGTATTCGTGAGGGCTCATACCGAGTCTGAGAATGACTCGGTTGAAGCAGCAAGCTGTTGATCGAGACAGTTTGCAACCGTGGTCAGGAATTGCTCGCGCACGAAGGGCTTTGAAAGGTAGGCGTCGCAGCCTACTGCCAAACACTGGTTGCTGTCGTGTGTCATGGCGTGCGCCGTGAGGGCGATGATGGGCCCGGGGTAATCCGCGGACCGCAGTTTTCGTGCCGCGGTGTAGCCGTCCATGATGGGCATTTGCATATCCATCAGAACCAAATCAAACGGATGCCCTTGCTGCCATGCCTCCATGGCGGCATCGACCCCTTTTTGTCCATCACTGGTAACCGTGACGGTAGCGCCAGCACTCTCTAGAATGACCTTGATCAACCGCTGATTATCAATTCCATCTTCAACCAAGAGCATGCATCCGTCTAACTTGACCGAGCTGTGGCTCGCAGCGGAACTTTCTGTGGGCCACGCTCTGTCGAACTGCGTGATCATTGGCACGCCGTCCAATGGTCCGGTGGCCACTGTAAGAGTGAATGTGCTGCCCTTACCGGGTTCACTTGCAACGGTTACTTCTCCGCCCATGGCTTCGGCGATGCGCCTGGTAATCGTCAAGCCGAGACCTGTACCGCCGTACTTGCGCGTGGTTGAAGTGTCGGCCTGACGAAAGGGTTCGAATGCGTGGCTGAGTTGCTCCGACGTCATGCCGATCCCTGAGTCGACTACTTTGTAACTGAGCCGTTGGTTCGCAGCATCACACTCTGCCACGATCTGGACTGTGCCATTTTTGGTGAACTTGATCGCATTCCCTGCCAGATTCATCAGGGCTTGCTTGAGCCGCGTTGGATCACCCTGAATTGACTGAGGTATTCTTCCCTTGAATTCACCGCTCAACTGGTTGTGCTGAGATTCAGCAGGCCTGGCCAAGGAAGCGATGACGTCGAACATGAGTTCGGCGGGGCACACGTTCGACACTTCTAATTCGAGTCGACCAGCCTCAACCTTTGAAAGATCGAGAATATCATTGATGATCGCCAAGAGGTGTTTTCCATTGCGCTGAATTGTATGGATTGCACTCTCGCGTTCGGTTTTCGACAGGCTCTCATCGAGCAGAAGCTCGCTAAACCCATTGATTGCCGTCATTGGCGTCCGTATTTCATGACTCATGTTCGCTAGAAACTCGCTCTTCGCAACGTTCGCTGCATCGGCGTTTTCTTTCGCGACGGCTAAGAATCGGTTGTTTTTCAACAACTCCGTTTCCACTCGGTTTCCGAGCTTCATCAAATAGAAACCCAGCAGGAAGTAAAGAACGAGAACCACAATGGAGACGCCGAGCACCTTCCGGTCTGCTCTCTGCAGTGCAAGGGAATTGCTTTCGACGTTTAAGTTCGAAAGATTTCCAATCATCATCGCCACACGGTGTTCGGTGTCTACACACCGTTCGACCTCGGCCCAAGCTTGCGCATCGGTTTGCTTTAGCGCGTCGACGGCGACAATGTACTGCTCCTGACAAGCGTAAAGCCCTCGTGAGCCGGCAACCATTGTCTGATAGGCCGGGTCGTCGTATGCGTCTACCCCGAACAGAGCAGATTGTAGTTCCTCGACATGGCTTAAGAGCTCTCCGTCGATTGGAGGAGCCATTTTTTCGGCCTCATGTCGGAGCCGCGCCAGCGACTGCCTCATTCGGTTGTCTTTCAGGCTGCGGATCGTGTCCAAGTCTTTTGCAGCAAAGAGTTGCTCGGATAGCACGGCAAGCTCATTCAGATCTGTTTTGAATGCACCTGGCCACGTGTTGGCATCGACATGCTTGATGAGTTCCTCGGCAACCGATGTGGCGTGCTGCCCGTTAGACTGACGATACCTGCGGACCGCTGCAATCTGTCGAAGTCGTTGAAGCCCTTCAACACGCTCGGCAGTTGATGCCGCCGCTCTGATTGCATTGCGAACTTGTACGATCGCCAGGCTTCGACGATCGGCTTCGTGCCGGACCTGCCTTGCTTGCTCCGAGGCGAGGTCACGCAAATGTTGAAGGTTCAACAACTCCACCTGCAGTCGATCAAACTCTGTTTCCGACTTGCCAGGGTCGTCGACAAGTTCACGATACGTTTGTTTGCAAGTCTCGATGACTGCCTGTATTTCTTCTCCTTGAGATTCGTCTGAATCCGCTGCGTGCGGTGCTTGATGTTGCTTGATCTGTCGCTCGACTGACGCCCGCTGCTCGAAAAGAATATCGGCTGAATCTTCCAGGAGAACTTGGGCCTGCTCGGTTTGTGCGTGGAGTGCTTCGATGTGGTGGTGGGTGCCGGCGGTGACCACCAAATTGATCACCCCGGCGCCGATGCCGACCCCCAGCAATAGCCACACCAACGTGGCAATCGAAATGCGAGGTTCTCGCTGCATGCTCAGTCATGCCTCCCGGCGAAGGGTAATGCTTGGGGTGAGCAGGGTTCTACACGACCGTTCTGAATGATCGTAAACCACACTTGGCTACATGCTTGGTGATCATGCGGAAAGAGATCGAGGGGCTGTCCCAGGCCGACGTCAAAGCTGCCTAGATTTTCCAACGAGTCTACGATCGCTTCCCGCGAGAGAGGGTCGGCGCTTCTTTCCAATGCGCGAATGAGAATGCACCCAGCGATGTACCCTTCTAACCCGCCGAACGATGGCTCTACATCGGTGTTGCCGCGAGCCAACGCCGCCTGGTAATTTTTGACGATCGGCAATTCTGAATCGATGTGGGGAACGACCTGAGTAATAATTACCCCTTCGCCCATATCGCCCAACGCCTCGCAAAGTGGCTTGGCTCCCACGAACGAAACATTCAAAAAGAGCGCGTCGAGTTGGAACCCCTTCGCCAGCTTGATGAATTGGGCGGAGGGTTCATATGCACCGACCATGATTACGGCCCTAACCGGAGGATCCGCTGAGAGGATATCGGCCAAGCCGTTTTCGACAGCCAGGGTGTTGCGTTCGTAGCGACCGTGGGCAACTTCTGACTCGTCAGCCAAGCCGTGCTCTTTCAGTGCTGCGAGGCCACCAAAGTAGCCGGCGTCGCCATACGCGTCGCGCTGGGTGAAGAAGGCGATCTCTTCCGGCTTGAGTCCTTCTTTCTTGATGAGGACGTCGACCATACGGGCAGTTTCTTCCGCGTAGCTTGCGCGGTAATTGATGACGTACCTGTCGGGAGGGTTTTTTCGTAGAACGCCCGCACCTGAGTAAGCACCGAAAAACAGAATACGTTCCCGGTTTGCAATCGGGGTAGCAACCACCGCGGTCGGGGTTCCAACATTTCCGATGATGCCCAACACACGGTGTTCGCTGATCAGCGCTCGCATGTTGGGCCCCGTGCGATCGGGTTCGTATCCGTCGTCCAATACGATGAGTTCGAGTTGACGGCCACCTAAGCCACCGACCGAGTTTTGCTCATCAAATGCCGCTTCAACTCCAGCTCTGACATTGATCCCCAATTCGGACGCTGGACCGGTGAGAGCGGTGGACATGCCGAACGATAGAACTTCTTCTGACATCCCCAGCGATGGCCAAAGAAGTAGGAGCGCGGTGCAACAAGAACGAATTGCCCCCGTGTTTGCGTTCATCGAGACCTCGCCACCCTGGAGAAACCAAGTCGCTAGAAAAGCGTAGGTTGCTTATGGTGAATTGGAATTTCGGATTCACGAACGAGGGAGCGAGTGGAGACAACGACAAGGAAATGCGGAAGGAATCTGCGACTAGAACCGAAAGTGAAGCTCGCGGTTGAATCTGGCGATTTCCCGCCAACCTCGATCGAGAGTGAGAGACGAAGGGCCCTGTGAGTGCATTCCAGTGAGGCTTAAAGATCTCACCATCCAAAGGGTGGAGTGAAAATGGCTGTGGGCGAAGAGGCGTATCCACTCATGCTTCAAGGTGCTCAAGGGGGTGATCAGTTTCGGCAAAGCGATCGATTGTAATCCCTAGCCCCTGTAGCATGGAAAGGTACAGACGCGACATCGAAGTTAACTCGCTTTGCTGAAGTACTCGCCCAGAGGTTATTGCTCTTCCACCACGCCCAGCAAGAACAATCGGAATATTCTTGGGGTCGTGATAGTAACCGTTCGAAAGACTCGACCCGTAGAGCAACATTGAGTGATCAAGCAGACTGCCAGAACCGTCGTTCACTTGTTTCAGTCGCCCCAAAAGGTAGGCCACTTGCTCGTGGTGCCATTTCACGACCTCGTTGAACATCTCTTCTTTCGAGGCTTCCGATTCCCACGAGATTTTGCCGTCGTCATCATCGCTGCGACCACTGATATCTTTGTAGTGGGAAAGTGCGTGCCATGTTCCCTGCACTCCATTGAGGAAATTAAAGTATCGGTTCGTCTGGCCATGATCCAGCATGAAGGTGCAAACCCGAGTGGCGTCTGACCAGAACGCCAGCACAATCATGTCCATCATCAGGCGGACGTATTCTTTATGTTCGCTCGGGATGCCAGCTTTCGGACGCAGGAGGCTGTCGGTGAGCAATTGTTCGCGATCGACTCTTGTTGTTTGTGCCTCGGCGAAGTCGAGTCGTCGCTCGAGACCGCGAATCGATTCCAGGTATTCGCCTACTTTGCGGCGATCGGCAGTGCTAACTCGATTTTGGAGGCTTCGTGCGTCTTCGAGCACAAGATCTAAAACACTGCGGTTCGCCAGTGTTCCTCCTGTGCGGCCTGTGACGCGATCGAAAACGCGTCTTGGTTCAACCTCGCGGGCACAAGGGGTTGAAGCATCAGTCCAAGAGATATTGTTTCTGGGAAGATCCTTGGCATACGACCCCATTCCCTGTAGCGAAAGTTCAAGCGAGGGCAGGGGAGTGTCTCGGCCAATTTCGCGAGCAGCAATTTGATCGACCGAGGGACCGCCAACGTCAATACGCCGTTCGTCGAACCCATGCCCGGTAAGCCAAGTTGCGGTGCCGGCGCCGTGGCCGTTTCCCAACGGAGTCCACATATTTCGCGGAATGACAATATCGTCGCGAAACGCTTCAAGCGGGCTCATCCATCGATTTAGTTTGAGTAATTCACCTGCGGGCCCAACCTGTTCTGGTTCCCAAACCCCGTCAGCAACTCCATTGGGAAAGTAGATGAACGCCAGGCGGGGTGTCGGTTTTGAGGGACCTTGTCCGGCCTCAGCGTCCATTACTTCGAGCAACGGCAACGCAAGCGAGGCTCCCAGGCCTCGCAGCATTGTGCGTCTCGAAATCTGCCAGGATCGTTTCATGAATCACAGGAAAATTGCTGTGGGACTATCAGGCTGAGTCAGGGCGGCGTTTGTACTGGAACGGATAACTCTTCACGATGGCGTGAATGAGTGACCGCAAGCGGTAATCGTCTTGCTCGAACTGATGGAGTATCTCTTGTAGGCTTGCTTCGTCGTAGTATTCGATTTGACGCCCGAGCGCGTAGGACAGCATCTTGAGTGTGATCTGTCTTGCCAGGTCGTCCATCCTTTGTTCAACAATTACCCGCCGTAGCCCGGGCAAGTCGGCAAACTTTGTACCGTTGGGAAGTTGCCCGGTAGAGTCGATTGATCCGGACTCCGTCGATCTACGCCGGCGGCCAAAATTGTCATAGTGCTCTAGGCTCAATCCTAGGGGATCGATTTGGTCGTGACAAATTGAGCACTCTGCCTGGCTTCGGTGGATCGCTAGTTTTTCTCTCAAAGATAGGATTTGTCTTTCCTCATCGCCTTCTTCGTTCTCGTCTAACTGACCGGCATTTGGCGGCGGTGGAGGGGGTGGGGTGCCCAACACGGTCGCCAAGATCCACTTCCCACGAACGACGGGGCTTGTACGATCGGGAAACGAAGTGACTGCCAAGAGGCTTCCCTGCCCGAAGATGCCACCGCGTTTGTCATCTTTCAGTTGGACACGGCGAATCTCCTCTCCATGAACAAAGCGAATGCGATAGTGCTTGGCCAACTCTTCATTTAGGAACGTGTAGTCGGCATCGATCAAACGCTCTAAAGGTTCATTCTCACGCACCAGCGAGTTGAAGAACGAAGCTGACTCGTCACGCATCGCTTGCATCAGTGTTTCGGTGCACCAAGGATTGTCCGTAGGATCGAGGCGGACACGTGATCCTAGATGTTGAAACCCTAGCCATTGTGCGGCGAAGGTCGTGCCGAGTGTGTCGGAACGAGGATCTTCCAACATGCGGTCCACTTCGCTGGCCAGCACTGCGGGTTGACTTAGTCGACCTTCTTTCGCGAGAGAAAACAGTTGTTCATCGGGCATCGATGCCCACAGAAAATAAGATAGTCGGCTGGCCAGATCCCATTCGGAGATGTGGTATTCCGTTTCAGTTGCTGGCGTCTCTACTCGTAGCAAAAACTCTGGAGCGACAAGCACTAGAGACAACGCTGCTTGAAGCGACTTGCTTGTCGAAACCCCGCTCTCGCGTTGTTGCATGTAGTAGTCGGCTATACGCTGTACTTGCTCTTCGGTCGGCGGGTGACGATACGCACGGAGCATGAAATCCTGAAAGACGGCACCGACTTTCTCGCTCTCAGAAGAACCACCGACGTCAGACAGTTGGCTCATCATTCGAGCCAGAACCGGCGAGGCGGGCGGAGTTCCTCGTGTAGCCGCGTCGAGCAACTCTTCGGCAGCGGCGAAATATCGCTCCAACAGCAGCGGCTGCAAGAATAAGGTGTTCGCGCTGTTGTCGAACCCGCTAGTTCCCGAATTCTCATCGGGAAACTTTTCGACCAGATTCAGATCGACAGCGAGCAGGTCTCGAACGGTCGCATCGTATTCGTGATGACTCAGCCGGTGTGCCTCCTCGAACCCCGGCGACCTGACGGTTTCGTAGTCGAAGGTTTCTAGCATCCGATCAATCCACGCCACGACTGTCGCCCGTTCCTCGGGCGTAGGCTGTGCGTAGTCTTGTGGAGGCATGGCTCCCAGAGCGAGGTACTGACTAATCTTGACCCACTGCTCGCGGTTACGAACCCAAGGGGTCTCGGCCAAGATGCCGATGATATCCAGTTCGCCTTCCTGCGATTCACCGCTGTGACACTCGAAGCAATTTGATTCGAAAATGGGCATCACATCGCGTTCTAAATCGATCGAACTGGCATCGACCAAGACCTCTTCTACATTCGACGAAGGCGGAGAATAGATGTCGTCGGCTTGGATCACATCGAGTTGCGAGTCTGACGTTTTAGGAGGAAGACCATCCCCAGGGTTGCGAGGTGCCGACAACGAACGCCGGAACTCGGTGCGGGGGGGAGAATCGCTCTTCCAAGCGAACAGGAATCCCAGCAACCCCAATACGAAGGCGCAGCAAGTGAGCAAAAGTGTCGCGCCGCGCCACCGCATAAGCCATTCCCACCTCACTCAAATTGAAGCACGATGCAGCAGGAGAATCAGCCTCCAAGCCGATCGAATCCAGCAGAATTTGCACTCTGCTACGCCACATTCAAGCGTCGCGTGCCGCTCGTAAGAAGCCTATTTCGATTGTGTTTTCAGAATCCATGGCCTGCAATAGGCAATCCACTATTCGTGCTCCCACACCGGGGTCTAGCTAGGAAAACCTCTGGCTTCCGCCTGGTTTAAAGCCAAGCGGTAGAAGAAAGTGAATCGGTTCACCCTGCTCTTGGGGGAGATTTGTCGAGGTCAATGTCTCTCCGGAATCCCATCGACTCTTTGGGGTGAAACGCCAACTCCATAATCCGCCAATGCCAAAAACAAGACGATTGCTGCTTGAATTGGGTGTGCTGTACAATGCTCCACGCAAATTGGTAAACCACCCTGACCCATTGAACCATTTCAGTTCCGGCTGGAACCTTCAGAAACAACGTCCATGGACGAGACTACCGCGGCGGTCCTAAGCATTCTGCTTGGCTTGATCACTCTTGTCTTTGGAGGGGAATTCCTGGTTCGCGGGGCGTCACGATTGGCGGCGGCTGTGAAAATCTCGCCGCTGGTCATCGGACTGACGGTGGTGGCGTTTGGTACGAGCGCCCCGGAGTTGGCGGTTTCGCTTCGATCGGCGTTCGCCGGCAATGCGGACATCGCCGTGGGCAACGCGGTTGGGAGCAACATCTTCAACGTACTCTTTATCCTCGGTGCGGCGGCGGTGATCGTTCCATTAACCGTGGCCAGCCGGTTGGTGCGGCTGGATGTGCCGTTGATGATTGCGGCCTCGGTCGTGCTGTGGATTCTGGGGTTCGATGGCCGCCTGGGACGACTCGACGGATGTGGCCTGTTCGCGGCACTACTGGGATACACCTACTGGTGCATTCGCCAAAGCCGTAAAGAAAGCAGCGAAGTACAGACGGAGTTCGCTGAAGAGTTTCCCGCTGAAAAGGCGAGCAGTTCATTCCTCATCGTCCAAATCGGCCTGATCGTAGGTGGACTGGTGCTGTTGGGAATAGGAGCCCAACTGTTGATCAATGGCTCGGTGGCCATTGCCACGCGGATGGGTATCAGCGAACTGGTGATTGGACTGACCATTGTCTCTGTTGGTACTTCGCTGCCGGAAGTAATCACCTCGCTGGTCGCTGCCTGGAAAGGTGAACGCGACATTGCCGTGGGTAACGTGGTCGGCAGCAATATCTTCAACATTCTCTGCGTGCTAGGGCTGACCAGCATCGTCGCGCCCGGAGGGGTGGTGATCTCGCCGGAAGCCCTCTGGTTTGACATCCCCGTGATGATCGCCGTGGCGGTGGCCTGCTTGCCAATCTTCTTCACGGGCAATGTCATCACGCGGTGGGAAGGCAGCCTGTTCCTCGGCTACTACGTCGCCTACACCACCTACCTCGTTTTATCGGCGACCGACTCTCCTCTAACGGCCACCTATGGCACGATCATGTTAACGGTGGTACTTCCGGTGACCGCCATCACCCTGGTGGTGAGTGCGTACAGGGCAGCCCGTGCAGTTTAGAAATTGCTTCCAGCACAGATAGTGCCGCCATCGCGATATCGGAAGCCATTGATATTCACGAGATTGCGATGTGGGCACTTATTCTCGGGCAATACTAGCTGGCCGAAAGCCGGTCGTAATCTTCCGCGGTGGCACCATCTAAGCATGCCCGGATGATCTCTTGGGCTTTGGCGTCTAGTTCGTCATCGAGGAACTGGCGGATCTGCTCGTGGAAGAACTCGGTGAGTAGTTTCGCGCCTTGATCGTAGGCCTCTTCGCCAACTTCTGGCTGAGACTCAACTCGCAGGAACCAGTGGCCGATCACTTGCCCTTCGACCTGAATGGTTCGCGGAGAGCGGCCCAGCAGCGGGCAGCGGCAGTCCAGTAGACGGCCTGGCTGGAATTGGGCCGAGCCACGACGAGCCAGGTATTCGCGAGCGATCCACTGAGGGGCGAAGCCGACCTGCCAACAACCGATGTGCTGGTTGGGAATCAGGAGGAACATGGTATCGGGGGTGTCCATCACCTGGCGGAACAAGATGTTCGCCTGGTCGACCCTACGCCCCGTGGCAAACGGCCAGTAAGAGCCCACGCCCTCGGAACTCATGCCCTCGGTGTCGACAATCGACGGGTTACCATGACCACGCGGTGCAACTAGCCGCCACAACCACGCCAACGATGGCGGCAACAGGTGGAACAGTCCCATGATTCCGTAGGTCGGCTGCTCGCGGGTGCAAGGAGGACACCGCACGCCGAAACTGCGGATATCAACGGTCACCGGATCATTCACAATGCCCGGGTAATTTGCTCGCGGGAAGACCAAGCGTGGGTTGGGGCAGGGCTGCCCTGGTTCGTCTTCAATCGGTTCCCAGATGAGCGCGGTCGAGCCCGGCACGGCATCGATATTGAGAAACAGCAGCGGCTCTTTGGGGCGCATCGTAAGCGCTTCTAAGTGCGGATCGGTGCCGTACTCGGTGATGTGGTTCACACGCAAGAACCAGGCGTGCTCGGCGTCCATCAGCGAGAGTTTTCGCTCTCGGGTATTGTTACCCTGCAACTCAGGGTGGCAGAGGGCCATGTCGTCGGTGACGGGCCGCAGTTCGCACCCCCGGGGGATTGAAACGTAGCGGTGCTCGCCGTTGACCAGGTTTGTGCCCAGCTTCAAACGACCGTCTAGCTCGCGGTGCATCTGCTCGAGCATTTCGCTCTTGCCACCGCCTGAGGCACCCTCGTGCATGACCGTGACCGTATTGTCGTACGGCGTGAGCACTTGCACGGTCGAGCAGTGTGCGGTGTTCCAGCCAGCGCGCTCGCCAAAGTTGAGCAGCATCCCGTAAACGCCCTTCTTTGCGGAAGGGCCGGGGTACAAGTTGTAGCTGAAGAGTTCGTGCAACTCTTCGCGGCGGTTGTGCACAACAACCTGTTTGCCGTCGAAGCGCGTGTGACGAAACGGCGGGGCAATGTAGATGATGGCCGAATGGAAGTACTCCTCGCCCATCTCGCGAATCTTCTCCAGCGGCACAATTCCCTGCAATGTCGCCAAGCCGAACGCGAAGAAAGCCGCGTTGGCGGGGCAGATCGCCACGGCTGGCAACCCTTTGCCGGGCAGACCTGCATCGAAGAAGAAGCAAGCCAGGTCTTGGGTCTTCAGCCATTGAAACGTTTCTTGGCGTAACGACTCGAAGTCCTCCCCGAAACGACTTTCGTACGTCTGCTTATCGGTAGCACGGTCGTCTGCGATGACCATGCAGTTGGGGTCGCGACGACGCATGTAGGGTTCGAAGTAATTGGCGCTGATGCCGTTACGCACCCGACAGACGTTCGCCTCGGGTACGAACTTGCCCTCGACGTCGTAGCCGACGGTGAAGTACCCCTTCTCATCGGCTTTGTCTTGGGGAACCGCTGCTTCTGCCAACTCGGCTGCGGTGTTAAAAAATACGACGCTCTTGGCCTCTGCTAAGATCTGTTCGGCCGAGCGGGATAAGCTTAGGTTCGGGAGGTCGGTGGTGAACATGCTTGTTTCACTGGCAGGGGATCGCCCATTTGCTCAGTGTTTCTCCGGAGGGTGAAAACTGGAGTTACCGGGACAAATTCTCCGCCTTGCAAAAAAACTATGCGAAGACCATCGTTTGGTCAATTGGCTAATCCCAAACAGCCCTTCGTCCGCGGGGTGTTATTTCCAGTTTCCTGAGTTTGTTTGACTACAATGGTGGTTCATCCAGCGAGATTCACTCGCCTATATAAAGCAAAAACCTGTTCTTACGGATGTGTGATGCAAGGCACCCAACATCATTCGCGACCCTCGTTGATTCTCGCTCTCTCGCTCCAAGTCGCAGTTATCCTGGCTACCCTAGCTAACGCGACTCGGGCAGAAGAGAAGTCTTGGTGGCAGTTTCGTGGACCGAACGGCGACGGGCACACTTCGGCGGGAAATCTTCCACTGGAATGGGACGAATCTCGAAATATCGCGTGGAAGACTGCGATTCATGACCGTGGATGGTCATCACCGGTGATTTGGGGCGACCAGATTTGGCTGACCACCGCCACGAGAGACGGTCAGCGACTTTTCGCGGTGTGCGTTGACAAACACACGGGAGAGATCGTGCACGACTTGCACCTCTTCGATGTCGAGGATCCGATGAGGATCAGCGATGAGAACACGTATGCCACGCCCACACCCGTCATTGAAGAAGGTCGGGTGTTTCTTCACTTCGGCACCTATGGCACCGCTTGCCTGGACACCCAGACGGGCCAAACAATCTGGACTCGGCGGGACTTGAACTGCGACCATGAAGCCGGTGCCGGACCAGCTAGTTCTCCCACGCTGATTGATGGTCTTGTTGTGGTACACGTCGATGGCCGCGACGTGCAGTACATCATTGCCTTAGACCCAGCCACTGGGGAAACGGTATGGAAGACGCCACGCTCGATCGATTTCACTGATATCCCAGTTCACCATCGTAAAGCCTTTTGCATGCCGTACGTGATTTCTCGCGGCGATGGCGAGCAGATGATCAGCCCGGGCGGGCGAGCCTTGTACTCTTACGACCTGGCTGGGCAAGAGTTGTGGCGTGTTCAGCATCGAGGGTTTTCGATCGCTCCTCGACCGGTCTTCGGCCACGATCTGGTCTTCGCCATTATCGACCGCGACCAGCCTGAGCTTTGGGCTATACGCCCCGATGGGAACGGTGACGTGACCGATACCCATGTTGCCTGGAAGGTGTCCAAGAGCATGCCTCAACGCTGCTCCCCTCTGCTGGTCGACGAACTCTTGTTTGTCGTTAACCGCGAGGGCATCGCAACCTGCCTAGAAGCGAAGACCGGTGAGACCGTTTGGAAGAAGCGACTGGAAGGAAGGTATTCGGCCTCTCCCATCTATTCAGAGAATCGCATTTATTTATTCAACGAAGATGCAACGACAATGGTCATTCGCCCAGAACGAGAATTCAACTTGGTGACCACCAACGAACTCACCGAGCAACCGCTGCTTGCAACTCCGGCTGTTGATGGCAACGCATTCATACTCCGGACGGAAAACTACCTATACCGTATCGAGAATGAAGCGCCGAAATCGGCATCGACAGCAGGTGTGAACGCCCGCGAAAAGCAATAAACCACCGCTGCAGATAACTACGCAGAGAATGCCTTATGACGCGCCTTGCCGCCGTGACCCCAGACCGGCGAGAAGGACTGTTGGTGAATCGCAGCTCTGCCGGGACAGTTCAAGTTCTTTCAGCCTTCAAGTTCTGGCCAGCCGAAAGCAGTGCCATAGACGTACTGGAACGAAGAACTCCTCCCGCAGCATCTGATGGCCAAGCGGACGAGGGAGTGCGGATAGGTGCGACAGAAGATATGGCGGAAGTGCATGGGAATCGAACCCACCGGTCGTAAGGTTGACTTACGACCCAACGGTTTTGAAGACCGCGGCCACCACCAGGTGAGCAGGCACTTCCTTGGGGGCTGAGAGGTGCGTGTCACTCAAATATAGTGAACGAATCCAAATCAGGTAGTGGAGATGGACTGAGGGGCGCACTTCCGCCCTCTTATCTGCGATGACTCGCCAAAGGCTCCCCTTGCCAACCGCGGGGCCTATTTCCCCTTCCCCGAAATCTCCTGGCCGTTCTCGGGGTTGACCTTGATGTCCAGCTCTTCATCGTCGTGGGTGAAGAAGGCGAAACCGTTGATCATTTCGTCGTAGGTTTGGTCGCCGTAGGGTACGACGCGGTCGGGGTTGGGGTTGTAGGGGTTGAACGCGGAGTTGTCGTAGTGGGCAATGGCCTCGAGACGCGTGCCCGCTGGCAACTTCACGGCTCCGGGTTCAATCTCGTAGCCCAACTGCCAATCGAAGTTGTAGTTGGGAATCTGGAGCAACGTTTCGGTTGTCCCGCTCGGCAGGTGGGCAAGAAACGTCATGTCTTTACCCCGCAGGTGCATGTGCGAGAACATGCCTAACAGCGTGGCGTCGTGATCGATCGTCGCATCGTCGCTGACCATGTAGGCCGGATGACCTGGGGCGATCTTGAACTTGTGATCGTCAAGAATGACGTGATGCAGTTGCTTTTTGACGTTGTTCTTGGCAAAGCGAATTCCCACGGAGATCGAACCCTTCTCCGGCTTACCAGTGGTGACGACGTGAATCTGTAGCCCGATGACCGAGAACTTCGGGATCTTCAACGCCACACCTTCACCAAAGGCCGAAAGATCCATCGCCTGTCCGCCCGGGACATAGCCGGTGATGAACGTATCGGAACCGGCTCCGTCTTTGCCGGAGGCGTAAGCCGCGTTGCAGTGATGCACCACGGCAGCATTGTGCGGGAGAATCTCGAAAGCCTCGATCCAGGTGTCTTTCAAGAAGAAGTGCGGCAGAACGACGTACTCGTACGGGACATAGCCGTGAGCTTGAACGTCAAACTCTTTTGTGGTCAACACCAGATCGGGTTCGCCGATACTCCACTCGGTGCCCGGGAATTCAATCGGTTCGGGCATGTCGCTGGGATCGCCCTCGGGAGTGCCGGCGCGAACCCAAGCCACGATTTGATTACGCTCTTCGCTGGTCAACGTACGGTCGTTGATGAAGTGGCCGAACTTGGGGCTCGCAAACCACGGCGGCATGCGGCCTTCGGACACGACTTCGGCAATCATCTCGGCGTTCGAAGAAACATCGTCGTACGTGATCAAAGAGAACGGCGCGGCCGTGTTCTCACGGTGACACTCTTGGCAATGCTCTTGCATCAACCGCGAAATGTGCTTAGAGAAGGTGATCTCCTCATTGACTTCCGGAGCCTTGGCCAGGGTGATCTTGCAGCCATCCACTTTGGTCTCGGGGACTGAAATCTTCTCGCCGGCAAGCAGTTCGCTGATGGCCTCGTCTAGGTCATGACGACGTACGTTGGGGCGAACACCGCCCAAGCGGTACTGATCGTCAATGCGACCGCGGTAGACCAAATGCTTTTCGCCGTCGAGCACGACCACTTCCGGGGTTCGCTCGACTCCCAGGGCGGCCACGCAGGAGCCGTCGACATCTTTCACGAAGGGGAACAGGGCCTGGTACTCGATCGCGTGCGAGGCCACATCCATAATCGAATCGTCAGGGCCTACATTCACGGCGATGAATTGAACGCCGTCGTCAGCATACTTTTCCGAAAGTTCCTGAAGTCGGGGCAGGTACCGTTGCACTAAGGGGCAGCTCGTATTGGTGAAGACCAATACATAGGCTTGCTTGCCTTCGAAGTCGTCGAGCGAGCGGGGGAGGTATCGCAGGTCTTTAAAATCCAAATCCTCGATCTGATCGCCGATGGCGACCGAACGCTCTGCCGCGACGCTAGCGTGACACAGTGATACGAATAAGGCACACAATGCGATGAGCAACGAACCGAATCGAATCATGGAACCCTCGACCTGCTTCCTCAGGAGAAAATTAGCAAGACTGCGAGATACAACCGAGCGCTGCGAATGAATGGCTTCCGGTCGTACTCGCTAAGTGTAACACCCCACGCCGTTTAGTTTAGCGCAATGCCAGTGGTGGGACAACCGAAATAGCCCCCGTAAGGGTTATACCCCGGCTGCCAAGCGTTGGTGTCATCCGGAAGAGAATTCCAAGGCCAGAAAAGCGGGCCTTCAGCGGGCCGCAATCCCGAGCATCTGTCGTGGATCCGGCCAAATTCGTTGAGCCCAGACCCGGCAGATTAGCGAGGTTGGGCATGCCAATTCCAGCGGAATCTGACTGTCCCGCTGGCAGACTAAGCCCAGTCGAGCTCGGTTGCATGCTTGATGCGTTCGGCGAAGTCGCCAATCAGCCCCCCAATGACCTCCCACTCGTTGGTCTTCCGCAGTTCGATGTCGCCCTGCAGATTCACCCGCACCAAGCTTTCATCGGTGACGCCTGCCGCACGCAGGGCCTCGGCATCGAACTCTTCAGGATTCACCAGGTGGCTAAGGGTCTTGCCAGTCATTTCAATGAATTGCATTTTTTGTGCTCGACGCTCCGTCGGTTGGTATGTGTTTTTGTTGAGTTCAAGTAAGGTCTTCCCACATCGAGGTCTATAATACCGTCGAGCGGGCACAGTTGCCTAGCAATCCCGCCGGCTTTTCGCGAATCACTTCGAATGCAGTGAATTCATGTGTCCTGGAAAGGATGACGTGCCAAAATGGCTTCTCGCGATGCTGCTTCTGATACGCTGCGGATGTTGATTCTTGGGGCACATCCGGACGATGCCGAGTTTCATGCCGGGGGGCTGGCGGCGATCTACCGGTACTTTGGTCACGAGGTGAAAATTGTCTCGGTGACCGATGGCAGGGCAGGGCATCACGAAGTGTTCGGCCCCGAGCTGGTGATAAGACGTCGCGAAGAAGCCGCTGCCTCGGCCGCGGTGATTGGAGCCACCAGCGAAGTCTGGGACCACCCCGACGGACAACTCGAACCGACGCTCGAATTGCGATGGCAGATCGTGTCCGAGCTGAGAACTTTCTCACCAGACCTGGTGCTGACCCACCGCATCGAAGATTATCATCCCGATCACCGCGCGGTGGCCCATGCGGTGAGAGATGCATCGTACCTGGTTACCGTGCCGGCTGTGGTGCCAGATGTGCCGGCACTGAGCGACCCTCCGGTGGTGGCCTACATGGTCGATCGCTTCACGCGGCCGTCACCCTTTCAGGCGGATGTCGCGTTCGATGTTGCCAGCCACATCGATACGATTGTTTCGATGCTGTCATGCCACAAGTCGCAGGTGTTCGAGTGGCTGCCGTCTAATCACCATCGCGAGGATCAACTGCCAGAGGGTGACGAAGAACGCCGGGCCTGGCTGCGAGGCTGGGTCGAATCGCTGCTGCAGACCACGGCCGATCTACATCGCGGAGCGCTGCTTGCAACTTACGGTGAAAACGAAGGGAGCAAGATCCGCTTTGCCGAGGCTTTGGAAATCAGCGAATATGCGGCCCCGTTGGATGACGAGAAACGGGCCCGACTGTTTTCGTTCTTACCAGAAAGTGGCAGCAACTGAGCACAGGACTTGCATCCGAACTTAGCTAGTCTCGCCCAACCGCTGGCGGAAGACTTCTGCCATGGCGATGATGGTCTCCACATCGAGCTGCTCGGCCCGGGTATCGTTGGCGAAGCCCATCTGGTTCAAGATATCGTCGACTTCCGTCTTTTCGATTTGCTTCTTGAAAGCGCTAGCAATCACGCTTCGCAAGAACTTGCGGCGGTGGAAGAACAATGCTCTGACAAACATGTGAAAGAAATCGAGGTCGACGATCCGCCCTGCCAGCTCTGGGTCGTAATCGATGCGGATGATGGCTGACGAGACTTTGGGGCGTGGCCAGAACGCCGAGGGCGGCAACACGCGAATCAACTCCACCCGACACTGGCTTTGAATCCAGATGCTCAGCGCACTGTAGTCCTTCGTAGAAGGCCGGGCCATGATTCGCTCACCCAGCTCTTTTTGGATGGTGACAACCATCACACTAGGGATGGTCTCGCTGGAAAGCATGTTCGAGATGATTGGCGTGGCCACGTTGTAAGGCAAGTTGGCTACCAGCTTGAACGTGCGGTCGGGGCTGACGGCCAACTGCTGTTTGACGGTTTCAAATACGATGGGATCGATGTGGTTCTTGTTGCGCAGTGCGTCCTGCTTTAACAGCGTGACGTTGGGGTAGTCGAACAGTTCTTCGCTGGCCAGTTGAGCGAGCAGACGATCGACCTCGACAGTGACTACTGCCGCCGCCCGACGGGCTAGATGTACGGTTAGCCCCGCGGTACCGGTTCCGACTTCTAGCACGACGTCCAAGGCATTCAAATCGGCCGCATCGAGCAGCAGGCGTTGCAGATTCATGTCGATCATGAAGTTCTGCCCGTGCCTGGTGACAGGGCGAATGCCGACCTGTTCGAGTCGTTGCCTTAAGAAGGAAAGGGTTTGATTATCGGTCGATCCGCTATTCATGCGGGTTAATCCTCTTTGACTATCTCAATCCGTCCGATGAACACTCAAGACGGGGTGTTTCGAAATCGTTGATGTGGGCTATGTGCTGGATATTTATTCGCGGTACTCAAGCTGCCTTTGCACGTACTTGGCCAGCACATCGGTTTCCAGGTTCACGCGGGTGCCTGGGGCCATTTTCCCCAAGGTGGTCACTTCCAGCGTATGCGGAATCAACATCACACTGAAGCGGTCTTCGGTCACGTCGACCAGGGTGAGGCTGACTCCGTCGATGGCGATCGATCCCTTAGAGGCCATCTGCCGGGTCAGTTCATGGGGAACCTCAAACCAGCAGGTGGACCATTCGCCATCTTCGATTCGTTCGACCAGTGTACCGCTGGCATCGATGTGGCCGGTGACGATATGCCCACCCAGGCGATTACCCACTTGCAGCGCACGCTCAACATTTACGGAGCTGCCGGGAGATAGTTCGCCCAGGTTCGTGCGATCGAGTGTCTCGGGGCCTGCCTCGAATGCCAAACGAGTGCTGTCGATATTGACGACGGTGAGACAGCAGCCATTCAGAGCGACACTGTCGCCGATGGCGGTCTCGCTGGCCATCGCTCCAACCTCAAGGGTGAATTTTCGCCCGGGGCTGAGATCTTCGACCTTCACGACTTCGGCCAATTGTTCGACCAAACCGGTAAACATTTCAATTCTCACCAAGCAACGAAACTGCGACACGAGCCGCAGGTAAATCAAATCCAAAGCATCACGCCGAGACCGAGATCCTCTCGGCCGGGCTCATGTTGAAAAGCGCCTTCCCCAGCGACCTCGCACCCATCCACCATACACCCATTGTACGGCCGGGACCGTGACAAAGACCGACATCACCAACGGAAAGGCGTACGTACGGAAGAAGGCGATCATGAACACGGCGAATACCAACGTCACCACATGGCTAAAGCTACGGTTTCCGCGAAGCCATTGGTTGACCGGATGGGGATACGGCACCGGGGAAACCATCAGCATCGCAATCAGCAGCGTATAGAACGGGAGCATGGCTTGAATCAGATTGTCGGCCTGAGGGCCTAGCCGCAGATCGACCCCCGCATGTCGCAGGGAATAAAACATAATCGCGAAACTGGCGATGGTGCCGGCCGCCGCAGGGCTCGGAAGCCCTCGAAACATCTGATGATCGTCGTCTTCGGTGGTTTCCACCGTGAATCGGGCGAGCCGCAAGGCGGCACAGGCCACGTAGGTTGCCGCAATAAGCCAAACCTGTTCGCGGTGTAGATAGGTAAAGTCGGGACAGATCTTCACTAACAGAAAGGCCGGAGCGACGCCGAAGCTCACCACATCGCACAGGCTGTCTAGTTGGGCGCCAAAGTCGCTGTCGGTGCCGGCCAGGCGGGCTAGTTGTCCATCGAGGGCGTCGAAGACCATCGCCAGCAGAATCAGGCATGCACTGAGCATGCAGTTGGTCCAATCAGTCGGGTCGGTCATCTGGGGGTCCGGTACATCGACCCGGGCTGCCACCACGATGGCAAAGAACCCACAGACGAGGTTGCCGAGCGTGAACATCGTCGGCAGAACATTCACCGTACGCAGTGGTCGCATTGCCCGATTCCGCCTTTCCTTGGTTTCGATTCGGCCCATTCGTTCGGGCCGCCGCTTCAGTCGCTTGCGATGTTCTTCCACCGGGCCATGATGGTCGCCCCACCCTGAACGCGATCGCCGACCTTCACCTTCACTTCGCAGTCGTCATCGTGCGGGACGATCAATTCGGTACGAGAACCAAACTTGATCATGCCAAATTTGTGACCTCGTTCGACGATTTCCCCCGGTCGCAATTCACAGACGATCCGCCGTGCGATCAATCCGGCGATCTGCCGCACGACGTATCGGCACTCCGGAGCTTCGACCGACTGCAGGCCGATCCACAGGTTTTCGTTGCGGATGGCACTCTCGGTATCCAACGCGTTTAGAAACAGGCCGGGGTGGTACTCCAGCCGGAGCACTTGCGAGCGGACCGGGGCCCGATTGATGTGCACGTTGAACACCGACAGGAAAATCCCGATTCTCACCGCAGGGCCGCCGACGAAGGGATCGTGCTCGATCGGCGTGACTTCGGCGACCGTGCCATCGGCGGGCGACACCAGCAGGCCCGGCTGTTGGGGAACATGTCGGTGCGGGTCGCGAAAGAAGTACAACACGAAGGCCAGCAAGACCAAAGGGACCACAGCAGTGATGGGCCACGGCGATGCAGCCAGCAATGCTGTGAAGATGAGTAGCAGGCCTCCCATCAAGACGACTTCCCCAAGCCCCCAGTGGGCCAACGGAATGCCGTCTCGCCAGGCGAACGGATTGTCTTCATCGTCCCATTCGCAGGTGCATTGGTTGCGGCAATACTTCAAATCGCGGGGATCAAGAATCCGGTGGTTTGCTCCTCGCGAGGAGCCCTTTCGCAACTGCCGCATGTGCGAGACGTACTTCGAGCGGAACCGCGACAGATACCACCGCCGCAGGTGTCCCCACATCAATTCGATCTGATAACACACACCGCCGCCGGGCTGCACGCTGTTGAGGTTCGCCGGCAAGGGCGTCACCTCTTCAGGGCGGGATGCCGTGAAGTCGTCTTTCATACCATCGAGCCACTAAACCAGAGTTTCGATTCGTGCACCGTCGAATCGAAGAATTCAATAAAACGGAAATCGAGCAGCCCCATCATAAGAAACTGCGGAACTCGCGAAGATTCTTTGCGGGATTATTTCCGCGGAGTCTGGGGCGCCGGTCTTGGGTCGTTCGGCCCCGCAAGACATCAGAGCTTGCTCATTGTGCCTAGTCGACCGGCAAATCGCCCCGGGGCGGGGACGTGTTTCGGTCGCCTAACATCATACCAGGGGAAGTGCGAGCCGAGGAGGAGGCTGCCCCATGGTCAGCGGAGCAGTTTTTCGACACAATGTTGGCCAAAGAGAACAAATCACGGGTGGCACAACACCCCAGTGGGGCCACATTCCCGATAGGATTCGCAGAAAAAGGTAGGAGCCATGAGTTCCACAATTGTAGAAATCGTCGGACGTCAAATTCTCGATAGCCGCGGCAACCCAACCGTTGAAGTCGACGTCGAGCTGGCCGATGGCTCGTTCGGCCGTGCGGCGGTGCCCAGCGGAGCCAGCACCGGAGCCCACGAGGCCCTGGAAATGCGCGATGGCGACAAGGCCTTCTATTTAGGCAAAAGCGTCACCCGAGCTGTTGAGCATGTGAACGACGCGTTGGCCCAAGAGCTACTCGGAGCCGATGCCCTCGACCAGGTGGTGATCGATCGTCGCATGATCGAATTGGACGGCACCGCGAATAAAGAGAAACTGGGCGCAAATGCCATTCTGGGTGTCTCGCTGGCGGTGGCCCACGCGGCGGCCGACTATGTGGGATTGCCGCTTTATCGTTACCTGGGTGGGGCCACCGCGCGAATGCTGCCGGCCCCCATGATGAACATCCTCAACGGTGGCGAACACGCCGACAACGACGTGGACGTGCAGGAGTTCATGGTGATGCCGTTGGGCTTCAACCGTTTCAGCGACGCGCTGCGTTGCGGAGCGGAGGTGTTCCACAACCTGAAGAGCGTGCTGAAAGAGCGAAAGCTCAGCACTTCGGTTGGCGACGAAGGCGGTTTCGCCCCAAACCTGGCCAATAATGCCGATGCTATGGACCTGATTCTGGAGGCTATTCAGAACGCCGGGTATGAGCCTCGCGCTCAGGTGGGCATCGCCCTGGACGTTGCCGCCACCGAGTTTTACGACTCGAAGGAGAAGGTTTACACGTTCGGCGGCAAGAAGCTCAGCTCCGACGACATGGTCGGGTTACTAACCGACTGGGTTGAACGCTATCCGATCTGCTCCATCGAAGATGGATGCAGCGAAGACGATTGGGACGGGTGGCAAGCTCTGACCAAGAAAATCGGCGGACGCTGCCAACTGGTGGGCGATGACTTGTTCGTAACGAATACCGAACGCCTCCAACGCGGAATTTCCTCGGACGTCGGCAACAGCATTCTGATCAAGGTGAATCAGATCGGAACGCTGACCGAAACGATCGAAGCCATCGAATTGGCCCGACGTAGCGGCTACACGTCGATCGTGAGTCACCGAAGCGGCGAGACGGAAGACGCAACCATTGCCGACCTGGCTGTGGCAATGGGAACCGGTCAGATTAAAACTGGATCGGCTTCGCGTTCCGACCGCATTGCCAAGTACAATCAGCTTCTGCGGATTGAGGAAGCCCTCGGCGATACCGCTCTGTACGGCGGCAGCGTGTTTCCCGCCTGGGGCTAATACCGGAAAGTGAAACGATTCCTGCAGGGGTGGCCCCGCCGGCGCGCGGCCGGGCCACCGTAACCTCGGGTATTCATGAACATCACCGATCTGGAATTCTTTCTAGTCGAGATTGCCCGACCCTCGGGCGGGGCCCCAGTGCGCTCACTACTAGTGCGCGTGGCCACCAACCAGGGCATCGATGGATGGGGCGAATCGCGTGGTGACTGGCGCGCCGGTGAGTTGGCCCATCGACGCGATGTCTTGCTGCCGACCCTCGCGGGCCGGAGTGTGGCGGATATCGAGGAACTCATCGGTCTCGATGTGCTCGACTCGGCCCCGTTGCGATGTGCCATCGAAATGGCCTGCTGGGATGCGTTGGGAAGGATTGTCGGGCAACCACTGAATCGGTTTTTCGGCGGGCAGTTCCGCTCGCGAATTCCGATTGCCGTGCGGCTGCCGCGCGGTGAGATCGAACAGGTGAGCATGCTGGCCCGTGAGCTGGCAGAGCAGGGTGTTCACACTCAGATCGTGAGCACCGCAGGTCGTCCGGACATCGACGTGGAAACGATGGCCGCTGTGCGCGAAGCTGCCGGGGAGCGGGCGGAAGTGCGACTTGATGTGGCTTGCCGTTACGATCTCGACGCTGCTCGTGAGTTGGATGCGAGCATTAAGCCCGAGAACCTACAGTTCGTGCTCGACCCACTCGATACGGCTGAGTTCGAACAGGTCGCCCGATTGCGGCGACAGATGTCGCTTCCGGTGGCAGTGTCCGCAGGGCTTAACAGTCCGAGTGCACTGTTGGCTCTTATTCGAAGTGGTGCGGCGAGCCACGCGGTGATCGATCTGGAGCAGGTCGGCGGGCTGGCTCAGGCGCGAAAGTGTGCAGCCGTTTGCGAAGCAGCAGGAATGGCCGCATCGCTGGGAAGTCGACCCGCCTTGGGGATTGCTACGGCGGCGATCACGCAGCTGGCTGCGGCCACGCCGAGCTTCGCCAGCGCAAACGAGAGTGTGTACCCTCAGTTGGCCGACGATGTGCTCAGCGAGCCACTAACCTTGGTTGACGGAATGATCGTCGTTCCGCAATCACCTGGCCTAGGCGTCGAAGTCGATCGTTTGAAGATCGAGCGCTACCAGGTCAGTTGAGTGGAACGAACGTCTTTACGAACGACATCAGCTTTGGATGTAGTTCTTCAAGAAGTGGTTCTCCATCGACAGTTCCTCGCCGTGTGCTTTGACGAGGTCGCCGATCGAGATCATTCCGCACAAGTCGCCGTCTCGCTCCACAGGCAAGTGGCGAATGCGACGCTGCGTCAGCATGTTCATCGCATAAGAAACGGTTTCATCCGGCACGCAGGTGGTTACAGGAAACGACATCACTTCGCTCACTGAAATTTCTTCCAGCGATCCGCGATGTGCCGCGTAGATACGCAGGATGTCGCGCTCAGTAATGATGCCGATCATCGGCGGTCGACAGGCGTCGGCCATCGAGTCGCATACCACGAGCGAACCAATGTTGTGCTTGACCAATAACTGCACCGCTTCGTCAAGCGATGCGTCGGGCTCGATCTTGTAGACCTGGGCCCCCTTGCTTTGCAAGATTTCACGCAGAGTCATCGTACGAACTCCCGGAGCAAAGGTTGAGGAGAAGGGACCAACAGACGGAACAGAGTCGTAGAAGCAATATCGAGAGAAGGTTCGTGCCCCCAGGGGTGTACGATACAAGGTCTGCCCTTGAACTGTCAAAAAAATCTGGGCAGCTGTTACAAGAATAACATGTGAAAAAGTTCACAAGAGAGGCTCATTCGTGAGCGCAATTTTCAGCCTGGGGGTTTTCTCCACATGAAGTGAATCACTCCCCCCAGCAGCTAAGCGCTTGTGGGGTAAACGGCATAAAGCAGATGTAAAGCCGTGTGCACCAAAATCGCTAGTCGCTTTTCCTGCGCGGCGCGATTGCACCGGCACGGATATTGCGAAAACGAAGGTCGGTCGTCGGGTCGTGTCCTTGCAAGCTAATGGTGCCTGGGGTCATGCGCAATCCTTTGCGAGGATTTTCATCCGGCGAACGCGGGTCGGTCCAATCACTCACTTGAATTCCGTTCACCCAAGTGGCCATGTGCTTGTCGCTCACCACGAGTGTTTTGGTGAACCACTCAAAGTCGTTGGCGACAATACGCCGCGCGTTTTGCCGGCGATAGAAACCTCCGGTTCCGCAATCAACTGGGTTATCGCGCGTACCATCGAACGCGTTTTGAATCTGGCTTTCGTAGCCCTGCCAAAACTCGCCGGGGATGGAGCGAAAGAAAATGCCCGAGTTCAAACCTTCGCCGTTGACGAAGACTTCGATCTGCAGCACGAAATCGTCGAACTCGGCTTCGGTTTCGATCTGCCCGTTGCCGTTGACGATGGTCAGCTCACCCTCGGGCGTGACCGAGAACTCGCTTTCTTTGCCGGGGTACACGCGCCAGCCGGTGAGGTCTTCGCCGTTGAACAGCTCATTCATCCCCAGCGGTTTGAGCTTGATATCACGAAAGTCGACCGCACCTTGGTTCAACTGCAGTCCGATAAACCCTCGGCCCAGCGGTTTGGGGTCGGTGTAGTCGAGCACCTGCTGGCCATCGAGTTCGACGGTGAAGTGTCCGCCTTCGGCCAGAATGTGGTAGCGATGCCAGTTCCCGTCGTCGTGCACCTCGGCGGTGGTCTTCTGCCGGCCGACAAAGCTACCAGTGGGGAAGGGGTTTGACGGCGGGGCGATGTTCAGTTCGTAGCAGTCGCCGGCCGGGTTCTTGGGGCGGGGGCTGGTGCGAAGAAATACTCCGCTGTTGGTTTCCTGTGCGGCTCGAAACTCGAGCGACAACTCATAGTCGCCGAACTGGCTGGTCGTGCAGAGCAGCCCCGGGGCGCCACTGCTCACGGAGATCATCCCGTCGGCCACCTTCCAGTCCGCATCGCTAGCGGCCCGCCATCCGTAGTCGGTTTCTCCATCGAACAAGAGAATCCAACCGTCGGCGAGTTCTTCTGCCGTGAGTTGATTGGGGGCCGGCGAGCTGGCCTCATCGTAGGCCTTTGCACTGGAAGTCAAAACTACGCAGGCCAGCAAGAGCGTTCCCCACTGCAACCACCACCGACGCACACTCTTCTTCATGTCTTCTCCAAATAATCGCCGAGGTGAACGGCCAAACGCACTACTTACTAAGAACGCAACGAAGGCCAGAGTAGAACGCTGGGACCAAGCCTGCAACTGTTCACGCACTGCTATCGTTGGTCAGTTAGAACTTCGAGGCCCAATCCAGATGAGAATTCCGTCGCGTTTTACTTCCGGAGGCTCGAGT